GGGGGGGGGGAGGTTGTCTAGTCAATAATTTTAAATTTATATTTTATCAAAGAAACTAGGTTTCCTTTCTCTGTACAACTCAATTTAAAAATAGAGATAGTAGCAAAATCAAATTTTTAAATAACAAATGAATCCTAATGTGTAGGTGGGCTGCTCTTACTGCAACAATCCATCAGGCTGCAAACATATTCCACGACATTCAACTGATGAAATTTCTTAGTTGTAAACCTTTTTTTAGAAATCTTTGTTTTTTATTGAATGATTACTTTCTTATAAATAAACTTTTTCAATTTCTATTTTGCTAACTTTTTTTAAAAATATTTAATTTTTATTCTCCATCCTTAAGTTAAATAAACACAACGATTCTTTTAATCCTATTTGGTCTGTGTCAACCTCAAACCTAGGATGATCATTTTAGATACTTTTACTTGACAGTTCATGTTTTTGGGAGGATTTTTCTTGCCTGGTTCATTGGATCCACAATTTACCAGATTCTTAATTCAATATAGAACTGGGATTGAAGTTATAGCCATATTTACAAATTATGAAACATTTTAAACTTATCTAGCCTTATACAATTGAGTCTTCATCTAACATTGAAAAATTTAGATTAGCATTAGAATAAGGGGGACGAAGAACTATGGATTTCTAGTATTTTGGTCTGAGCTAAACTTTGAGATGAATTAGAACGAGAAAACGGAAAAATATAAATTATTGAAAGCTCTAAATTAAATTAAACATATTTTGACAGGGGTGGGTTTAATTTGATTCTTCTCCCAGCAAGCTGTGACTGTCGACCACAATTTCACCAATTATATGTATATATATATATATATATATATATATATATGTTAATTTTCTCATCGCTGAAAGGTTGTTGAATGTTGTTGAAAATTTAAAAAAAAAAGACGATCGAATTGGTGAATAGGTGACATGACAGTTGCACGCGGAAACCCCTACAATTATTGTACTTTCATTAAAAAAAAACTTTGACGAAGTGGAATTAGTGTGTTTGATGGATTTGTTCCTTGCTGCCAAGAAAGGTTGAGTGAGGGAGGGAAGGCACATCACACCATTTCTTCGTCCGACCACAAATGACGTCACCTTTTTTTTAATTCGGCATTGTTAAAATTCTTTTCAAGTACTTTAAATTATTTTATTAGAATCTTGAGCCGTGGCATGTTGTTTATAATGGTTTAAAACAATTTTTTTTTAAGAAGAACATATTATAAATGTACAATAGGCATAAAACAATTTATGGACAATTTTATTTCATAATCCCTGAAAAATGGTGTGGCGTGCCTTCCCTCCCTCGTTGAGTACATTAAGTTTGTAAAAGTAAAGAAAAGGTTTTGGATGAACGATGTGGGAAGTGTGAGTCTTGAGTTCTGCCAATATCTCAAGAAGGACAAATTATACAGATCACATGATCATGGTATCAAGGTCTACTTTTAATAAATATTAAAATCAATTTGATATGTGTTATATCATACATTTGCAGGTTCTAGCTGTGTACAGTGTATCCTCAATACCACCTTGTTATTAGTACGTTCTCAATACAGATTCCTCAATTTTAAGTCCTGTTGTGTATCTTCAATACTTGTAATTAATGCATTCTCAATAGTGATTCCTCAATTTAAAGTCCTGGCTTTGTATCTTCATACCAGCTTGTAATTATTACAATGCTCAATTCCGTACCTGCAAAGTATCTACTTCAAAGGTCTTTGATCTACTCCATATATCTCCTCTGTAAATTCACTGTCATAGATGTGTCTGATGGGAATCCAACCAAGGAGCCTGTTGTGAATGCAACCAAGGGGCCTGTTGTGATACCAAACTCAGAGCCTGTTGTGAATCCAACCAAGGAGCCTGTTGTGAATGCAACCAAGGAGCCTGTTGTGAATCCAACCAAGGAACCTGATGTGAATCCAACCAAGGAACCTGTTGTGAATCCAACCAAGGAGCCTGTTGTGAATTTAACCTCGGAGCCTGATGTGAATCCAACCAAGGAGCCTGTTGTGAATGCAACCAAGGAACCTGATGTGAATCCAACCAAGGAACCTGATGTGAATCCAACCAAGGAGCCTGATGTGAATCCAACCAAGGAGCCTGTTGTGAATCCAACCAAGGAGCCTGATGTGAATCCAACCAAGGAGCATGATGTGAATCTAACCAAGGAGCATGATGTGAATCCAACCAAGGAGCCTGATGTGAATCTAACCAAGGAGCATGATGTGAATCCAACCAAGGAGCCTGATGTGAATCTAACCAAGGAGCCTGTTGTGAATCCAACCAATTTATTACTATTTTGAATAGTAACCTTTTCAATTTATAGGGCGGTATAACCGAAGTCGGTTTTTTGTTAGCTGGGATTTTTAATGGAACATTATTTTAAACTTTTTCCCATCCCCTTTCCCTTTCACCTCTCTGACATTCTTGTCTTGCATGCTAGCTGATTTCATGCAAAGAGTAGGAGCTAAGTTTATATATTAAAGAAAAATCATTGAAATTCGATATTTATTCTCCTCTTAACCCTCTTTAAATGCTAGTAGTAAGTTCTCGATAATTTAGAGCAGCCCCAGGTATATTAGATAATAGAAGCCCTCAACGGGTGGATCCATCTAAAATTATTAAATAAGTTTCTGTTATTAATTTTTATCGCTTTTGGTGAATGGATTTACAGAGAAACATATATAAAAGAGTCTTACTAGGTTTAGTGAACTATCGTTAATATTTATATATTTTTAAAACAATGATAGATAGATAGATAAATAGTTCTGAGATAGATAGATAGAACGTTCGATGATAAGCAGGACCTACTAGTTACTTTTAGTGCTGACTGCTGTATGCAGTTAGTAATGTTACTCATTATATTTTCTATATTAGCCCGTTCTCTCCATAATAGTGTTTAAACAGTGGCCGTGTTGTTCACGTATCTTCGGGGGACGATAGTTTGGTCGCAGGTGTCTCACGCAAAATTCTTATCTGATAGATAGATAGTTCTCACGAGAGACATCTAGCGGCCAAACTATCGTCCCCCAAAGTACGTGAACCACACGACCACTGTTTAAACATTATTATGGAGAGAACGGGCTCAGTCCTGTTTGGTTTTAGACTTGATTTTCAAAATGTCGTCGTTCTACGAGTTTAAAGCAAGAAAACTAAATGGAGAAGTGGTGAGTTCATGATTTGAAAAGATTTATCGTTATATGATGATGTTTAAGAACTCTTCCTTCTATTCATAACCAACTAATTTCTCATTTAACACATTAATCGTCTGCCTTCTTTAAAGGAAACCTTTATTTGATGTTAATAGCTTAAAGGGATTGTTCACTCATTTTGAATTACACAAAATACCCCATTTTTTTTAACAAAACCAAGATTGTGACACAGCTCAAAGCTGAAACTTGGTCTTAGGACCATTTGTAGGAATTGCACTTAAAAAACAGGGAGAGGCCGATGTGGGAGGGGGGGGGACATGCAACCATGACCCCTGCAAGATCCTGTACGAACCCAAGCTGTTAGCAGAACCCTGCCCGCGGAATCTCTTTCGATTCCAGCACTGTTCAAGTCCTGCCAAAGACTTCTCAAAAAAAACCTTTCCTTGATAATTGACCTTAAAAAGTAAAAATATCAAAAATGTAAACGTGGGGTTAATGTGTTTAATAATTAAAAAATTTAAGTAAGCTTAGAAATAATATGTACAACTCTTACCTATAACCATATGCATAATCATGATGTAACTTATAAGATGTTAAAAAGTTTTATTTCCTTTATCATTTTTTATCCTTTTTCAAGTTTTTGATGAATTTTAGTGTAACTCGTTTTATTTTGATATTGTTCAATATAGTTTAATGTAGTTTTCAAAACTGGTTTCTCTGTAGAAAATTTAAGAAAGGAAATTTGTTTTATACTATTTGATCTGTACAAGTGTTAAGTTCTATTTGAGTACATCAGAGTACAATGTTTAACATTGTGGTATTGTCCTAGTACAAGGTTAATACTGTACAGCATATGTATATTGTACGTTCTGATTTAGTGTGAGTGCAATCACAAGATCATATTGTACTGCGTGAACTATTTTTTATTAGTATACCTGAGTACAAGTACTGATAGTGTATGGGTGTCCTGGAAAAATGTATTTTACTTCACTGTCCTTTATTGTGCTGTAGTGTACTGTACTATATTGTACTATACTGCATGCGCTATTTGTACTAGATGAGTACGCCCAAGACTAAGAGCAAGATTGTACTGTACTTTTCTGTAGTGTACTGTACTGAAGTGTACTGTACTGTTCTAGGTGAGTATGTCCCAGTACAAGAGCAAGATTTTACAGTACTGTACTGTAGAGAACTGTAGTATACTGTACTGTTCCAGGTGATTATGCCCCAGAACATGGGCAAGATTGTACTGTACTGTGCTGTACTGTTCTAGGTGAGTATGTCCCAGTAAAAGGGAAATATTTTACTGTACTAAAATGTAATGTACTGTTCTAGAAGAGTATGTCCAAGTACAAGGGCAAGATTGTACTGTACTGTACTGTAGTGTACTTTAGTGTACTGTAGTGTACTGTGCTAGGTGAGCATGTCCCAGGACAAGGACAAGATTGTATTGTTCTGTACTGTAGTGTACCGTAGTGTACTGTAGTGTACAGTAGTGTACTGTAGTGTACTGTAGTGTACTGTACTGTATTGTACTGTACTGTACTGTACTGTTCTAGGTGAGTATGTCCCAGTACAAGGGCAAGATTGTACTGATAGAAAACACTGCTTCTCTCTGAGGAACAACTGTCAGGGACTTCACACAGATGAATGATCTGTGTGACAAGGTGAATAATTTATGAATTGATTATCTAATTTTAAATTGGTTTTTATTCATGAGATTAACATCTGAAATGCGGGGAAAACTGATAAAGGCAAAATCGCTATTTATTTTTTCTATTCCATTTAATTGAAAATTTGACCGGTTGAATTTTAAAATGTTTGAATGACTCATAATCGGCATGTATCATTGATTGAATAAATCAATTTAGACATGAAGAAAAGGTCAAGTTTTTTAAAAATTGCTGGTACGTCTTTGTAAGTTCATAGCTTCTCTATTTCTGTTTTTTCGCCCAAGCAAACTTCTTATGTTACTGTCAAAACGTGGTTCGTGTCAATAGTTTTGCTTTAACACGTGTAAGATTTCAATTTAACATGAATTTTGACTTGTGAACTATTTGACTAATCTAATATCTTTTTTTTTTGACATTATCTTAGCAATTCGTCCTGTTTGTACACTCTATAGCTATATAATCATTATGTTATATTGAAAATAAAAATTGTGTTATTGATGATTATCCCTAATTTCCAGTGATTTATTTTTTATTGATATAATTTTCCATTGTTATGGGAGTTGAGAGACTTGTTAGAATTACTTAAGTAAACATTTCTAAATAGAATAAAATAATATTACAGAGTTTTTGATAAGTAAACAGGGTGAACCAGAAAACAGTTTTTTTTTCTTTTAACTATTATTTTCGCTAGGTGTATGGAAAATATCAACTAAATTTTTACAATAATATCTCAATTTTTTTTTCTAGATATTTTGTTAGTGTAAGAGAGAACAAGTCGATATTCATTCCAAAGTTTTCTGGCTCTCCCTGTATATATTTTCCAATAGTAAAGATGAAGAATATAATAATTAACTTACACTATACACCTCTTAATTCCTCGAAACATTCAGGGGTGTAAGATGTTAACTTTGAATATGATCACTAAATGATATTTTTGATTTGTTTAGTACCCTGACAACCTGGTGGTGTTGGCGTTCCCAACGAACCAGGTTAGTAAACCGGTTCTGCAATTAAAAATAAACTGGTTCTACAATTAAAATAACTTGTTATTAAATTAATAATAAACTGACTCTGCAATTAATAATAAACTGGTTATGTAATAAAAAATAAAACTGGTTCCTCAAATAATAAAAGCTCGATTCTGCGATTATTAATAGACTGGTTTTATAATTAATAATAAACTGGTTCTGTAATTAATAAACTGTTTTTTTTTCAATCAATAATAAACTGGTTCTGCAATTAATAATAAACTGGTTCTGCAATCAATAATAAACTGGTTCTGTAATTAATAATAAACTGGTTCTGCAATCAATAATAAACTGGCGGAATTAATAATAAACTGGTTCTCCAATAATAATAAACTGGTTCTGCATTTAATGATGAACTGTTTCTGCAACTGAAAGTAAACTAATACTGCAATTAATAATAAACTGATTCTGCAATTAATTATAAACTTGTTCTGTAATTTATAATAAGCTGGTTCTGCAATTAATAAGGAACTGGTTCTAACTGGATTTGAAATTAGTAATAAACTGGTTCTGTAATTAATAATAAACTAGTTCTGCAATTAATAATAAACTGATTCTGTAATTAATAATAAACTGGTCCTGTAATTAATAATAAACTGGTTCTGTAATTAATAATAAACTGGTTCTGTAATTAATAATAAACTGGTTCTGTAATTAATAATAAACTGGTTCTGTAATTAATAATAAACTGGTTTTGTAATAAATAATAAAATGGTTCTGCCATTAATTAATACATTTTAAGCCCCTACAAGTCTTCTGAATATTAGAATTGAAGTATGTTTAAATTTAAAATTTCTGAACATGGCGCTTATCCAACACATCAAAGTACTTTATGATTAAAGAAAGTTTACAAGCAAAAACGATGTTCTTACTTCTTGGTGATTAAAAGAGTTTAAAATTAAATTTCGTGGAATTTTTAAAAGGGTATTTCGAATTTATTCCTTTTAGGAATAAAAAACTTTGTAAATCTTATTTAATTTAAAGGGAGAGTTCGCTAAAAAGGAAAGGGGGTATCGGATCGTAAAAAATCAATTTAATTTTAAAAAATCATTTAGATATTACAACCAAATTTTTTTATATTAATATTTCGCTTACAACTTGTTTTCACGGCTGGCTCTGGATTTTCGAACATTCCTGGAAAATATGAAAATGCGTCTTCAATGTCAAAACCATCCAAAGAGTTTAAAAGTACTAAATTTTGAAAACCGGAAGAAATGTTTTCAAAAATAACTCTCATAAAAATCAAAGATATCATGAAATATCAACTATTTACGAATGCGTCGAAAAATTATCGAAAATTATAGGTTGTTATATCTAAATGATTTGTTTGGAATAAAATGGAGTTTTTGCGATCCGAGTCGAACGTTGCAACTTTCTGAATTTGTATGGAGTATGGTATTAGTCGTTTTAACAATAATCTCCTGAAAGACGCAACAGATAGAAGTAAAATGCGATCTCGCCGTAAGCCTATACCCCCCCTTTCATTCTTCGCGAACAAAATGTTATGCTTTTTGATCATTGAAGCATAAAATGAGGGTAGTTTCAATTTTTAACACTCCGTTTTCCATTAAAGAAAGTTGGCATGTTCTAACCTTTGGGCCGAGAAAAAAATATTGTATTGGGTACAAAATATGAAATCAAACCCTCGGGGTTTTATGACTATGAAAAGGTTTTTGTTAAAATCTTGTTTTATTGTTAGAATAAAACCGACTTCGTAAATCAGTTGTCTGACGCTATTTCATAAAGTGCGCTATACCTCACTTTAAACAGAATTTAGATGAATATTTAATAAATTTCCATTGTTAGTTGTTTTTAGTTGTTATTTTAAAACATTGAATTAAATAAAATGAAGTGAAAACATTGTAAGACAAGAACTTATACAAAACTATTAATCTAAACTTTTTGAAAGCCAGGTAGCTAGTAGCAAAATTTTGAAAGCCAGGTAGCTAGTAGCAAAATATTGAAAGCCAGGTAGCTAGTAGCAAAATTTTGAAAGCCATGTAGCTAGTAGAAAATTTTAAAAGCAAGGTAGCTATAAGTACCAAAATTTTAAAAGCCAGGTAGCTAGTAGAAAAATTTTGAAAGCCAGGGAGCTAGTAGAAAAATTTTGAATGTCAGGTAGCTAGTAGCAAAATTTGGAAAGCCAGGTAGCTAGTAGCAAAATTTTGAAAGCCAGGTAGCTAATATCAAAATTTTGAAAGCCATGTAGCTAGTAGAAAATTTTAAAAGCAAGGTAGCTAGTAGCAAAATTTTGAAAGCCAGGTAGCTAGTAGCAAAATTTTGAAAGCCAGGTAGCTAGTAGCAAAATTTTGAAAGCCAGGTAGCTAGTAGCAAAATTTTAAAAGCCAGGATGCTAGTAGCAAAATATTGAAAGCCAGGTAGCTAGTAGCAAAATTTTGAAAACCAGGTAGCTAGTAGCAAAATTTTGAAAGCCAGGTAGCTAGTAGTAAAATTTTGAAAGCCAGGTAGCTAGTAGCAAAATTTTAAAAGCCAGGTAGCTAGTAGCAAAATTTTGAAAGCCAGGTAGCTAGTAGCAAAATTTGAAAGCCAGGTAGCTGGTAGCAAAATTTTGAGAGCCAGGTAGCTAGTAGCAAAATTTTGAATGTCAGGTAGCTAGTAGCAAAATTTTGAAAGCCAGGTAGCTTGTAGCAAAATTTTGAATGTCAGGTAGCTAATAGCAAAATTTGGAAAGCCAGGTAGCTAGTAGCAAAATTTTGAAAGCCAGGTAGCTAGTGTAGCAAAATTTTGAATGTCAGGTAGCTAATAGCAAAATTTGGAAAGCCAGGTAGCTAGTAGCAAAATTTTGAAAGCCAGGTAGCTAGTAGCAAACATTTGAATTGATGCTCCATTTATAGAGTGGCAAGTTCAATACACAACGATACACTTTAAACCATTATTTAAGCTAAACTAAATTATATTGGAGGTATCCTTCTTTAAAGTTGGTTATTTTCACTCCTGGTTTCTCTATATGGTTTTATGCAGTAGGAGAGAAAGAAGAAAATTGTCAAAATTAAATACTTTTTCATATTTAGTGAAACAACGATGTCTTTCAAATTCTTGATCAGATAGAGTTTTACCGCTGTGAATATGACATGCCCCTCTGTGAATCGAGGTTCACATAAAACAACCCAAGTCCTTTTAATGTACTCCGTTTACGCTATCAGAAAGTAGAAAATTTAAACCCCGGCCCTTTTAATGTACTCTGTTTATGTTATCAGAAAGTAGAAAATTACAACCCAGACCCTTTTAATGTACCCTGTTTACGCTATCAGGAAGTAGAAAATTACAACCCCGGCCCTTTTAATGTACTCCTATTAGGAAGTAGAAAATTACAACCCCAGTCCTTTTAATGTACTCTGTTAACATATCAGGAAGTAGAAAATTACAACCCCGGCCCTTTTAATGTACTCTGTTTACGTTATCAGAAAGTAGAAAATTACAACCCAGGCCCTTTTAATGTACCCTGTTTACGCTATCAGGAAGTAGAAAATTACAACCCCGGCCCTTTTAATGTACTCCGTTTACGCTATTAGGAAGTAGAAAATTACAACCCCAGTCCTTTTAATGTACTCTGTTAACATATCAGGAAGTAGAAAATTACAACCCCGGTCCTTTTAATGTACTTCGTTTACGCTATCAGGAAGTAGAAAATTACAACCCCCGTCCGTTTAAAGTACTTCGTTTACGCTGTCAGGATGTAGAAAATGACAACCACGGTCCTTTTAATGTACTCCGTTTACGCTAGTAGGAAGTAGAAAATGACAACCCCGGTCCTTTTAATGTACTCCGTTTACGCTATCAGAAAGTAGAAAATTAAAACCCCGGCCCTTTTAATGTACTCTGTTTACGTTATCAGGAAGTAGAAAATTACAACCCCGGTGCTTTTAATGTACTCTGTTTAACAACCCCGGCCCTTTCAATGTACTCTGTTTACGCTACAGGAAGTAAGAAAATTACGCTAGTAGGAAGTAGAAAATGACAACCCCAGCCCTTTTAATGTACTCTGTTAACATATCAGGAAGTAGCTTTACCCTATCAGGAAGTAGAAAATTACAACCCCGGTCCTTTTAATGTACTTCCTTTACCCTATCAGGAAGTAGAAAATTACAACCCCCGTCCATTTAAAGTACTTAGTTTACGCTGTCAGGATGTAGAAAATGACAACCACGGTCCTTTTAATGTACTCCGTTTACGCTATTAGGAAGTAGAAAATGACAACCCCGGTCCTTTTAATGTACTCCATTAACGCTATCATGAAGTAGAAAATTTCATGTGACGTGAATTAATTGGAATAATATTAAATTGATAAAGTTTTATTTTGATTAAGTGTTTAGATATAAATGCATATAATTATAATTTTTGTTACTGAAAGAAAACACGACATCCGTTTCACACACTTGATAACAGAAATGTTTCAATAATTAATAAAAAAAAACATTAAAAAATTATTTTTTATCATAATTTCAATTCACAGCCTGAGAAATTTTTAAAAGTTATATTTTCATGTTTCATCTAGAGGTGGGAATTAATTAATTTTTAATCTTTTTTTCAAAATTTGTCTAATGTACCCTGGAAGAATAAATGAAATGAAAATATCAAGCATTCATCCTCAAGTTTAAAGTGCCCATAGTGGATATCGATATCAAGCGTTCCCAGTTCAGGAAATGCCTAAATCTTTCGCAATATTTTGAAGTCAAATTATTCTGTTCAAAAAGTTTGATGGAAATTATTTGGCCGAGAGAATAGGCATTTATTGACAAATCCCAAATAACAATTTCTGTACAATTTCACCCACTGTTCCTTATCAACATTTTCAGGGAATTATTGTCAAATTATTATGCTTTTAAATGCAAAATGTGAAAATAAAAGGAGGGGTTACTTTCCTTATTTGTGAACTTTACTAGACAGTTGCCAATATCTGAAGGAAAACACATTTTAATTGCGCTCAAATATTTGCATAGCATGAGCAGCTAAAATAAAACCTGAAAGTCACCTTTGCAAATTTTAGCAATAAATAAAAGATTTTAGATTTTACAATTTGTTTTATATTTAGTTTGGACACCAAGAGAATTCTAATGGCGTGGAGATCCTGAATGCTCTGAAATATGTCAGGAATCAATTCACATTCTTGACTTATACTTCCTTTATTCACATTCTTGACTTATACTTCCTTTATTCACATTTTGGACGTATACTTCCTTTATTCACATTCTTGACTTATACTTCCTTTATTCACATTCTTGACTTATACTTCCTTTATTCACATTCATGACTTATACTTCCTTTATTCACAATTTACTGTATCATGGATGCTTATATTTAAGTTATACAATTAGTTTAAGAGATTCTGACTATTTCACGTAAAATATAAAAATCATTTAAGATAACTCAGGAACCTCGGACCGATTTGCCTCAAATTTGGATTGGGGAACTCGGGAGACCCACGGGTATGCTCTTAGTTTAGTTTTGACTGAGATTCTAAGTTGAGTGGGGTGACTTTAATAGCGAAAATTTAGTTTCCGGTAAAATCGTTTGAGTGAAAGTAAATGGGGGTTGTAACTTTAAGTAACCTGGGTTCCCCTTCCCAAGCTAGTTTAGTTATAAAAATGTAGAAAGAAAATTAATCTCTTTATGTTAGTTTATAAGTTTATTAGTCTAAAACTATTATGTAAATTGATTGTATTTAGGCCTGGAAATGGATTTGAACCTAAAGCCGAGATGTTTGATAAGGTAAATTAAGTATTTAATTAACTTCACTTAAAGTTTAAACAGTTTTTATACATTTAGATTCACTAATTTCAATACACCCTTCAGGGGTCTTTTTTAAATAGGCAGAGTGGGATTTATGTTGTGTGCAATGCCCCGGAAAATTCCAAAACAGAGAGAGGGGGATTGAATTTTGTAGATCCAGAAAAATAATATCTGTGGGATGCCTGCGTAGAGACTGGCAGCTGGTGGGGTCTTGAATGTAAGAATGTGGCCGCAGCGCTCGGCCCAGAAAGTGTCATAACTTAACCTAACCCGTAGCCTCAGCGCTCGGCCCCTTAGCCTGTCCTAGCCACAGCGCTCAGCCCAGAAAGCGTCTTAACCTAACCTAACCCTAAATAAATACTAATTTAATTATTTTTCTGAATCTACAAAATTCAATCCCCCTCTCTCTGTTTTGGAGTTTTCCGGGGCATTGCACACAACATAAATCCCATTCTCCCTTTTAAATAGTGTACATTGTAGGGTACAGTGAAAATTATATTTCATAATTCGGTTTCCTACAGTTTAACCAAGAACTTCGGAGTCATTTAAAGAATTTATAAAATGTCGTCTTGAAAACTTTTCAATGGGTTAACACCTAAATTTTAATAGCTGCAAGTTGTAAAAATAAATAAATAGCCTAATAATATTCGGGAACAGTTTAAAAAGCTCCATATAATTGTCAATAAAAAAACTAAATATCTGCAAGACTGCAGCATTCCATTATCAGTAAGGTTTAGAAAATTTCATTTCTTTGTCAAAAAATCGTTTTAAAAGATTTGAAATTGAAAGATGTTGATTGATCTCAAATGTTTACAAAGATAAACAATAAAAGCTAATTTTTCGGAACGTTTTCAGCCATATTTCATTTATTCAAACGATTTTCAAATCTTAATTTAGCATTAAAATTTCTAAAAAAAATTAAATTATTTTGGCCTACTCAGTTCTCACTGTGCCATAGTAATCAATTTTTAGCAATAACATACAGGGTGTCTCATGAAACATGACAGTTGATGAATAGTTTTGAATGTCTTCTTCCAAATACTGTATTAGATATTGAAGACTTTTTGTTGTTTATTTAGTTTAAAAACATCTTTACTCAAATATATTTTACTTTGTAATCAATTTTACTGTAAGATGACATTAATACAATATTTTTTATCATTCTCTGTGGTATCAAACAACTTAACAAATTATGGAAGAAGACATTTTAAGCAATTCACTAACTGTCATGCTTCGTGGGACGTATTAAATCTTCCTTTTTGTTAAATGAATCTGGCAGAAGGGAAGAATGAGTAGAAGGAAAGTAGTAATTTGATTCATCTTAAGTAAATCTTCAACCGAAGAGTTTTTTTTGGATTCAAAAAAATTTTTAAAATTTTTTCTAGATCGAAGTGAACGGAGATAACGAACACCCAATGTTCTCTTGGTTAAAGAAAGCACTTCCAGCACCTGGGGATGATCAGGTAATCAACCAATGCAATCAATCAACCAACCTATTCATCAAACTCATCCAAAATTTATCGAACCTTATTTAATATGGTTCATTTTTTTAGATTAGCGAATCAGTCCAACAATCAATAAATCAATTAAAGCTAATATGCTTGGTCTAATGTTTAGTCTGGATTTATTGGTCCATCAATCAATCATTCCATAGATCAGTCAACCCTACAATCAGCACAAATTGTGTATTAATCAATAAATCCATTAAACTTTTTGGTCCTAAATTGATCGAATTGTCCACATATCAATAAGCCCGTGAGTAAACCGTCCGATCATTCTATCCATCAATCAATTATTTAATCAACCAATCAGTAAATAAATCAATCAGTCCATAAATTGTTTATCGATCAGTCCTTCTGGTCTTCAATCCATTCTTAATCGAAGGTTTAATCTGAATCCAGGATCCCCCGGTGAAACAATTTATCAATCAATTGTAAACAAAAATACCCATGTTTTAGGAAAGCTTGATGGGAGATCCTAAATTTCTAATTTGGAAACCTATTAAACGCTCAGGCAGTTAAACAGCTTAAAACTTAACTATAAGAAATCAATTTTACACTGTTATAAACTGTACAGTCTTACTAAGTTATGTAGCATAGAGAATATGTTAATTTTGTCTAATCTAAAAAAGGAATGTTAAAAAAAATTATCTACTTTTTAAATTTTTTATTTAATGATGTGTTATTATCATTTTTAATGCCATCAAGACACGAGCTGTAAACAGTTCCGTTCCTAAATTTTGATGTCTTGGCATGCAAATCTAAATTGAAATTTGTCTTTTCGAACAAACGAACGGTTTCGCAAATAAACGGATAAATTCTTTAAACAACTGTCCCTTCTGCGGTTTAACGGTTTAATTATGAAAAAAGTATACAGCTGCAGAAAATTATAAATGCCAGCAAAATGACTGAATAGATTTCGTACAGACAACACACGGGCAGCCAGGTAGTACATTTGAATTTCCGACCGGGGTCAACCTTTCCGGTCCCAGTTTGACTGTATCGCCCGGACATTGAGTAAATAGGACTAGCCTTTGCAACAAGGTTGGTTGACGCGGTCAGACATTGGGTTGAATTCACTTTTACTAAAGGGTCAGAGGAGCGTGAACATTATATGTCAGATCCTTTTTTGGTAATAATTTATATTAAAAAGACGATTTCTCATTTTCGATGTATTAAGAAATTTTTATGCAAATTGGGAAACACTTTCTATGGATATTTGTACATTAAATCATACTAAATTTAAGCTTTTAAATGCTTACAAGTCCGGCGTTGCCTGTGGAACTTTTTCAAATTAAATTTTGAAGAAGTAAAAAAAAATCGAATTTTTGTTAGCCTATGTTACCTCAGACAATTTCAGCTCATTCGGTCCAGCCGTTTGTCCAGCTTTAGCTAACATTGAGTTTTCCTGCTCTTTAACATTTCTTTTTGATTTTTTTTACAAAGTTCAGAAATATATTTTTCTTTTAAAACAAAAGTTTTTCAATATAAGAAATATTATGAATATGATATTTACTTTGCTACAAAGTCCACATAAAGGGACTGGGTGACTGTAGACGTGATTTAGCATTTAAAAAAGGGGTATGATCCGATTCACGATGGTACCCTTTAAATAGTCATCTGAACAACTATGAGAAAGATATCGTCGTTATTATTTCTCAAAAAGTTCTCAAAATCTTTGTATTTTCATAAACTTTCCTTAGACTCAGGTTTTAAGAGTACTGTTGTGAATCAGACATGATTTTTTACGCTGACAGTCCCTAAAAGTTCTTTCGATCACTTTCTTTTAACCTGTTTGCTGCGGCCAGACATTTCCTGGAATTTCGAGAAGTTTCTAATCTCACCTGACGGTCAACCCATTCAGCGATACTCCAGGTTAGCTCAACACATCACACACAATTCGTTCAGGGTGTCCTAATTAAGATGGGAATGAAGAGACGAATTCGGAATCGTCTTTGTAAAGTTGTGTTACCTAAAATGTCAGTGGTCAAAACAAACTTACGTTTGCTATAATATATTTTTGTAAACGATAAAAGGCTGTTTTGTTATATTCTGTAAAACATTTTATGACGTTCTGTCACATTTCTACAAGAAAGTGTTTTTAATGATAGATAGATATATTTATCATTAAAGTACATAATTTTACATAGATATATTCTTTAAACTAACACTTTAATGACGGGATTTGCCAAGCCAACATTGGCCGTCTTTAATGGCAAACCCGGATGTAATTGTATGATATAATTTTTAAATCATACAATTGGAGGTGTTTCGTCCAATAAGTAGGGGGAAAGTATTAGGAAGAAAGAGGGGGGGGGGTTATTTAGCTCAATCAGAATCAATAGCTGGCTCAGACCTTAGGATGGCACATTTATTTATTCAGAAATACATGAATAACAGTTTGATTTTGAACATTCAAATGATAAGTGCCAAGTTCTGTTTAAAGTTCTAAATTGCTAAGGATCTTTATTGTTTTCTTTTAATAAATTTTCTTAATTTATCATTCAAAACTTTTTGGACTTTTAAAGGTTCCACCAAAAACCTGAGAGTTTTTACACACTTCAAAAGTGGTTATTTTAAACATTTGTGTTTGTACTTTCAAAACCACGAGAAAAGGTTAGTTTTTCCGGATATTTTTTCTATCAAAGAAATTTAATAAAAGAAAACTTTTTAAGAATATAACTTTGAAATGTTGTAACTTTATTCTTATGGAGTAGTATTTTGTGCAGGTGCTTTTGGAAGTTCAAAAAAAAGTTTTAGGAAAACGAACCAAGCAAGTCTTCATCAATTTCTTTTCAACGTGTAACAAATATCATTTGCCAAACGATAATGGCATTATCGATTTAAATAATTCAAAAAACAAATCTATAATATTTTAGGAGTTTCCAGACCTGTGATGTTGAAGCTGATATAAAGAAACTAATGTAAAACACTAAAATCCTCCAAATCTTGACTCCTCTTCAATATGACTCTGTACCTGTAAACTCTGCTCTGATCAAGGTTCAGATGATGATACCACTACGAGGAATAGGTTTTAAAGAAATGGAAATGAATGTTTTAGTGTTTACACATAATAAATACTTGTAGAGAACTTTATTGGTTGTTTTAACAATCTTAATGTTAAACTTTTATTGATAACTAGCAAAAGCTAGTATTAAAGAACTTAGGTTTAGTTTAGTAAGATATAAAAACAGAGATCTTTACTTTTGAGGATATTATTAACTTATATGCTTAATCTCGGTATCCAGTGTGGGCACTTAAATTTGAAAATCAATGCTTGATCCCTCAATTAAAGTTATTCCCGAAAACAAGGTATTAATCCGTAGACCTTCATCAAATTGAGATCAATGCTTGAATCTAAAAATATCTTAATTTGTAGTTTAAGGGTTTTTGATGATCTAAATGTGATTCATGCCATGTCCCAGTCAGTGCGCTTTGTAGGATCTTCTATACCAAATTTAGGCAATAATTCAAACTTTTCTTAAACTTAATCCGGTCCACAAGAGAGGGGATTCTTTATACTTTACTTTTTCAACCACTTTTTGTTATTTATTAAATATGTCGGCTGGTTCTAGAATCTTTTTTCTTATACATGGTTACCCACATTAGATTCCTGCTCAAATATAAACTATAGACTATTTCTTTGATAAAATCGTTAGTTTTTCTATGAAAAGACTGTATTAACGACAGAAACCCTTGTCCAACCTTATTTTAAGAGTTTCAAGTCGTCATTAGAGTCTCATTCTTTGTGGGTCCCCCTGTATTTACTTCACAGGTATAGTTGCTAAAAAAGGAGTAGAGGAATGGAAAATGCTTGCGAGGATTTAAGCAAAGAAGTTAAATGATTACTTCATTTATCTGTTTAATCCCGGGAGGATCTTCAAGTTAACACAATTAACTAATTGAAAACAAACATTATTTTAATCATAGGATTTCCGACATGTTTTCTGACAATGCTCTACCTTTAAAAAAGATGAAGGCTTTCAAGATTCAAAGTTACAAGGTTACTGGGGCATGTCGGGAAACTTTTTTTTTTTTGTGATTTATAATTCCTAAGGTACAAAGATCTCCTGAAATTTATCTTTTTTTAAATCCCAAAAATGTGAATGTTTGGTTTAAAAAGTTAATAGAACTAACCCTTGTTTGTGTAAACTGTTAGACGGCTTTCTCAACTTACTTAACTTACTTAACTGTAAAATGCCGCTGTAAACTGTAAAATGAAACATTAAGTACGGGTATTGAAATTAAGAAAGTTGTTAAATGGAATAAAGAGAATTAAAAAAGATAAAAAGATATTGTAAAATGAAACATTTGGCTCAAACACGAAATTACTATAGTAAAATATAAAACTTGGGAGTTATTACTTTAAACTTATGAATGAAAAGCGTACATGTGTTTAATGAATAAGTAATTTTAAATATCGTACGATATAGAGACATAGATATCTTCTATTTATATCAACTATATCTGAGCTAGAGTAAATAAAATTTTATCTCTGTTTGTTTGTCTAGATGTCTATGCATAACTCACGAACCCTTGGACCGATTTGCCTCAAGTTTTGATTGGGGAACTCGGGAGAACCACAGGAATGTTCCTAGCTAAATGTTTAGATTGAAGTGGACGATGAACATAAAGTGGGAGAAACTAAATTGCTATTGAAAACAATATAAAACTATTTTTATCTTTTTGAAACATGCTTTTATTGTATTTTCCGAAGTTTGAAGAAAGTTGATGAAATATTTCAAAACTATTTGAAGAGAAAATAAGAATTTCGGACATTTCCAGCTGGTTAATCAAATATAATTCATTTTTAAATTTATTTCTGGTTTGGGACATTGCACTGTTTACTCCGGTTCATTTTAAGTACCAGGGCTATGTAATTGGCCGAAATTTAACCAGCTAGAGTAAGCTGTACAGTCCTATAACAGACTATGTATTGCGCCGATCTTTAACCAGCTAGAGCAAGCTGTGCAATACAATAACAGACTATGTATTAGGCCAACCTTTAACCAGGTAGAGCAAGCTGTACAGTATAATTACAGACTATGTATTAGGCCGACCTTTAACCAGCTAGACCGATCTTTAACCAGCTAGAGCAAGCTGTGCAATACAATAACAGACTATGTATTAGGCCGACCTTTAACCAGCTAGAGTAAGCTGTACAGTATAATTACAGACTATTTACTGGGCCAACCTTTAACCTGCTAGAGCAAGCTGTACAGTACAATAACAGACTATGTATTAGGCCGACCTTTAACCAGCTAGAGCAAGCTGTGCAGTACAATAACAGACTATGTATGGGCCTACCTTTATCCAGCTAGAGCAAGCTGTACAGTACAATAACAGACTATGTATTGCGCCGACCTTTAACCATCTAGAGCAAGCTGTACAGTACAGGCCGACCTTTGACCAGCTAGAGCAAGCTGTACAGTACAATTACAGACTATGTATTAGGCCGACCTTTAACCAGGTAGAGCAAGCTGTACAGTACAATTACAGACTATGTATGGCAAACAGGGGCAGTACACCAAATGAATGATCCCCTTCTAGTGAAGTTTATGTGATTTTTATGAATTATTTATTTATTCACTGTAAAAAATAATTAATAGATTTTTTAGTTCTGCTTATTTAAAAGGCCTTGTGTATTTTACACAAGATGTTCTTGTAGGAAATTCGTTTTTCTTGGTGTTTGAGTTTAAATTCAAGTTTCCCACGGAGATGGTTGGTATCGCCTTTTAAAATTTGATTGTCACGTGTCTAATCATTTATAGTTTTCAATAATAATGAAAAAGTTCAAACAGGAATTAAGTCTAACTGTAAATGTACGTTAAATGTGTAAAACAATACATTAAAACTTGGTAGAAAAATTAAGCTGGAAATTTACAATCGATCTCAAATTCATTATAAAAAGAAAATTCAGATAAAGAATCTTTTAAATAAGTTACATTTTAGTGGTCAGTTTATAGGAATAAACATGATATTGTAAAACCTTGAAATCTGCGAACTTACAAAACGGGAACGGGAACCCCAAACCAAAATCAACCATTTATGACCTAATGTGTAAAGATCCAACCCAAATAATATTTTCACGGATTGGAAATCTGATTTACAACAGTTCACCATATACCTACTAAGCTGCTGGCTGGCTATATACAATATACATACAGGGTGTCCCACGAAGCATGACAGTTGGTGAATAGCTTTAAATGTTAAATTTGTTAAGCTCCTTGATACAAAAGAGAATAGTAACAAATAAAAGATGGCAGTCATTTTATTGAAAATTGATTTCAAAGTAAAATATATTTGATAAAAGAGTTTGCTAACGAAATAAACTAAAAAAAGTCTTTAATATCTAAATAATATATGGAAGTAGACATTCAAAACCATTCACCAACTGTCATGTTTCGTTGGACACCCTGTATGTTACCTGTTCATCAAATGTACATATTAAAAAGACCGTAATTTATAGAGAAAACTAGTTCTGAAACATATTTCTGAACGGCCAATGCCTGTATCATATTAATGGCATTACTGCACCGGATGTAATACAGGGTGTCCCACATCAAATTAGACCGCGTCAATGGGTCTAAATTACGATTTAGGGGAAAAATCAGAAAATTTAAAAAGAATGAATCATTTTAAAAAATTTAATAAAGCTAATAGAATTTATTTTTTGCAGAAAATGCTAGATTTTTCGAGTATTATGTGCGTATATTTAGGTGTTAAAGATTGGAGATAATCTAATATGATATGGGACGCTCTGTATAATACCTGATATGATTCAAATATTCTGTTTCAATGAGTTTTATCTCTGATTTACAAGAACCACATGTAAAAGTAAATGCTTGCGTTTCTGACAATAAAAAAGTATAAACATTAGAAAATTTTAGTTTGTGGCAAAGACTCAATTCCTTTCAATGAACTTAATTTGTATTAGCTTAGAGCTTTCTGGTTTAGTTTGGGTTCCCTATAAACCTTTAATTCAAAATCTACAAAAATGTCAGCTTTATTAATCGGACTTTTAGCTAATTTTAAGTTACCCTCCATGCAAAGATAGCGATGCCCGATTTACAACATTACTCTTGAAACCTTAACCTGATCAAAAATACTGTCGTTTTCTGACTTAAAACGCGTTCAACTCTTACAATTTCTCCATTGTTTCTTATGAGCCAGAAATGCCCAAGAGTTTAAATAAACAAAACATAGATATCTAAATCATGCTTGCTCAGACAAAGCATGTAATGGTACCGTTGTAAATCGTGCATTGCCATCTTTGAAAAGAGGGTCATTTGAAATTACGCTTTAAACAAAACCACAAGTGAAATTTTGGAACATCGTGTAGTGGTGAGATAGATTTAGTATTGATTAACATTTTAATTCTAATATATTTTTTAGCAATAAAATATTCTATCTAATTTTAAAATGTCTTCTTTAATATTTATAAAACACACAAACTCTAAAAGAAGGATAATTCTTTTTAAATTGAACAGATGATATCAATGAGGTGTTGAGTCAGGTACTTAAATTTTCACTTCTCTAAAATAATAATTATATTTTTTGCGGTTCAAATAAAAAGTGGGAGCAAATCCTTGTAGAAACTTATTTCAAAACAAACCCGCATTAAAGTATTAAAATAGGATTGATAGTAGAAAATGATTTCAGCCTTAATTTTCAGAGGACAAAACTATCGTTTGAGATAGTGCTGATCTCCATGGCTTGATAGTGATATCTGGTTGGAATAGTGCTAAATCCCTTAAAGGGACAGTAAAGGAAAAATGAAAGGGGGTATAGGCTGAAAGCTAATCACTTTAGCTCTTGATCGCGACCCATGAAAGTTATATCTGATGTTCCTGTCTCGATAAATTGATATAAAACTGTGTTAAAATTATACAAAAATTCATATATGTAAAATTTTGAAAATCTGAAACTTAAATCACGTGACCAGAACTATTACCAATGGCACAGCAGTATACTGGTCACGTGTCTCCGCCTGTATCACGTGACCACTTTACTGCACTGCCATTGGTGGAATTTCTGGTCAAATAATACGGACGTAAAAATAATATTATGAATGAAATCTATTGAAAATAGAAATAACAAATATAAAAGTAAACCTAATTTACAATTAGCTTTCTCTGGGATATCATCGTTTTCAGATTGGTTGCTTATTTGCTGAATATGATCTGTTTAAACCTACTACTTTTATACAAAATTGTATATACATTAATTTTCGTATATATTTGACACAGTTTTATATCAATTTCTCGAGACATGAACATCAGATATGACTTTCATGGGTCGCGATCAAGAGCTAAAGTGATTAGCTTTCAGCCTATGCCCCCTTTCATTTTTCCTTTACTGTCCCTTTAATTCCAAGTACGATCAAAACAGAATATCCCAGAGAAATATACTCAACCCGTAGAACTGAATAAGATAACAGATAACTGCTTGACCCTAGGATTCACAACATAAGGTCTGAGCTTATGTAAAGAAAGTTATCTATAAATTTAATTACCCTTCAGAAGGTGAAGTTACTTACTTCTCATTCCAGTAGATTTTCTGCCAAAAAGTCATTCTCTCATTTTCGATATCACTTTTCATTTCCGCTTTAACTCCAAGCTCCATATACCTCTAAAAAAATAGATTTAAATTTTCTTAAAAAATTATTTTATTGGTTTATTGATTGTCTTTGATAAGCCTTTACCTTTTCAGTTGTATAATGTTTCCATTGAGTTAAGTTTTGGTTCAAGAATGGAGAAGGATGTCCATACTTGGCAAAGTTGGTCCAATAAAGAGACATAGTTTTAGATACTTCCTCTTCTTCCTCATTTCTTGGGCCAAACAGATTAAAAAGATAAATATTTTCATCAAAATGTACTGGCGTTAAACTCTTAATTGCATCACAGTCTTTTTCTTCGAAGGTATTGCCATTGACATCAACACACTCAAGAACTGATTTTGAACCACTGTATGTGAACTGGTAGTTGTACACTGGAATATGCTCAGAGGCTAGTTCAGCAAATTTCTGATCCGGACTCAGGAACAAGGCATCTGTTAACATGTTGGCTACTTCATAAAGAGACTCTAAAAGCTAAAAATTTCCTCCATTGTAGAATTTCAAAATTATATTTGACAGTACAGATTCTTCTGGTGTGATTTCAGATTTGTTATAACTTGCAGCAACGTGCAGATCTGTAGGTCCCAAACCTTTCCAAAAACTTTCAAAATTCGCTTTTTGAATAAGTACTAAACCATCATTCTTAACTGTTCCTAGAAGAAAATAAAGATTAGGGAGCAAAATTCTTGGAAAAATAACATAAAATATATATTATATTTGGAAAATACCTGTCATGACTGGAACTTTGGCAAATAGTCCTTTTGAGAAAGCTGCCAGTGGTCCCACTGGAAGGACTGGATCAGATGCATATGAATCACAAACTGGAGCCCATTCTCCTATGTCAAAGTTTTTGCTTTCAGGATCCTCACTTAATCTGTCAACTTTAAATGCAAACAATAGATCTGCAGAGCCGAGTTCCTGGAGGCATTCCATCATTGCTTTGTCATTTAATGTGCTAGAGCAATTGAATTGATCTGCTAAACTTGAGGCTATTCGTTCTTGTCTTGATTTTTCATATTCATCTCTATAGAGAAGCATTGTCCCACTTTGTAATATGGCACCTGAAAAAAGTCCCACTGCTTTGGGGGACATCTGAAGAGCATTTACACTTATTGCTCCGGCACTCTCTCCAAATATGGTGATTTTAGCTGGATCTCCTCCAAAATGGTGTATCAAATTCTTTGTCCAGTGCATAGCAGCTATCTGATCTCTAATACCCATGTTCCCTGCCACTATATCATTTCCAAAGGTTAGGAATCCTAACCCTCCCAGTCTATAATTAATTGTTACAACTATAACATCCTCTTGAACTAATGGGGTTGGATCATACTCTTCTGCTGATCCAATTTCGAACCCTCCACCATGGATCCATAGCATGACGGCTCTAGGTATGAATACCTGCGACTCTTGAGGTATGGAAGAGGTAAAAATGTTTAGAAACAAGCAGTCTTCGGACCCTATCAGTTTCTCACTCTCACCACTAAAAATATCAAACTGGGGACATTTAGCGCCAAAGTTGAATGCCTCTAAATCTTTGTAAATCATAACTGGCTGAGGAGGTTTAAATCTAAGTTTTCCTACTGGTGGTCTGGAGTAAGGTATACCAAGGAATTTATACATTTTCTGTCCAGATTCTTGCTGAGAAATCTTTCCATATACTGCCCCAAGGTAGGTTTTGATTTCAACAATATCATTCTCCGAAGTAGCAGCAGATGAATTTTCAGAGGAATCCTCAATCTCATTTGTTGGGACAGTTGATATTACAGCTTCCTCTAGATCTTCAACAATTTTCTCTTCTTCTAGATTGATTTCAGGCATATCTGTTTGTGATTCATCTTCTTCAGGTGTAGATGTTGTCTCTTTGATTGCAAAAATGGTTGTTGCTGACCCAACATCCTCAATGTCTGTTTTCCTTATCTCAGCCTTAATATCAGAAATAAAAAACCCAATAATGTTGCTATTTAATGAAAGCATAATTCAAATTATGCCGCGTTTTTAAACAACATTTAATTGATGAGAGAGTAATTTGTTTGATTGCTGCTATACATTTAATCACTTGCTTCTTCAAATCAAAGTAAAAAATTGAGGAATGAGAGAAAATTATGTTTAATTTCAATATCCACACTAATAAAAATTCCCAATGCATGTGAGGTCATAAGATTGTGATGAGAACAAGGTGCATTATGCTTAACCATCTTTCTTATGTAACTGATGCAACTGATCTTGTCATAAATCACTATACAAACTAAAGAAATACAAACTCCAGAATGATCACATCCCAATCTTTTAATAAATATTTTTGCATTTTTTCTTTAATTATAGGTGAGGTTGGACCTTCTGAGGCGCCGCTGGCTAAAAAAGGAACAAGGGTTGCCATTTTAGGAAAGGCTAGAGGCTAAGCACAGATGTTTGGAAGAAGCGTAGTTCTGTGGCGCAGGAGGAAGAATTATTTCAGGATTTTTATTTTTCAAAGTTTGTATTTCAGGAGTTTGAAATGGTATTCCAAGATTAAGGTTTTACCTGAAAGGAAGCAGCAAAACATAGAGAAAGAGAGATGAGTCTGCTCAACCTCATTGTAACTATTGTCTGTAATGGAGTTCTTTAGGAAACTGAATTAAAGTTCTGTTCAATTCTAACAAGCTGGAGCAGGGAGCTTTACTAAGATCTAAGAGTATTTTCTAAGAAGAAGTTAACACTTCCAATGAGCTGATTTTTGTTTCAAAGGTAGTTACTGACTAGGTATGGTAGTTGCTGTTGATATGAGAGTGCAGTATTAAAAAATTAAGTATCAGGATTCTTTTGATACCTTTGAAACGTTCTCTTATTGCTACATAACATATAAAACCACAAAAAATTGTGAGACTGGATAATTCTGGTGGTTTTCACAAGATTAGATTTTTTAGAATTAATTCGCAAACCAGCCGAAAAATGAAACAATAATCCTGCTATAAACTAATTTCAAGCCTAGAACTAGGTTAAGAAACTAAAAATTAACCTTTAACATCTAAAATATGTATTTTTATTCAGATGATGATGATAAAGAAATATTCCATTTTATCACTGATTTCATGATAAAATATGAAATATGTTCAAAACAGCAAATTAGTGAAAAGAAAAATTGTTGACAAGCTTTTCGTCCAGAGATGGAATTTAAAGAATTTCAGCCGCGGTTTAAATCTTCCAAAATCCGGTTTAAATTAAGCGCCGGCTTGAATCTTAAAACATTTGATACAATTTTAAGTTGAACCAACCATATTTAAGCCGCGGTTTAAATTTAAACCGCTGCTTAAATTCTTTAGATTCGGCCACAGGGTATTAAATGATTTTTAAAAATATAATCTTGTTAGCCAATTCCTTCTAAATTATCCAGCCTTGTAATTTAAAGTACGAGTTTTCTGTCAAATGAATCCCAATATTTCATTCTCTGATAATGCACGCTCAGTTCAATTACGAATTACGATACCTTGCCAGTCTCTCCCTTAAAAATTAAATCATATCCTAAATGTTCCACTATATTTTTATTTTACACCAGAGTTTCTTTCTTTTTTTTATTTTTTTTTCTAACCTTATCTTTATATTGAGAGGATCTGCTCAACATTTATATTTTATTTTGTAAAATATATTGTCCTCTTGTTTACCAGTGTACACTGTGTAGTGTACACTACAGTATACAGTGCACAGTGCACACTCTCCCATGTTATAGGGAATATATTTTCTAATGAAACATCCACAAGAAGATTCCAACCCCCAAGAATTCCGTTAAAATATTTTTAAAAATTTCCCATTCATCACCCAAGAATATTTTAACAGGATTTCATTAAAAGCGAAAAACTGGCTCCAAAAAAGGGATTTGATCTTTTTTCAAAAATGTACATTTTAGAAGTTTGCTTAAGTTTATGGCAATTTATAAAATGTTCTCTGGCTCAAAACTAATGATTGAAAGCAGAACAAAAATGCATTAAGAATGCACTTGGTTACTTTGTTGGTTACTCTGTAAAAATGAATTATAGGAAAATTAATTTCAAAATAAAACTATAATCATTTCAAAACAGAACATAAATATTTGCTTAATATTCACATGTTTCAAGATATGTAAGAATAACTCTTCCTGTTTATCTTTACATATAAAGTAGTAATTGTTTGTTTGTTTGTTTGTTTGTATGTACGATCATAACTCAGAAACACCATGACGGGATTTGCCTCAAATTTTCAGTAGAGCAGAATTTCAGAACGATGGAAAAACTTTTTACAGAGAACATTCAGTTTCCAGACTAAGATGGGTCCTGAAACTAATTGGAATATAAAATTTGAAGATTACTGTTAGATAAACAAAATACAATACGCACCTATGAAATGCTTATAGGTTTTAATAATATGCGTTTTTTTTATTGACACCCTGTATTAAGAGGCTAGACTATACAGGTTTTTAATTTTATTCAAAATATATACGAGGATATATAGTTTTGGACATAAAAATGGATAAGAAGGATATGTGTTGTCTTAAATTTGCAATTTTCTATCTATAGCATAAAACTAATCACATAAACTAAATAGTATTTTTTGTGAAATAATCATGATCTTGTACTGGTTTCTTGAAGACTTCTGGTCATAATCAGGTTAATCGAGTTTCCTAAACATTTTACGAAATTAAAGAGAAAAGTGTTGTTAATGGACCTTGCATAAAAGTTGTGCCAATTGAATACAATAAGATTTAAAAAAACTTTAGAATAATGTTAAATGCTGGGATTAATTAGCAGGTATGGTTCAGATTGACTGAGCTATTAGAACCAAGGTACTAATGCAAGGAAAGTTATTTCTGAGGTGTACACATCTTTTGTATACAGGGAACTGTCTCTGGGCGTTAATGTAAACACAAGACGGATGTCACAGCCTGACATGGGATACATCTTTCACATAAAAAATCACTGAAATATTCTAGTCAATGAAAACTATTAAGTGAATTAGCAAAATTATCAAAATTAAATGCTTTTATCATCCACGGATACTAAACAAACAATGATACATCTATTCCTTGTTTACATATTCCGCCCAGAACTGGTTTCAATATGTACGCTGAGTATACGCAACTACAATTAACTTTCCTTGCATTTTAACCTTGACTAGAACCAGCTTTCTTTTAAAAATTAAGTCCTGGAAATTTGATACAAATGAGACAATGAGACAATGAGACAACCATTAAATACAGAAACTAATTTCAGCACAATTAGTAAAATTTCATATGTTACTACAGTTAATGTATCTATCAATTTTCTTAGAATTAATACCTATCATTTTGATGTGGATCTGGATGTTTTATGAAGATTGGATTCTAATCTAACTCGAACACTTTTGAGAAAATATCAAACTTATTAATCTCATTTCGTATGAAAAAGTTAATTTGAACCTCAAAGAAACAAGAATAATGTCTTACCTAATGAAAGGGCAAAAATGAATGCACATAATTCACCAATTTTATGTATACACTGGCAGACTTCAAATCCTGTTGCCTGTGAAAAAAGATTTATTGAGGTGAGCATTTTCAAGGGCGTATACAGGGGGGGGGGGGGCAAAATGGGACTGTGCCTCCCCTAGACATGTGAAAGGGGTGGGGGACTCAGAGCTTTTTCACTTTTTAAATCTTAAAGTGAAGAATGAAGAATATAACTAAAAAATTTATTATTGCTGTCCTCTAATTTTCCCTTTTAAGTTCCTAGAGTTTTGTTAGAATCAGAGATAAAGTAGTACTTGCAAGGTGATTGAACCGTATGTGTACGGGTACCTTTAAAGTATCTTATACTAGTGCCTGATCAAGAAGCCAAATGTTTTGAATTTACAGTTCAAGCTTTGACCCCCCCGGCCTCCACTAGGAGCTCCTAGGGGGGGGAGGTGTATCGGCTCTGAAGATGTCAAGAATTTCAAATAGGAAAATTACAATATACAAGTTTTAACAACAAACAATTTACTAAGCCTAACCCATAAAAAAAAGTATTCCTGATATACAAGAATATACAAGATATACATCATTTGTACTTATCATTATTTATTCTTTAAGTTATTTTCTCTTAACCTTTAACTTTTCCTACAGAAATTAAATCAAATTTTTCATATTATGATTAGGTCTAAGAGAATTTACATAAGAGTTCTTTTATGCTTCGCACTACAGCTTTGTTAACTAATACTTTAAGGGCAAATAATGAGGAAACTTATGCTGGTCAGGTTAGAAATTGTTGTAATTATTGTTAAAATATGTTACTAGCTTACTTTTCATTCCAGTAGATTTTTTGCCAAAAAGTCATTCTCTCATGTTCAATATCACTCTTCATTTCTGCTTTAACTCCAAGCTCCATATACCTCTGAAGAATAGAAACATTTAAATTATTTGTTGGTTTAATAATGGTTATTCATGAGCTATTACCTTTTCAGTGGAATAATGTTTCCATTGAGTCAAGTTTTGTTTTAAGAATGGAGAAGGATGTCCATACTTGGCAAAGTTGGTCCAATAAAGAGACATAGCTTTAGATACTTCCTCTTCTTCCTCATTTCTTGGGCCAAACATATTGAAAAGATAAATGCATTCATCAAAGTGAACTGGCTTTAATTTTTCAAAAACTTCCTGAGTTTCATCTCCAAAGTTGTTGCCAGAGGCAGCTATGTAGAATGGAAGAACAGATTTTGAACCACTGTATGTGAACTGGTAGTTATACACTGGAATATGCTCGGAGGCTAGTTCAGCAAATTTCTGATCCGGACTCAGAAACAAGGCATCTGTTATCATGTCAGCTACTTCATTTAAAGAATCCAGGAGACTGAAGCGACCTCCATTATAGAATCTTAAAATTATGTTTGCTAAAGTATATTCATCAGGGGTAGTTTCAGATTTGTTTGAACTGACAGTAACTCCTATAGCTGTAGGCCCAACAACTTTCCAGAAACTTTCAAAATTTGCTTTTGGGATTAAAACCAAACCATCGTTCTTAACAGTACCTAAAAAAAAATGAAAGACCAATTTTGGATAATATTTTATGCATATGATGTAAGAATAAATGAATGAAACTTACCAGTCATAATTGGAACTCTTGTAAATAGACCATCAGTAAGTGCTTCTAAAGGTTCCACTGGTAGGACCGGGTCTGATGAATAGGAGTCACAAACTGGAGACCAGGCTCCTCTTTCAAAACTCTTATTCTCCTTCTCTTCATTTAACACTTCAATCTTGATTGTGTTTAAGAAATCTTCAAAGCTAAGTTTTTGAAGGCAGTCTAACATTTTTTTATCATTTCTTGTACTTGAGCAATTGAATTGTTCTGCAATGCTTGAAGCTATTCTTTCTCGCCTTGATTTGTCATATTTTTCTCTCCAGAGAAACATAGTCCCACTTTGTAATATGGCACCTGAAAAGAGACCAGCTGCTTTGGGAGACATCTGAAGAGCATTCACACTTGTTGCACCTGCACTCTCTCCGAATATAGTGATTTTAGTTGGATCTCCTCCAAAATGGTGAATAAATTTCTTTGTCCACTGCATAGCAGCTATCTGATCTCTAATACCCATGTTCCCGGCCACTATGTCATTTCCAAAGGTTAGGAAACCTAACCCTCCCAGTCTATAGTTAATAGTTACAACTACAACACCCTCATTTACAAGTGGGGTTGGATCATATATATCTGATGATCCTAGATTAAATCCTCCACCATGAATCCATAGCATTACTGCTTTTGGAGTGAAATGTGCACTATCTTGAGGTATAGAAGTTGTGAATATGTTTAGAAACAAGCAATCCTCAGACCCTGATAGCTTCTCACTCTCACCACCAAAAGAGTCAAACTGGGGACATTTTGAGCCAAAGTTGAATGCTTCTAAATTTTTGTAAATCATAACTGGCTGCGGAGGTTGAAACCTTAGTTTTCCTACTGGTGGTCTGGCGTAAGGTATACCAAGGAATTTATACATTTTCTGTCCAGATTCTTGCTGGGAAATTTTTCCATATACTGCCCCAAGGTAGGTTTTGATTTCAACAATATCAGTCTCTGCAGTAGTATCAGATGTATTTTCAGAGGAATCCTCAAGCTCATTTGTTGGGACAGTTGATATTACAGCTTCCTCTAGATCTTCAACAATTTTCTCCTCTTCTAGATTGATTTCAGGCATATCTGTTTGTGATTCATCTTCTTCAGGTGTAGATGTTGTCTCTTTAATTGCAAAAATGGTTGTTGCTGACCCAACATCCTCGATGTCTGTTTTACTTATCTCAGCCTTAATATCAGAAATAAAAAAAAACAATAATGTTGCTATTTAATGAAAGCATAATTCAAATTATGCTGCGTTTTTAAACAACATTTAATTGATGAGAAAGTAATTTGTTTGATTGCTGCTATACATTTAATCACTTGCTTCTTCAAATCAAAGTCAAAAATTCAGGAATGAGAGAAAATTATGTTTAATTACACTGTACACACTAATAAAAATTCCCAATGCATGTGAGGTCGTAATATTGTGATGAGAACAAGGTGCATTATACTTAACCATCTTTCTTATGTAACTGATGCAACTGATCTTGTCACAAATCACTATTCATTCACTATACAGTGCTTTTACAAGTTTTTCTAAAAGGGACTTTTCATGACTGATTCTTAAGAATAATGTGAAAAATAAGATGGGTTTTCTGTTTTGAAAATTGTTCAATGTTGATAACCAGACATTTTTCCTGCAGAGGAAAATTAGCATGTCACATTCAAAGAGAAACCACAATTAAAATTATCCGTTTTAAAAACAAAACTTGGATATTTAATCAATCTTGATCAGGAAAAGCGTTATGAAAAGTCTAAACCAGAAATTATTCTGATTTTTTTGCATTTTTTCTATACTGTTTACAATCAAAGAATTATTATAAAACAAGAAAAAAAAAATGCAAAATTCATAAGAGCAAAATACAAAAGTTTCAAACAAATCTTAGGAATCAAGTTTTCAACTCTATTTGTAAGAAAGTAAGACTTTGTGTAAAATTGAGATTTTGATCAAAAAGAACACCTAACATTCGAATGTTTGAAACAGGACTTAATTTAGAATTTTTTCTTAGTTCAATTACATTTAAATAAAGAGTTGGAAAATTGTTAGTTTTTTGGTTATTCAGAGAAAAAATCATAATATTTTTTTATCTACATTCAAGCATAATGTATTCAGAGAATACCAATTAAACAATTGACTTTAGATTTTTAAAATATGCATATCTTTATGTTTGAATAAACATGAAGTATCATCTGCATATACAATGATATATATATATATATATAAAAATGGTTTACATAAATCAAAAAAAAACTTTGTAAGAGTAGATCCCTTCAGAACTCCCATAGAAAGCACTTTGCATTATTCTGATTTTGTATTGTTAACAAATACTCTTTGAATTCTATCCTTTAAATAGCTTTCATTATTAATTGCTTTACTAATAAAATTGGATGTTTTTATTAGCTTGTTGAATATTACTTCCATTTCTGAACCGATATTGGTGACTATAAAAAAAAATGTTTGTATCTAGAAAGTTTTTAATTTTCAAGTATATTGTTTTTTTTCAAAGATTTTTGATAAACAATTAGTGAAATAGGTCTTAATTTGAAGGATTTCGAGAAGATCCTTCTTTCTTAAATACTGGATTATCCTTAAGGGGTTTACACTTTCAGAAAAATTAGTTTGGAAGTTTAAATTTCCAATTTTCTTAGTATTCACTATACATATAATGCCAGGGTCTTTTCTTTTCTTTTCTTCCCCTGGTCGCATTAATATATTTTTCACCTATCTCCCGATATACAGAGAGTATGAGACTTCAGTAATAATATTCTATTCAGATTTTTTTCTTTGCAATACTTGTTTATCTTAAATCTCAACATGTATACAGTGAGAACCAAATAAATATAGAATAGGAAGACAACAAACGTTTTCATTCCAAGAAGTCTAAAGAACTTGAAATTCAGCAATTGTGCACAGACCCAGTTTTCGAAATAAATTTATTTTTAAGCTTCTTTCAAAACTATTTAATTTGTTAAAAAATTAATATAAAATTGCAAAATTTTAATTGTATGGGTCTCAATGTAGGTAACCCTACTGTATATACAATATATATACCTGAAATGTAGCATGGACACAAAGACAGAGAGAAATCCAACCTATTATTCTCATCTTTCAGTCTATTCTGTAATTAAGTTTTTTAAAGCTTTTAAAACTTTAATTTATTATTGGAGAAAAGTAGGTGAACTCTAGGTACTAGGGGTGGTGTTATTAAATGTTTTGTATCGTTTTCTTTATTTAATAAAACTTACAAGATTTGAACCTGTCTTATGTTAGTTTGCTTATAGTTATTTATCTATTTATTTCGTAAACGTACACAATTTAAATAATTGGTACAATTAAACAGAAGAAAACAAAATTATACTGTAATTAGGTCGTGCATATAAAATTAATAATATCGTCAATCTCAGCTTGGTCAACTCCATTGATAACAATCTTATTGTTGTTTGCAGAAATTAGTTCATTTAAAAATGGAATCCTCCATTCTTCTTCCAATATTGAAATATCAAACAATTTTTTACAATACGTTTGTCGATAATATTCAAATGTTTGTTGCATTTGTCTGCAATATTTCTCAGATTTTTTGCAGTTACTGACCTTTGATCAAATTTTAAAAGATTTATCTAAAGTCTGATACAAATTTTTGACGAATTTTCTAATGAAAAAATGAATGAAACAAATCTACTGCAGAGCATGGTCATTAAATGAGATGACTGTGACAATGGTTCGATAAAATATATATGACAAGTGTTTGGTAATTTAAACACAATTCTATTACTAATTATTAAACTATCTTAAAAACATTTGCTATCCTTACTCTGTGCGAAATTATGACCCTTAAATAAAATGTAGGCTAAAAACCAGCCAAAAATGAATCAACTGAAGGCACATTATAAATCATAAACTTGTGATCATTTTATATTGACTATTTAGTAGTTAAATGGAAATAAGGTCAAGTGACCTTCCATGCAAAGAGAGCAATGTCCGATTTACAATAGTACCATTAAAACAATCGTGTTTTCGTCGAATACAGAGATGTGTGTGTGAAAACTTATCGAAACCAACTTGTAATCAGCTGTGTACAGTCTGAACTTTACACAATGCACAGTGGAATTTGCAACAGAATGCATGCAGGTTTCGCTAAGTTTACCACAGACAGCTTTGAACTCGAAGAACTCACAAATATTTTAAGATTACCGTTGCAGGCATGGAGGATCACTTTAATATCACGCTTACAGTCCCTTTAAAGAATTAAGAAAACTAGTTTAAAATATTCTATTATCCCTTTTCTGACTTTATTGATATAATTGTTGTACTATGCACCTGGAAAATCTAGATATAAACAAAAAATAATGTAAAAATAGATGCAATATTTTTCATAAAATCTCCAGAATAGCAAAATAAAACAAAATGAAAATAGGTGTAATTGTTCCAACGAACGATGTTACTAAACTGAAGGGTTAGTAAACTCTCCCAAAGTTTTTGTTGCAAAGAAAAAAATGAAAGTCATCCTCCATTTCGAGTAAAATCATTTGAGTACACATTACGGGTATTTGAGATTGTAGGCCCATCACCTTAAAAAATTCTGAACAAAGGAGTCTTCATTTGAAACACCAAACCACGGCAATAATGTATTTTTACATGGGCCACCATTTAAAATAAAGGTACACAGTTTTGAATTTTACGCGCTAAATAAGAATGGAAACTAAAATAAGGCATTTTATTTTTAAACACTTTAAAAATTATTTATGGTTTAGGATTTTCTATTGAATAAAAGCTGAATTTATGATTTTGTCACGCTTTTCATTCATGCGAAAAATACAAAATATATGTTAGTTTTGTAAAGGAATTGAGTCTTTCCCACAAACTCAAATTTTCGAATCCCTATATCTTTGCAACCTTTGGTACATTAGACTTAGATTATTTGATCTAACAGAATTTGTAACTGGAAACATCTAAGGTCTACGATCGACTTTTGGTTGCTAAAATATAGGGCAAAGACTCAATTCCTTTGCCTCTTATCTTAAATAATGCTAAATCAACGATCCTACTTTAGAATTATACACCATCATTCTTTACAGCTTCAAGGAAGGTTCCTTAAGATTTTTTTAACCTAAAACGACGAACTTTTTTTGTATTTAAAAACGATCGTTTTTCATTTCATTTTCGTCAAACGGCCTTTAAAGAGGAAAAACTGCCCATTCCCGACGTAAACATTAGATATTTTAAATTTTACGAAAATATTATCAATATTAGGTTAAACTAAAATATCAAAAGTTGCATTTAGTTGCAAAGATATATGGATTAGGGTATTGGAGTTTGAGACAAGTTATGGCAATTCTTTATTGATTAAATTTGGACTAAAAATGTATATTTAATTTTGAACTTTTGTTTGTGAAAGTCATTGAATGAAGATAAGTTGAAGGAGAATAATATCCTTGGCCCTCTAAATAATTCCCCCCCCCCCCCTATATCTTAAACCTACTTGTTCGGTATAATTGGTTTCTAAAGCTTAGTTTGATTTTCATGCACTGGAATTAAATGCATTGCAGGGTTTAAATATGTTAAGTCTCTTTAAAACATGAATTCTTTCAATCAAATATGTTTTTTTACAATTCAGATTGAGCTTTAGATTTCAGATTCGTGTACGTATTTAAATGTCTTAAAGCATGATAATAATAATGTCTGTTAAAATGGTCGATCCGAGCATAAGAAGCAAACGAGTATTACTAAAACCATCTGGTCTAATTTTTTTTTGTAGAACCTTGCACATGACTTCCAAGGAAGATACACGGCTGATCAAAATTAAACTGCCAAAAAATTCTATTTTTAAAATTTCTAAAAATTTTGTAATTGTAATTCTTGGTTTTATAATATAAAGTAAATGTGGTGAGAGGGAAAGGAACAATTATAGCTCAAATTATTTAGTTTAAGGAGTTTAGAGTTTAAGTAGTTAGGAGTTTAAGTAGTTAGGAGTCTAATAAGTTAAGAGTTTAAGTAGTTAAGAATTTAAAATGTTTAGAGTTTTAGAAGTTTAGTGTTTAAGAAGTTAAGAGTTTAAGATGTTAAAAGTTCCAGAATTGAGACTTTAAGATGTTAAGAGTTTAAGGAGTTAAGAGTTTAAGAAGTTAGGAGTTTAATAATTTAAGAGTTTAAGATGTTAAGAGTTTTAGAAGTTAGGAGTGTAAGAAGTTAAAAGTTTAAGCAGTTTAGAGTTTAAGCAGTTTAGAGTTTAAGTAGTTTAGAGTTTAAGAAGTTATAGGAGTTTAATAATTTAAGAGTTTAAGATGTTAAAAGTTTTAGAAGTTAGGAGTGTTAGAAGTTGAAAGTTTAAGCAGTTTAGAGTTTAAGTAGTTTAGTGTTTAAGATGTTAGGAGTCTAATAAGTTAAGATTTTAAGTAGTTAAGAATTTAAGATGTTTAGAGTTTTAGAAGTTTAGTGTTTAAGAAGTTAAGAGTTTAAGATGTTAAAAGTTCCAGAATTGAGACTTTAAGATGTTAAGAGTTTAAGGAGTTAAGAGTTTAAGAAGTTAGGAGTTTAATAATTTAAGAGTTTAAGATGTTAAGAGTTTTAGAAGTTAGGAGTGTAAGAAGTTAAAAGTTTAAGCAGTTTAGAGTTTAAGCAGTTTAGAGTTTAAGTAGTTTAGAGTTTAAGAAGTTATAGGAGTTTAATAATTTAAGAGTTTAAGATGTTAAGAGTTTTAGAAGTTAGGAGTGTTAGAAGTTAAAAGTTTAAGCAGTTTAGAGTTTAAGCAGTTTAGAGTTTAAGTTGTTTAGAGTTTAAGAAGTTAGGAGTTTAATAATTTAAGAGTTTAAGATGTTAAGAGTTTTAGAAGCTAGGAGTGTAAGAAGTTAAAAGTTTAAGCAGTTTAGAGTTTAAGTAGTTTAGAGTTTAAGAAGTTAGGAGTCTAATGAGTTAAGAGTTTAAATAGTTAATAATTTAAGATGTTTAGAGTTTAAGAAGTTAAGAGTTTAAGATGTTAAGAGTTCAAGAATTGAGACTTTAAGGTGTTAAGAGTTTAAGAAGTTAAGAGTTTAAGAAGTTAAGAGTTTAAGAAATTAAGAGTTTAAGAAGTTAAGAGTTTCAGAAGTTAAGAGTTTAAGAAATTGAGAGTTTTAGAAGTTAAGAGTTAAAGAAGTTAGGAGTTTAAGAACTCAATAATTTCAGAAGAAGTTAGGAGTTTGAAATATTAGGAGTTCTAGAAGTGATAAAATTAAGTTGTTGGGAGCTTAAGAAGAGAGAATGTCTAGAACTTAGAAGTTTAAGTTGTTAGAAGTTAAAGATATTACAAGTTTTAACAAGTTTTAGAAATTTAAGAGTTTAAGAGGTTAAGAGTTAAAAAAGTTAAGAATTGAAGGAGTTAGGAGTAGTCTAACAAGGTTTTAAAAGTTAAAAGTTTAAAAACTAAATAATTTTAGAGGAAGAGTTTAAGAAGTTAGAAGATAATAGTTTAAGAAAAAAAGAGTTTATTAACTAAGGAGTATTTTAACAAGTTAAAAGTTTAAAAATTTAGAATAGTTTAAGAGGTTAGGAGTTTAAGAATTAATAGTTTAAGAAAAAAGAGTTTAAGAAGTAAAAATTTTGGAATTAGTATCGAGAAAGTTTAAGGAAAACGAGGGGAAAAGAGTGCTCACTCAGGTGGGAGGGGAAGGAAAGGAGAGAGGGGGTAAGAAGGAGGAGGGGGGAAGCGGCAAATAGTCCCCAGACTTTGTGACAATTTTGTGAGGCGTGGATAAGGATGACTATAGGACTAACTGCCATTTTGGGATGTTGACTCATAAAGCAATCTAATCAAACTGACACATTCGTGCTCGTCACTGGTACCTCCCCCCTACCAATGGTTGGGGGGTGGGGGGGGGGATCCGGGGTGCCAAAGAATACGGATGTTTTCAAAACCCTCAAAAAACGTTAGAATTGACTTTAAATAATTTTTTGCCACCATACATATATTGTGTTGAACTGCGTCGTTATAACATATCCCTTGAAAACTAGTTTTTAGCTCTATTTCTTAATCTTTTAAGCGGCAACTTTAGAATTGCTTGTGTAAATACAAACCCCAACTACAGGCCTGGTATTATGGTGTGTAATGCCACCTCGGGCCTCAGGACTTTTAAAGTATTTTTATAAATTCTTAAATTATAAAATTTATGACAAACAAGAGCTTAAAGTATTAATCTCGATGTTATGAGAGCAGAATTGAGAGAAGAAGAGATCTTAATTTTTAAGAAAAGAATTGGTTAATCTGTTAAAAGCGATCTCATTAAATAAAATTTACACCTTCAATTAATGAATAATTCATATTTTCTAAATCCATACATAGAAATTAATAAATTCCACAAAAATCTTCAGAATTACTATTTCTCAAAGTTAAAAATACAACAGCCTGTCAAAAAGAGGTTGGCTGGCTAAAAAGGCTGATGGGGTGCGGGGGGGGTGCGTGGAGGGGGGAGCANATATAAACAAAATTTAGATTATTTTGATAGTAATCAAACATATATATATAAACAAAATTTAGATTATCTTGATAGTAATCAAACATTTATATATAAACAAAATTTAGATTATTTTGATAGTAATCAAACATATATATGAACAAAATTTAGATTATCTTGATATTAATCAAACATATATATATAATCAAAATTTAGATTATCTTGATAGTAATCAAACATTATATAAACATAATTTAGATTATCTTGATAGTAATCAAACACATATATATAAACAAAATTTAGATTATCTTGATAGTAATGAAACACATATAAATAAACAAAATTTAGATTATCTTGATAGAAATCAAACATATACATATAAACAAAATTTAGATTATCTTGATATTAATCAAACATATATATAAACAAAATTTAGATTACCTTTACAGTAATCAAACATGTATATAAACAAAATTTAAATTATCTTGATAGAAATCAAACATTTTTTGCAACTCTTCTGAATATGGTGTAATTACAATATGTTTTGAAAATTTTTATTTTTTTTTGGTACTCCAATGGCCCAAAAAAAATCCGCAAACCTTTTTTCTCTTAAAATCAAAAGTTCAGAAAACCAAAAATGTGTATATAAATTATTTCTATCGAAATCTAAAATTTTTTAAAGATTGAATCAAAGAATCACAGAAAATTCGCAAAATAGTAAGAAGAAAATTCGCAATTTTTAGTTCTGGTCTAATTTTTACGGAAAAGTTGTCTAAATTCTCTAGTTCCTTTCTTCTTAGTAAATCTAAAGTATACGCTGTTCACTTGAAACATCAAGAACCATTGAAAAACAATTTTTCCGTAAAAATAATCTAAATCTTGATTATATATATATGTTAGTTTACTATCAAGATAATCTATAAATCTTGATTATATATATGTATGATTATATTATTGAGATAATATTAATCTTGATTATATGATTTTTACTATTAAGATAATCTAAATCTTGATTATTTGTATGTTTGATTATATTATCAAGCTAATCTAAAAAGCTTCACATAAGCAATTTTCAAGAGCGGATACTGCCACCAATGCCACAGGAATTCATGAGGGGTAAAAAAAAACTGTTTTCGCGCGAAGCACGATGAAAAATGTTTTAGTTTTAGTTTAGTTTTAGTTTTCATGTTTACCCTCAAAATGTAACATTTTTTCAAAGACGACTGTACAAATTCTATTTTGTCAAATTTATCAAATTAACATTTGTATCAACCTTGGTATTTACAATGGTATTAAAAGAGTTCAAGGTCGTTAAGAATGAAATGTTTTTCAAAAAAATATATTTTTACCCACAAAGGTAAGGTATAGGGTGAGAGGAGACTGCCTTGAATATAGCCTTAGCGCTAATTGAATGACTTAGCAAAGAAAGATAAAGTTTACAGTTGCAGATAATTGTGAATTTAAAAAAAACCCCAGAAAATGTTAATTCTTGGAAGTTATAACCAGAGGCGTACACAGGAATCTAATTTATTCAGAGGAGCTCTATCAAACTATTACAGTAACAAACATTACAAATATTTAATCAACATAAAAACAATTACCACGCTGTAGATTCTGTAGATCAAAAAGTACAGTTTCGATTGATCAAAATTTTATCATAAAAATATTTCAAAAACGTACAAACCATTTTATAATGTGGATCATTAGTTTGATTAACGCCGTTGATTCTTTTACCTTGAAAAATATCTTATTAAAGTCTCATGTGTTTTGACACTCTCTGTTAAGTGTACACAATTCCTTTTACGATTCTCTCATCGATTTTTTTGGTCGTCTTCGCTTGAAGCTGCTGGGGTTTGTGTTCGTCTGAAGAGGCACGAAAGCTCCAGAACCGACTCTCCTTGCTGTACAGAGGGTGTGTGATTTAACGCAAAAAGTGAAATCTCTGACATATCATAAGGCGTTTACAGGCCCTATGCAATTGGCACCGGCTTGTACGGTCATTTAGGCAGTTGAAGTTTTTATCAAATATTTGATTCTTATTTCAGTGACCATTTTTAATTGCATTTTACATTAAAATCGCACCAGAATGAATTTTTCTTGGGCAGTGTGTCGCTGTTTTTTCTACAAGAATATTTTTATTCCTGAACTTGGACATGTCGAATTTCACGGACGGCAACAGTTTGTCAAGACATATCTTGAGGGTTTGCGGAAACTTGACGCAGAAAATGTTATCGCTGACATTGAAGCAGAAATAAACCGAAGAAGAAATATAAACGGAATCACATATCAGAATTATCTTGTAATTAAAGAAAAATATAAACCCTTAAACTCTCAGCTTTTCAACAAGGAAACCCTGTTTTCACTTCCACCAACCATTCAAGGTTTGACACAGTTATTTATCTCAGTATTTTGAGATTAGATATGTGATCTATTGGTTTCTATTCAAGTTTTTGCATGGATCTCATATGTTCACCTGAGCACATTAGGCTCGTCTCAGAAACTTTCTGAACATAGCCTAACTTTTAAATGTCCCAATTAGCGTTTACTTTGATTGGGGTCTGTCCTAGAGAACAATTTCTGGACCGCCCCTGCCCACCTCCTCCTATCAATTTTATGCATGACAATTTTCAAATTCTAAAAATTTTCATCAAAGTAAGTATACATTTATGGTTGAGTTAAGTTAAGACACTTTCTGGGCCGGGCTAGGGGTTCAAGCGCCGCGGCTAGGATAGGCTTGGGGGCCGGGCGCTGAGGCCACAGGACCAACTTTATTTATGTGTTAGATAAGAGATGCATGTACAAAATTGATAGGGGGGGGGGGGAGCCCCCAGGGGGGGGATGACTCAGAAATTGTTCTTAAGGAAATTACCCTTTGTTTGAACCGAAAATTTGTTTTCCCCTAGAAGTGCAGGTCTTATTATAAGGTGTGACTGAATGTATTGATGGAGTGTTTAATTTTCCACTGATGTCCCTGGATCAGTGTGGTCTGCTAGTAGAGGAGATAAAACATTTCAAACAAGCAAATCTACCACATCAGAGACCGAACTCAATGAATAAGGTAAAATTTTTGTTCAAATTGTAGATTTCATTTAGAGAATTAACGATATAATTTTTACTGGCGTAAAATGAGCTTCTTTAAATTTTCAAATTAAATGAACCCCCTTGAATCTAATTAAAACTGAAAGACACTACCGGATGAATTTCAACCCCCCCGCCCTAATTCAATATTTAGTTTTCCATCTGAAAATTTTCAATTTACTATTGTGGATTTCTCTTTACGTTTGGGCAAAAACAGATTAGAAAATGTCGTCAGAATTAAAAACTTTCCTAGTATAACGACAATTTCTTCCTCACTGGTGCTCAGTTGAAGTTAAAAAGTGTAATTTCGCATGCATGCAACTCTGTATGTAAAAAATGAATAAAAATAAATTTAAACTTGTTTTTACGCAACTGTATTTTTAACATCAAATGCTTAAATTTACAGGACCTTCTAATTTTATAATTTTTCATTTAAAATTGTTTAGAATGGAATACTGTTTACGGAGATAGGACTAGACGATCTAATCCGATCCATCGTAGATGCAGTTCAACCTTTGTCTCAGGTGAACATCTCAGATTTCAACTCAGCACTTTACATTCGCTGAACATTCGTCAGGCATATTTTTTTCCTTTTTTTAAAAACTGTTTTTGTTGAGAATTTTATTTATTAATTTTAATTCCTTGCAGACTTGTGAGACACAAGAGGCGGTTTATAAATTGTTAACAAAAATATTTTTTTTCTTTCATGAAACTTAATTTTTAATTTTTATTTTTTAATAAGAGATTTTTATAATAATTTCAATTCCTTTGAGATTCGTTAGACAAAGGGTTGCTGTTTTAAAACTAGCCTTTTTTATAATTTTTTATAATTTTTCGGGTTTAAATTCCTTTTAGATTCCTTAGATTCATCAAACAAGAAGCAGCTTTTATAAATCATTATAATTATTTTGTGCTGGAAACTTTTTTGTTATTAAACAACATGTTTCAACAGTTTTATTTTAGGAGAAGTTTCCTGCGCTTGTGGGATCCACAGGGTTCGATTCTTTTAAAGCCTTTACTGTAGAGTATGCTACCGAGGCATCAGCTGATCAGGATTTAGGTATTTACAATTTAGAATTTATTCAAGAATTCACAACGCTCTACGAAAACATTTTAAAGTTTATTGTCACCGAAACCTAACCCAGAAGAAAATGTCTGTTATTTTTTAAAAGATAAAAATTAGTTTACGCAGTTAAATATCATTTTGTTTAGCTACGCATTTTGATAACGCCGAGGTGACGCTTAACATCCCACTGTTTACGGAGGACCAGGAGGGGAATGAACTCATATTCCAAACTAAGGAAAAGATTTTTTTCGATTTTGGATTTTTAAAGTAAAAAGTTTAATTTTTCTCCCTTCATTGATGAAAAACAACAGCTGGAAGAATGTAAAATCCCCTTGAAAATTATAGTTTAAGTTTTTACAGGTGGAAGGAGTTTTNCCCCCCCCCCCTGTGCACGCCCCTGTTTGTATTAGTTAGATTTTAACAGAATTGCGTCTTAAATAAATATTGATACATATTTTTATAAATGAAACAGGATCGGTTCTGAAATGTAAAATATCGAGATTTATCAATAGTTTTGATCTAGTGATTTCAGTTTTTGTTTGATATATGAGCATGTTTTATGTTCTACAGTTACAGATTTTATTTTATAAACTCTGAAAAGTATCCTCTCAACTCCTCTTGTCAACATTCTGTAACGTCAATTTGAGTGACTGTTCATAACATCTATTTAAAAAAAAACTTGTCCAGAGAGGATTTAGACCTCAGGAAATGGAGATCGGACGAGCTATTCTCCATGCAGGTAATAAAAGAAAAAACTCGAAAAAACAAGTTTTTCCGAAAATATTTATTGTTTAAAAACATTCGATTCTTAAGGAGACTTTACAGAGATTTTTAAAGGTTTTGGTGAATTTGAAGTTTTAAAAGTGAATGTTATTGACTCAGATAACCTGTAACAATAATACGTTTTGATAGATTTGGTTGTCGTGTTTCAGTTTAGAATTTATTGGTTTTTATTTCTATATATATATATACTTAGCTTTTCTATATGTTTGTATCCAATAAACGTCAAAAAGGCCGAACCGATCCGGCCCAATTTTTTTGTGGTATCTCACAATGACCCCATGAAAGATTTATCAATGATCAAAATTTCCCAAATTTGCCTCCATCAAAATTTGATTTCCAAAATTTTTTAAATCCACGAATTTTTTTTGAAGTCAGCGAACTTTTTGTTGCTTGTTTTTCAATGTTTGCAAAGAGGAAAGGTTCACAATTGGAATAGAAGATGGGGGCGAAGCGCCCTAAAAGCCTTGTATTGATAGATCTATTGATCGATCGATTGCTTGATAGATTGCTTATTTTAGGTAGTCAGCAACACGGTGTTCTACCCATAACCTCAGGCATAGTTGATGATCATTCATGCAAACTTTTGTTTTGAAGAAGAAAGGAGTAGGCAAAGGGATCTTGCATTTGGAATGCATTACGCATTTTATTTTATTTTCGATATAAAGCGAGGGGTGGAATTACAAATTATTTATTATTTCTTGAGATTTTTCTGATTTTTACTTGTTAACAAAAAAAGGATCGCGATGCAATCTAATAATCTGGATGCGCTCTTCTGAAATTCGAAACAGGAACCGATTTTTTTGTTTTTTATTTTTGTCTATTTAATCCCATTTTAACCAAGGACATATTACAATTACATGTTCCGAACAGAAAACATCTTCACACACGAAAATTTGATTATATGATGTGCATCTGCTCCAGAGAGGATGTTTCAATTTCTGATGTACACTTATTAATAGTGCTTGTTGCTTAGGGTCTGGACTCCGGAACCACCAGTTCTTCAACATTTTAGCCCCTCTAGATCCGCAAATATATGCAACTTCAACTGGCAAAATATTAACCAAAATGCACAAAAGAATAAAATTGTCCCACAGTTGACACTTTTTCAATGTCAACCAACGATAGATCCCAATTATGTTTGGCAACTTTAGGTTTCTATCTTTAAAAATTAGCAAGGAAGGAGAAACAATTAGTAAATTTGCAAAATTTGCCAAACCTTAAAAGAAATATTCAAGTTTTGGATTAAATCCGAATTATTTTTTGAACAGGACGGATCCGCATTAGAATTAAATGGATCCTGGGCACTGATTTTGAAAGTGCAAATACTACAAACTGTTGGAGAAAATAGAGATTTTTATCTTTATGAACATGTGTTTCTTTGGGGCGTTTGTCGTGTATTAAAAATCGGGTATTGTGTAGGGAGTGTCCAATGTGCAAGCAATCTCCAGACTTAGGAATGGATTTATGTTTTAATGATAAATAACAGAGGATGAAAATAATAAATATTTCTCTTTAATTTACAGACGCTAGTAATAAAAAGAACTACGTATATTTGGCACTAGTTCAAAGTTTGTTTTTAATTTGAAATTTTAGTTACTTTCCCGAAGGCTTTTTCCCAATCGGCAACTTTCCAAGGGTATTTCCCAAGTTGAAACTTCCCAACTCTGCAATTTGCCAAGCGGCAACTTCCCAAGCCTTTCAGAGCTGCTGCGCTCGGCCCCTAGCCCATCCTAGCATCAGAGCTCGGCCCCCAGTGCAGCCTAGGGTGCCTCAAAAGACCTAACCTAACCTTAGGAAAGTTGCACAATTGTGAAATTGTCACCATTTTTAACGATCTAGCTTCGGTTTGTATTTCAATATTTAAGCTTCTTAAAAATTTAAATATCTACAACAAGACAAATATTTTTATTTTTCTCCCCACACGAATTATGGTTAAGTTTTTAAAAAAATTTTTGGGTTTCATATCTCCCATTTTAGTTAAGTTTCTGAGAATATAATCAATGTACCAAAAAAAAAGATTTGAATATAAAAGTTTCCTTTAAAAGTTTAGTTGATTTTAGAGAAGTATATATTACCCATGAATCTTGTAATCCTTGGTGCATAGAAGAGGTTGAGTTTGGGAAAGGAGACGGTTTCAAGATCTGGAAAGGAGAAACCAAATGCGCAAGGGTCGGAACAAAGTCTATGTAGGTGGTCGAAATCTGAAAATCTGCGGCAAACAAAATACATTGAACATTAGTGGGACATGAAGAACTTATAGGATTAGTTTGCCAACACGAAATCAAAGGAAAAGTTGGCCAAGAAAACCCAAAAGATCAGTTGGCCAAAAGGAACCCAAAGGATAAGTTGGACAACAGTAAAACCAAAGGATTAGTAGCAACTAGCCAACATGTGCCCAAAGGATTAGTTCGCCAATAGAAAACCCAAAGGACTAGTTCGTCAAAAGGAACCTGAATGGAAATTGGGCCAACGGGCGGGAATTCAATGGAATAGTAAACTAACGACTAACTAAGACAAACAAGAACCCAAAGAATGAATTGGCAAACATGAACCTAAAGGATTAGTTGGGCAACAGTGAAATCCCACAGGATACCCAAAAGATGAATTGACCAAGAAAAATCCCAAAGGATAAGTTGGCAAAAAAGAACAAAAAGAATATCATTAGAAACAGATACTTTACTTCAGGTCTGATTGGGATTTTACTTCAGGTCTGATTGGGATTTAAATGTGTTAAAAGGGTGTCCCTACAAGATTTGATTTGATTTGTCCAAGGAGAACCAGAAAGATCAGTTGGCCAACAGAAATCAAGCCCAAGCATTCTGTTGGCCATTAGGAAGCCCAAAGGATAAATTGGCCAAGAAGAACAAAAAGAATATCATCAGAAACGCGAAGTTTTAAGAATTAAAACCAGTGCAGTGGCTTGACTGTTTGTGAACAACATTTTTTAAAATTTTGGATGATTTTTTAAAATTTATATTTTCAGATTGTATGAATGGCAAAAATGCCGGCGGTGCGTGGCGATGGAATGAGGGGTAAGAAAGATTTATTATATGCATTTCGTTTCATGTTGTTTCTTTTAACTCATAATTTGAACTTAATGCCTTCTATTGTTATAATTTTTTATAATGCGATATGCATTATAAATTAATCATTCGAACAAGAATAAAATATCGTAAAGTTAAATGTATTTTGAAGACTTTTCCCCCCCTCTCTTAAAATTGATTTTTTTCTCAGTGTAATATATTGCCGCGAAACTAAATTTTGTCCTATTTACATTTTTCTTTAACCATTAATTAACCAGGTGAATGCTGCAGTAATTTGACAAAGAAAAAATGTCCAAGAATGGACATTTCGAAATTGATCTGACAAACCGTAAAAGTTTTCTTATATTCTCAGGGTTGGCAGTTTTTATCTCCGACATCAGGAACTGCAAGAGCAAGGAGGCCGAGGTTAAGAGGATTAACAAGGAGCTCGCCAATATCAGAAACAAGTTTAAGGTAACCAATACCATCAGGGTACCTTAAACCATCATCAGGGCGAAAAGCATAGAAACTAATTTTATTGTAAAATTGTTACTGTAATGGCAGAAAGATATGATAGAAGAGTCTGTATTAACTTCCTTGAACGACGGGTTGTCTTCTGATATATTAATGCTAAGCATATCTGCTTGAATACGTAATCCTGGAAAATCCAGGCCGATTTAAAGCCTCAAAACCAGTGAAGGGAAACCAAGTTCAGTATAGTGTGTGGGTGCGTGGTGGAGGGGGGGGGGGGTAAAGCGGATAAATGAGAAAACTGCCCCATGAACCTCAAGAAGAATTAAAGATTGGAGAGTGTTGGACGTAGATAGACAGAAATTGGTTTTGACTTTTTAAATTTTTGATATTTTTTACCCGAATTTTTATAATTGATAAGAACCTTTATGTGATTAATTTTGCTTGAATCGGGAGGGGGGGGGGAGGGGGGTGGAAAATAAATTATGGTTTAATTACTATGCATTACAGGGCGACAAAACACTGGATGGATATCAGAAGAAGAAGTATGTGTGCAAACTACTCTTCATTTTTCTTCTTGGTAATGTCAATTTTTCACAATTATTTAAAAAAGATTTTTTTGTGTGTTTTTCTCCTTGCTGTTTATTCGAGAAAGGATGACAGCGGATTCAAATCAAAATATTGCCTCATTACTTTATATTCTAATTTTATTTTCTAACTTTATTTGTTTTATTCTTGAAAAAAACTATTTTTTAAGGATTTCAAACTAACTTTTTTATCTTTGTTAATAAGTGATATGTATTCTTTCTTTTTCTAAAGCGTTGTGTATAAGTTTTCCAATGTTTGTTGGTCATTTGATGGTTCATAAATTACAGAATATTAGTTTAAAAATTAGTTTATTGTTAAAACTAAATTAAAGAATATTAGTTTAAAAATTAGTAAATTGTTAAAACTAAATTTTTAACAATTTAAAATTGTTACAGGGCACGATATCGACTTTGGTCAGATGGAGGCGGTTAACCTTCTCTCATCTAATAAATATACAGAAAAACAAATTGTAAGTTTAGAACAATATATTTTAACATTTTTAGATTCTAGAAATTTTTCCTTCTGATGATCATAAATCTTGAAATTGTTTGTAATTCTAAAACAGCTTGAATTTTTATTCTTTTCAATGAAGTTCTTTATGTAAATTCATCTTCAGCTGTATTCTATGATTTATGATTTTACTCTTTTATTTTTTTTTTTTTTTAGTTTTTAATTGTTCTAACCTTCAACGATGTTTAAATTCAATTTAAGATTCTATTTAAAAAATCATTTTTAATAAGAAACCGTAAAGCAATGTCTCTGCTTCGTTTACTGTTGGTAATTGGCATGCAACGTGCCATTACTGACTCACAACGGATCCTAAAAGGAAACAATGTCAAAGATCTAAAAGCAGATTTACTCGCCACAATTAAAAAGAAATGAGTTAAAATTTTTAGAGACATGTGAATGCCGTTAGGTTAATTTTGTGAATCGTTGATGTAACTGTTAAAACATAGGGTCAAGCTGAAGTCTCTTCAAAGATATTTCAGTTCAGAGAAAATTAGTTCCAAAACTAACACTTGGCCCATTTTTGAGTGTTAGAAATGGGCCAAAGATTTTTTTTTCAATCGTACATATCTTTAAATCCAAGCCGAGGTGAACAAAACTACATCATACATTTACTAAAAATGGCTAAAATTAATTATTGAAACAAGAAGTGTCAACTTTAAACTAATAATAAGGTGTGAGAATTAGTTTTTGATGAAATTGGTTTTCATTTTCGAACATATCCCTATTTTGAAACTATTACCGCATTTTAGCTCTTGTCGCGTTTCCGGAACATATCCTGGCTTTGAGACAACTACTCTAAGTCGTGGCAATGTCAATTTCCATTTTTGAACAATTATTGCATTTTAGCTCTTGTCGCGTTTTCGGAACATATTCTGGCACTCTAATTCGTAGCAATGTCAATTTTCATGCATTTACACACTTACGCAACAAAACAAGATTTTTTGATAAGGTAAAATTTAAACAAAATATAAAAAACAAAAAAATACTGTTCTATTATAATATAAAAATCTTTGAACCATCGAGATATCAACATTTTAATATTATTTTGTTCTTCCAATATAGATTTACCTAGAAATCCGGGAAATTGTTTATTTCGAATGCGGGAAATTAAATAAACTTTATTCTCTTGTTTAACAAATAGAATAGGGAAATTAAGAGTTTAGAAATAATTTAGCAGTTAGTTTAGTCTTTATAAGATAATTTTTACTTTCAGTGATTTATTTGTAAGTTATGAAGGTGAGACATTTTCTGAATTGAGGATTATACTCAAAAACGGGAAAGTTGGGTTTGTTTCAAAAACGCGACACTGATTCAAATTCAGGAAATGTTCGAAAATGGAAAACCTGACATTGTCTTATAAACGGTCTAGGTTTTAATATAAAAAGATCTCCTTTTATAATTTTGATTCTAGAAAATAGTTTAAAATTCGGAATTGTTGTCCTCGTCATGCTTAATAAAATGTTGGTTATAGATTTAATTATCGACTTTTACTCTCGATATGGGCTGCGATCCTAAAACCCCAGTCTTTCAATTTGTGCCATTTCTAACACTGAGTGTTAAAAATGGGCCCAGTGTTAGTTTGGGAACTATGTCCCCTGCAGTTAACTAATTTTAATTTTTATTGAAACGATAATTTGTTCAGGGTTATCTGTTCATCTCTGTACTTATCAGTGGAAATAGCGAACTTATTCAACTGATCGTTCAGTCGATCAAAAACGATCTGGCTGCAAGGTAATTTGTAAACTAGAGAGATATAATACATTTTTGGGACAGAATTCAGCTGTTAGTTCTAATCACTCACAATAAGTAATGCACTTAGATTTGTAGTTCGAATCTGAAAATGGTAGTTTGGACATAACGTCGGATGTTTGCGATAGTTTATTATGAATTAAATATATAATCAAGGCCTTAGCAAAAGTAACAAAAGTCCGGTAGCAAGAAATGCAGAGTTCTGGCCACTAAAATACCTCTCTTATTCCTTGATTTAGTAAATTCATCTCAAATTTGGAGGGTGCTTGACACGACATTCCTAACATTTTGATTTGATTTGATTTGATTTTAATGTAGATTTAAACAAATTTGGTAGCTTTTGAGCAGTGCTTAGGATTCGGATCCGTTGGATCCGCAAGATTTTGGCTTCCTCCGGATCCGCAAAAATATGCGGATCCACGGATCCGGATCTAAGGCGTAAAAAACTGCAAAAAAATAAACTTTTTTAATCCTAAAACCCAAATCTGAACTTCTGTAAAAAGAGAGATTATAATTAAATGTTTTCTTAATGGTTCATCAAATTTTATGCTAAAAATATGCGAAAAAAATAAAACAAAAATTTGAAAATTATTTTTTGTGAAAAAACTTCAGTAAATCAGTAAAGAAATTACCTGGATCCGGATCCGCATTAAAATTAAATGGATCCTAAGCACTGCTTTTGAGGGAAGACTTTAAACAGTACTTTCTAAACCAAAAGTTTATTTATTATTCTCAAAGATAATTATGAACTTTCTATAAGTTTGACGCACAAAGCTTAATATCATACTTGGTAAAACATTATTTCCTCGAAAAATAAAATATTTACATATACAAAAAAAAGATGTAGAAGGAATAAATGTTGCGACCTACATTTATCCAGTGGCCGTATTTAATGAATTCAAACAGCGTCGCTGAACCCCCCAAAACCGGTTCCAATTGAGTGCCGGCTCAAAGCTTAAAACATTAAATTCAATTTCAAGTCGCGTCTCGTTGCGTCTCAAATTCTATAAAATCGGCCTCAGCATTCATAATTTTTGTTAACCAAATAAACTGGAATGTATAAAATTAATAATATTCATTGAATATATATATTTAGAAACCCCGTTCATGTCTCCCTGGCCCTGCAATGTATCGCAAACATTGGTTCCAAGGATATGGCCGAAGCATTCGGATCAGAGATTCCAAAACTTCTGGTTTCAGGGTAAGTTTTCAGAAAAAGTCCTTCAAACAGAGCGGCGGGGTGGGGTGGGGGGTATATTGATTAAATGGACCAATCAAATATTTTGTGTGGAATAGATGTGAATTTGTTTTTAATGCACAATTCACACTGCAAAGACTGGACATTAGTTTTACCAAATATTTCAAGGCTTCCAAAAACTATATTGTAAGGGGGAAAGGGGCATTGGGAAAAGTCATTCACTCTTAAGTCTACAATAACTTCAGAGTATGTTTTGAAAGAATATTTGTATTATTTAGAGATACACTTGACGTAGTGAAACAATCTGCTGCGCTCTGTCTACTTCGCCTTTTCAGAACAGATCCTTCGGTTATACCAAGCGGTATGTTCTTAATTTTCATAAACATATGAAAGAAAAAAAATTGATGAACAAGATGTATATATGAATCAAAGGACATATGAAAGAAAAAAAAATTGATGAACAAGATGTATATATGAATCAAAGGACATATGAAAGAAAAAAAAATTGATGAACAAGATGGATATTGGATATATAAATGAAAGGACATACCAAAGAATGAAAAATTGGTAGGATGAACATGATGGATATATGAAATTATGGATATATGAATGAATGAATGAATGGAAATAAGGATGGATGGACGAATAGATGCATTAACACAAGAACAGATTGAAAGTTTTACCGACGGACAAACAGTTTTATACTTCAGCACATAAAGCTATAAACTAATAACGAACAGTTAAAATTTAAAAATTAATTATTATAAGCACATGAAAAGTGATAACATTATAGTGTTGAATAATTTGTTGCGATAACTAGAAGAAAAAAAGAATGATTAAAGTAGTTCATGGAAAAATCACTCTCCTACCTTTTTTTTAACCCTGCGCTTAAAATCCGCATTCGTTAGATCCGTAACATTTCGATACACAGGGCAAAAAATCAACCAAAAACTGCAAACAAAATCTTATGCTGCTCTCAAAAACTAAATTCGTATTGTTGAAAAAAAAGAGATTATTAACAAATCTTATCTCTAGATTGTTCATCAATCATCAAGTTTGAGCATAAAAATAACAAAAAAAATGACTTGAAAACGTTTTTTTTTCATTTAAAAAATCAGTAAGTCTTAAAAAAATGTTCACGACCTGGGTCCAGAATCATTTTTTTCCAGTACGGATCCAGGATCCTCATCTGCATCAGGATCTGCATCACAACTAAATGGATTAATCAGTGTATCTATTTAGGAGAGTGGACTACACGTATCGTTCATCTTCTGAATGATCACCATATGGGAGTTGTGACCGCGGCAGCCTCTCTCATCGATGCGCTCGTAAAGAAGAACCCTGAGGAGTACAAGGGTTGCATCTCCTTGGCAGTATCAAGGCTATCAAGGGTAAATATTTTTACTCAAAGGGACTGTTTAAATATTTTCAAGCGACCCTCCGTTCAAAAGGTTACAGTTGGATTTTCCATTTATACATTTTTACTTAAACAAAAGCGTTTACGGGATTTGGACAGTGATTTTCATTTGGTCTTCGTAGATCTGTCAATTAACGATCCACAGTTCCACAGATTTCCCCCACCCTTGCTGCCTGATTTGACAACTATGTATCCCTTTTTTAAAACTTGAATTCTCCCTTCAATTGTTGAAATTTTCATTGTAATCTTTAGTTAATTTGTATATTGCATCAAGAATTGTGAAGAAAAAATATTATTTTTAATAAAAAATGTTTTATTTAAAATTATTTTAGATTGTGACCTCAAGCTACACAGATTTCCAGGGAAACATCACCAATTTATTCATTCGTTAAAAATATATTAGTTTTGATAATCATCCTCTTCACGGCCATTTGAACTTTTTAATCAACAAAGTTGATACTTCCTTTCCTCCTCATCATTGCCCGCAATCAAAGTAAAAAACAATGATAAAGCTTGTACTCTAGGATTGGGTTTCCTGAAAAGACCAATAAGACCGTGCCACTGCCGGACTTGTGCAATCATCTTTTTAAAATACAAGACATTCATATCTATGTTGCGTATAGCCGACCAAACGGCTGGACCGATTGAACTGAAATTTTTTTGTGGACAACGAGGGGCCCCGTGTAATAGGCTAAAAAACTCGAAATTTTTTTTTTCAAAATTTTTAAAACATTTTTTTCCACGGGCAACGCCGGGCCCTTCACCTAGTCTATAATATGTGTATATAAAAATTAATGACATCTATTAGTGTGCGTGTCCGATCATAACTCTCGTATCCTTCGACCGATTTGCCTCAAATTTTAATGGGTGACCTCTGTAACCAGTAGACTTGGTTTAGAAATTCTTAGTGGAGTGGTTTCAGAAGTTTAGTATTCAGGTAAAGTTGGGTTCCTGAGCTAGATAATTATGTACTATTTTATCCCAATAAACCAATACTGAACACCGATAAAACGTAATATTAAAATAAAAAAACTCTCCGCTATTTTGTATTTATGTTCTGAATTCCTTAGCTAGCTGATGTTCCCGTAGGATTATACATATTATTTCGTTCCTGCTCCCTGGCTCAGTGTCAAGATTTTACGACTGCTTCAAAACTATCCACCCCCTGAGGTTTGTTTTATATCTACTAATTTATTCACTCCCTGACATTTGTCTTATAATCTACTAAACTATTTACTCCCTCAGATTTGTCTTATAATCTACTGAACTATTCACCCCCTGAGATTTGGTTTATAATCTACTAAACTATTCAATTCCTGAGGTTTATTTTATAATCTACTAAACTATTCACCCCCTGAGATTTGGTTTATAATCTACTGAACTATTCAATTCCTGAGGTTTATTTTATAATCCTCAGAAAATTTTAACGAAACTAGTTTTATCCACCATTAAAATCTTGTCTGATAATCTCGCATCATCCGGCAAGAAACTTGAAATTTATTTTGAGAATAATAATATATATTTTCTGACTTATAAACATTTTCAAAATAATTGAAAATCATAATTAGCAGAAATTACCGATCTAAAACCAAAAATAATGAATTTATTAAAATGATATTTATTAATTAGGATCCTGGGGTTAGAGCTAGACTCACAGAATGCCTTGAAACTATTCTCAACAAGGAACATTACTTATTTTCTCGCAGTTTTGCTTAAATTTTCTCAATTTTTCTTAATACTTCATAATTTTTTTAAATTTTTCTTATTTTTTCTTAATTTTTCTTAATTTCTCTTAATTTTTCTTAATTTCTCTTAATTTCTCTTAATTTCTCTTAATTTCTCTTAATTTCTCTTAATTTCTCTTAATGTCTCTTAATTTCTCTTAATTTCTCTTGATTCTTGATTTTTCTAAATTTTTCTTAATTTTTCTTAATTTTTCCTATTTTTTCTTAATTTTTCTTAATTATTCCTATTTTTCTTTAGTAGTCTTGATTTCTCTATATTTCTTAGTTTTTATAATTTAAAAAATAGTTTCAATTTTTTAAGGGATGAGTTTGCTAAAAATTTAAGCATACGCAAAATAGCGTTAAACATATTATAAATCAATCTGAACTAGAGTTATTTTCATTTTATGTACCTTAGACTTAAAAAAACCGTACTTCCTGATTCCCTGCCTGTGCAGTGTGCACTGTGCAGCATAGTAGGTAGGAGAGTGCAAAAGTTGTCTTTACAGAACATTGTATAGAAATAAAATAGTTGTGATGGATTCATGATTAAAATATATGTTACATTATAAACCACAAACATCTAAAAAAGATAATTTCATTATTCATTTTTTGTTCGCATTCTCCTAGATCTTTTTTTTTTTCTTTTTCTTTTTTCCATTGATATGTGAGAATAAGTTAAACTCAAGGCGGGAGAACCATTGAAATCTAAGAAGGTTCAACATTCAAATGCTAAGAACGCAGTACTCTTCGAAGCAATTAGGTAATCTTACAAGTAAATAAACTTTTCTTAGATTTGTTTCACTAAGATTTTCAGATTAAAAATCACATCTTGAAAATGTTGATAGCCTCAGTATTTTTACTGAAATATGTTTAATATAAAATTAGCCAAACATGTTTATTATACAATATACACAATACAAAATATTATACCACATTCTTATCGGATTTACTACAAAACCAAATCAGCAATAATATACTATTATCCATCCTAATTAATGTTGGAATTTTATAATTTTTAAATATCTTTTCTACGTATTAATATGTAAGGCTCACAGCATTTAAATTTGAATCGTAACAGTTCACACACTTCTAAACTTATCATTCCTACAGTAAATACTTAGGAGTATGCGATCTAAGATTCGTATTCGATACAAGTTTCAAGTTATTCTTCTTTCTTTTCTTTCTTTTTGTATAAAATATATTCTTATGTCGACTCTCATTTTACTTCTTTTTCAACTCTTCTTTCACAATAACTTTATTTTTTATTGACCTAAACTATACACATTAACTTATTGATTTACTTTTTTTACAGTCTGGAATTATCCAAATATATAACTGTAAATTGTATATATATTTTTATAGTCTGGAATTATCCAAATATATAAATGTAAATTGTATATATATTTTTTCAGTTTGATTATCCACAATGATTCTGAACCGAACCTGTTAGTACGAGCTTGTAATCAGTTGGGGCAATTCCTCTCTCATAGGTATCCAATCCATTCATTCAGTTATGTCATCATTTATGAAATCCAATCTATTACTTATGAATTTATCCTATTACTCTTGAATTCATCCTAATACTCTTCATCTCAAACGTACTCTTGAATTCATCCTATTACTCTTGAATTTATACTTTTACTCTTAAGTTCATTCTATTACTCTTGAATTTATCCTATTACTCTAAAATTCATCCTTCTACTGTTGAATTTATCCTATTGCTCTTGAATTTATACTTTTACTCTTAAGTTCATTCTATTACTCTTGAATTTATCCAATTACTCTAAAAGTCATCCTTCTACTATTGAATTTATCCTATTGCTCTTGAATTTATCCTATTGCTCTTAAATTCACCCTATTACTCTTGAATTCATCCTATTACTCTTAAATTCGTCCTATAACTCTTGTATTCATCCTTTTACTCTTGAATTCGTCTGATTACTCTTGAATTCATCCAATTACTCTTGAATTCATCCTATTACTTTTAAATTCATCCTATTACTCTTTATTCATCTGATTACTCTTGAATTCATCCTATTACTCTGGAATTCATCCTATTACTTTTAAATTCATCCTATTACTCTTTATTCATCTGATTACTCTTGAATTCATCCTATTACTCTTGAATTCATCCAGTCACTCTTGAATTCATTTAATTACTCTTGATTTTTTCCAATTACTCTTGAATTCATGCTGATATTCTAAAATTCTGAAGTCTATGTTGATGTTCATGGAGACTAATCTCTGATATCTGGCTCTGGTGTCTATGTATGTACCCACACAATTTATGATTGATTGATTGATTAATTGTCAGGAAGATTGATCTACGGTATGTGGCTCTGGTGTCTATATGTATCCCATGTATGATTGATTGATTAATATTCAGGGAGACTAATCTACGGTATCTGGCTCTGGAGTCTATGTGTCCCATGTATGATTGATTGATTAATGTTCAGGGAGACTAATCTACGGTATCTGGCTCTGGAGTCTATGTGTATCCTGGCAACCTCTGAGTTCTCCCATGAAGCGGTGAAGAAGCATCAGGAGACCGTCATCTCTGCTCTCAAGACAGAACGGGATGTCAGTGTACGACAGGTAATGTAAAATATTAGGTCTCAATTTAAAAATCATTCATAAATATTTTAAAATATCTAGGATAAAAATGCCTAAGAAAAAATATATCTAATGTCGCGTCGCTTTATATTTAGAGAGCTGTAGATCTCCTCTACGCAATGTGTGATAGAACGAACTCCGAGGAGATTGTTCTGGAGATGCTGGGATATCTAGAGACGGCGGACTATTCTATCAGAGAAGAGATGGTAGGCCAAACTTTTTTTGGAGGGGGGGGGGGGAGGGTTATAATCTTATCGATCTGTTAGGACTTTCTTCGCCGAGAAACCCAACTAACCATACCATAAATCCTTTTTGTTCTATTTAAATTCCTTGGATTCATTATAAAGCAATATACTACAGACTAACTGGTTATTCTTAAGTTGTTAACAAATATTTAGGTTCTAAAAGTGGCTGTATTGGCGGAGAAGTATGCTACAGACTATAAATGGTTATATTTAGGTTCTAAAAGTAGCAGTATTGGCGGAGAAGTATGCTACAGACTATAAATGGTATGTGGATGTAATCCTGAACTTAATTCGGTTGGCAGGGGACTATGTCAGTGAGGAGGTAACAAATATTATATTGTGTGCTGTCCCTTTCGAAAAATATCTTGAAAATTTTGTCTTCTTAAGCTATAAAGGTCTTGCAAGGTATTCTTAGGCCTGTTAATATTATATCTTTTTGGACTTTTACTTTAGTTTGTGTAATATTTTATCTTATTTTATAAACTTTGTTTACTTTTAGGTTTGGTATAGAGTTATTCAGATTGTTATAAATAGAGATGATGTTCAAGGATACGCGGCAAAAACTGTGTTCGAGGTAAAATCGATCAATCAATTTTTTTTTCTCGATAAGATAAAGTGAAATGATTTTTTTAATATTTTTATGCAATATATATGTGATCAGAGTTGTACAATGAACACATGACTTTAGTAAGCTTTTTGGTTTCATTACTTATACTATTATAAAGTAAAACGATTATTCAAAAATTATTTTTGCACCAGTCGTACCTAGTTCAACAATTGTAATCTGTAATTCAGATTTTTTTTTAAAGTATTGTCAATGTCCAATTCTTTAAAAGATTTAAATACCCGTCCTTAAATAAGTCATCCCCCCCTGATTTACGTAAAAGTTCGTTATTAGATCGACCCCCACCACTTATACACGTCATATAAATCAAGCAGTTTGTTTTTAATCTTCATGACAGAAACAATCTCAAGGAATAGTAATAACATTCTTTAAAAAGTGAATATTTTGCAAATTATCTTTTTCCCATCTCATAATCTGAGTTCGTTTCCCTTTTGTCCATTTGACTGCCCATTTAAATTTTTTTAAATAATCTTTTTTGTTTAATAATTTTCTTGTGGTTTTTAACATTTTTTATTATCGCGTTTGATGGTTATTATTTATTTCGCTAGAACTAACGAGGGGTCTACCCAGACCGAAATTTATTTTCAATAAAATGTGGAACTAACATCTACTATATTTACTTTACAGAGGTTTGGTCCATCATCATCATCGAATAGTAAAAATTTGTTGAACTGTGAAGACGTAGTTGAACTTCTCTTGTAATCCGGTTCAATTAATTTTCTCTTGTCTAAATCTTTTTCCAGAATTAATATTTAATGTTTGAATTTGTAGGCTCTACAATCCCCAGCTTGTCATGAGAATATGGTGAAGGTTGGAGGATATATCCTGGGTAAATATTATTCAAGATTTTTTGATTATTGTCGAACCATTTCTATTCTCATCTTTAAGCTTGAAAATTTGAGAAAAAAAATTGTTCCAATGGGGGGGGGGCCGGGGGTAAGCAATATTGAGTCTGTAACAAAACCTCTGAACTAGCAAGTCAAATAAGGCTCGGCCTTTTTCATGAAAGATGTGTCTTAAGTCGTAGTAATGTTGCGTTAAAGTTCTAAAATCCTGGTATTATAAATTAGTATTTTATAAACGTATCAGAGACAAAACAAATCCTAGGACGTGCTTATATGAACAGGAAAAGTAGTTATTAATTAAAATCATTATAAATCAATGTAAGCTACAGTTGATACAATATTTGAAAATTAAAAGATTTTCAGCATTGCTTAGGATCCGGATCCGGTGGATCCGCAAGATTTTGGCTTTCTGGATCCGGATCCGGATCAGCAAAAATATGTGGATCCACGGATCCGGATCCAAGGGGTAAAATATCAACCAAAAACTGAGAAAAAAAACTGTTTTACTCCTTAAACCCAAATCTGAACTTTTGAAAAAAAGAGAGACAGTAAAAATTTCTTATTTCTGAATGGTTCATCAAGTTTTAGGATGAAAATAAGCGAAAAAAAAATATTAAAAAATCAGTAAATCTTACAGAAATGACCTGGATCTGGATCCGGATCCGGATCCATTTTTTCCAGTGCGGATCCAGGATCCCGCATCAAAATTAAATGGATCCTAAGCACCGATTATCAGAAAGCATTTGAATTTTCCCTTCTCAACATTAAATTTATGCATTTCAAAAGGAAGATTGTGACAGAAACAAGTCACCCCCCCTGAACCCTTGAAATACCCCACTGTGCCCGACCCCCAGATTGTAAACCGGCAAATAATATACTTTGTCTGTAGGTGAGTTTGGAAACCTAATTGCTGGCGATGAAAGATCTTCTCCCAGGGTTCAACTTCTTCTTCTACACAGCAAGGTGAACCGGATCATCAGGGGCTTACACAGGAATTTGTGCTGGGGATGGGTCTTACCTCTTTTATCCTGTGGGAGGAGGGGGGGGGGGGGTTGGCAGAACTCTAGGGTCACAAAAACCCCGGGAAACCAAGCCACCCCCATCCCCGTGTGCCGGTGATCTTTAGAAAGACTGTGCTCTGTGCGTCTAGTCTATCGTTTAACTAATAAGATAAATATTGGTTGTTATGGTGTCAGGGAATATTGGGGTAGAAAGCCTGAAAAAGCATTTGGGTGAGGGTCCAGAGCTCGAAATTTATATAGTATCGTTAAATGAAACTCCCGAGTTTCCTTTTTGGCGTCATAGCATTTGTGTGGGTTTTGATTTTAACGAGATACAAAAAATGGAGAATTTGAAGAAATAAAATAAAACAATATCTCGTAACAAAAAATTTGTATTCACAAAACTGTCTAAACCCTATCCGTGAAACCCGGGTTCTTAAACTGTTTTTCATGGCAATACCTTGTCTTAAGTTTTGGGTTCTGAGGCACTTTGTGACGTCATTTAAGGCACGGACATCTCACCGATGTTAAATTGTAAAATGGCCCCTCTTAACGGGTTCTTTGAGGTTTTCTATCAAGGGCATGTGGTCTCACAAAGAATGCCTAAGATTTATTATAAAAGTTAGGAATCGTATTTATGAGAAAGACAAAAAATAGTATTGATGATATCAACACTTTCATTTTGTTTTAGTTCCATCTGTGTTCCTCTATGACACGAGCTCTTCTCCTTTCAACCTACGTCAAGTTTATCAATCTCTTCCCAGAGATCAAGCAACAAATTCAGGTCAGTAACAGGGGATTATCCACGCCTTTTTTTTATAATAGGGAAGCAGCAGGGAAAATTGGGATTAGTGCATACTTTTTATTTTGTTGTAAAATCATCTCCAATCCTGCCCCTTTCTTAATAATTTTTTTTAAGGTTTCTATTGCGAAATTGTAGAAAATTTGCTATTTTCTGTTGTGCGCACATGCCCCGTAAAATTCCAAAACAGAGAGAATTTTGTAGATTCAGAAAAATAATATCTGTGGGATGCCTGCGTAGAGACTGGCAGCTGGTGGGGTCTTAAATGTAAGACATGTGGCCGCAGCGCTCGGCCCCCTAGCCTGTCCTAGCCGCAGCGCTCGGCCCAGAAAGTGTCATAACTTAACCTAACCCGTGGCAGCAGCGCTCGGCCCCTAGCCTGTCCTATCCGCAGCGCTCGGCCCGGAAAGTGTCTTAACCTAACCTTACCCTAAAAAAATACTTATTTTATTATTTTTCTGGATCTACACAATTCAATCCCCCTCTCTTTGTTTTGGGATTTTACGGGGCATGTGCGCACAACAGAAAATGGCAAATCCCTGACTTTTATCCTGAAAATAGGACAATTCACTTCATGATTGATGGGTTTCTAAAATGTTTGTTTGTTTCCAGGACATATTTGTAGCTGATTCCAACCTAAGATCCTCTGATGTAGAACTACAGCAGAGAGCTAGCGAGTATCTAGCACTATCTAAGATCACAAGGTTGGTTTGGTTTTACTCCAGTAATAAACATAACCAAGGGTCGCTCCCAGAACCTGACCTGCCTCCCAGAACCTCACCTGACCTGTTTCTTTTAAATAGCAACATCAAAGTTGTGAAAAAATTTTGCCAATTTTTTTTTATGCGTAAGGTGGAGGACAGTCAAATGGCGCGGCGGGTCAGTGTTTCAAAAAGATCGTAATTGCTTACAGCTGTCTTATTAATGAAGCTACAGGGCTAAAAATATATTTGAAAAGCCGGGATAGGGTTCAGTGAAATGCAATGAAGATTTTTAGTTCTAAGAAAGAGCCTAAAAAACGTAAAAACACTTAAAAATAAGTTCAGCCGTTTTCACGTTTATTGGATACAAACAAACAGACAAACAGACAAGCCAAATTTATATATAGATATTCTAATGATTGATAATACGCCCCTCCTGTATTTTCTGTCAAATTCATGTTTTTGTTTAATTTGGCAACCTAGAAAATACTTAACCAAAAAAATCTTAAATCTTGTCTTTTATTAAGTTTGGATGTACTTGCAACAGTTCTGGAGGAGATGCCTCCCTTCCCTGAGAAGGAATCCAACGGGATCCTGAATCTTCTCAAGAAAAAGCGACCTGGACGGGTCCCTAATAATCCAGGTATTGTAATTTACTTCAGATGTTCTCTGTTACCATGGATGGGTCATCAGAGAATTTATTTACTGTATACAAAAAAAAAGAATTCTGGAATACACAATGAACTCGGTTTCGGGGGCTAAAAACTGGTTTAGCAATCAGTTTACAAACAATCTAATTAGGCTAATGTCGAATCAATATCCACTATTTCGAAATCAGAGGGTTTGGGGGAATTGGCGAGGCAAAGAGGGCGGTTTGAGGGGAGGGGGGGGGGGCTCTATTTTTTTAACACAAATCTATTCATATATATTTCCCTTGTCTGTATGATTGTTTTTCCGTTTTTTCTGAAATGCTGGGTTCAATTTCTTGTTTCGGTTCAATTACAGTTTCGGATGCTTTTGTTGACAAACACCCACTATATACTCGTACAGCCCCTGAAGCTGAGTCCATTGTAAATAAAGAATTTGGTGTAATCTGAGTACAAAATTCTCTTACCGCCTTACCTTACTTGTCTCCCACTGAAGAGCTTGAAGGAAGGAAGTTAGTTTTTAAAACTCTACGCATGTAAACTCAATGAAAACTCGCAAAAGCATAGAACTAATGCTCAGGATCCGGAACTGTTGAATCCGTAACATTTCCAAGATCCGGACTCCGGATCCAGACCCTCAAAAATATGCGTATCCACGGATCTGGATTCAAGAGGCAATATATCAACCAAAACCTACTAAAAAAAACTTCTGTTCTTTTTTAAAGCACATAAAAATCAAATGATACTTTTAAAGTTTTTTATTTCTAAAAAATGGAACAATTAAAAAAATATTCATGGCCTTAATCATTGATTAATTTGTTTTTCAAAGCTGATCCAAGCTTCGGATTCGTGTGGTCCGCTTAAAAATAAAATGGATCTGAAGCATTGCAATAAATTTGTGTAAAAATGATTAACTTTGTTTACTTAAAATTTGTTTTAACACAGTCTATTCTTGATACCTAAACCTTTAATGATGATTCCACCTTTTCTCCATTATTATGCATTTATTGTCAACCCAGTTACCTAATGGCGGCCGGTGTTCTAGTTCGCCTAATTAAGGAAGGATTTTACAACGAAATCCCGCTCTCAACCCTTCTTTGAAGTTTCATTCAGAATTAAAGTGGGAACTAGCTTCTTTTTTAAGAATTTAATCTTTGGTAGAGTTTTCTTGAATAAACAATATATTATATTTCAGGATTATTATCGGGTGAGGAATCTACTAAAGAGAAATCAACCAATGGAATCTCAGTACAGAGGGTAGGTTTTCTAACTGAACAATATTCACTGTACATCGGCAGTACGCACTATTTACTGTACAACAGCAGTACACAATATTTACTGTACATCAGCAGTATACACTGTGTACAGTGTATACTGTTGTGAGATACTTTTGTTAGTGTACTATGAAAATTGAAAATGCACAATTTCACGGTTTATTTTATTGCTATGTTGACTTTTTACTACAACCGTATTTAAATGTAAATCAATTGTTGGTAAAAAAGTTTGTGACACCCTTTAGTCCAATATCAAATTAACAATAAAGGAGGAAATATTCTCAATTTTCTGTCTGAAAATATGATGAATTCTTTAATTTCTTTCCATATCGCAGCTGCATAAACTTGAATATCGAACCCTTATTGAAAATAACCAATTTTTTGATAGAAAATCAGAGATTGCTTCCTCATTTTTTAGACAGAGGTTTAAGGGGTAATCAATTTTGTGAATTGGATCTAAGTCCCTTAACAAATGGGTGGTAACTTGAAATAATGTCTTCAGAGCTGAAAACTTTAGAATGGGATATCCTTAATCCCGATCGGTTAATTAATCTGGAGATTAATAACGAGAGGAAAACGAGCATTATTTAATCTGGAGATTAAAAAAAAGAGTGTATTAAGCATTAATCCCGATATCCACCATTCTGAAGTTCCCAGCTCTGGAGATTAAGAAAAAGAGTGGATTAAGCATTATAATCCCGATATCCACCATTCAAAAGTTCCCAGCTCAGTTCTTATTATAAAAAGAAAAATGAAGCTATTTTGATTTTAGGATGAAAGTGGATCAGCTGATTTGCTCGGATTGGGTATGGAGAATGGAACAAGCAACGGTAAGTTTTATCATCAAAGAAAACACATTGATAAGGAAGTATTTCAGGTTGTGTTGCGAAGTTTTATTCTAAGATATTTTTGTTTTATTTATTGATTTTAATTTTATTCGATATTTCGTATTTATTTGAATTTAATGTTAGATTTTATTTCGATGAGTTTGAATTTTTCCTCTGATTTATTCATTTGATTTTGTTTAACTGACCTGAATTCATTGCAAACCTAGACCTTCAAAACATGCTTCACTATTTTAACCGGTTTTATCTTTCTGGTCATTTGTTGATGTCAAAATTAGTGCTAAAAATCAGGATCTAGGTGGAAAATGTTTTTCTCAAAACACAAACCTGAAATGTTAATTAAAGAGATTTTATCATTGATTAATCAGATTTTATGATCTGATCTCGTAAATGTTAATTAAGTTTCAGCTTAAAAATCAACGAAAAAAGGTGAAACATTTTTATTTAAAAATGTTAGATAAAGAAATTGTTGATGCTGTTAGATATATTTATGAACAAGCAATCAACCCAGACCAAAATTTCAAAATATCTGAATTGTGGAACTAACACCTACTTTGTTTACTCTGATGTTTGGATCATCGTCAACTCTAAATGAATAGATCCTAAGAATTTGTGGACGGTTTATTTCATTGCTTAGGATTCATTAAACTTTGATGCGGGTCCGGATCCGGATTCTTGATCCTCACTTGAAAAAAATTGATCCGGATCCGGATCCAAATTCAACTTGGGTTTTGAGAGTAAAAATTTTTTTTAACTGTTTTTGGTCCACTGGTTTATTTGTCTATTTTGCAGGTGTGGAAAGCGAGGAAGTGACCAATAATATTCTCAAGTTCTATTGTAAGAGTAACGGTGTTCTTTACGAGAATAGTCTTATTCAGGTCCTTTTAGTTATTCATTCATTCATTAATTTAGTCATCCTTTCTTTCATTAATTTAGTCATTCATTCTATCATTTATTCTCTCATCCTTTTAGTCATCTATTTAGTCAGTCTTTCTGTCATTTATCTTGTAATTCATCCTGTCATCCTTTTAGTCATTTATTTAGTCATTCATTTAGTGATTCTTAAGTCATTCATCCTGTCAAGCATCCCACCATTCATTTAATCATCCTTTTGTCATCCTTGAGTCATTTATATATATATATATATATATATATATAAATATATATAGTGAAAAATATCTAGTTTAAGAATCGCTTTTTAGCGAATTATCGGTTCCTTCTCTGAAACAGGCTATAGTAGAGGCATTAGATAGTGTCCGGAGACACGACATAAAAATCAATGAGAGTAGTGTGGATTCTCATAAGAAATTAGGAGAAAAAGTTAGAAAACTTATTTCCACTGTGGAACAAGGAAGGGCTGAATATAAAAGGAGCCATGATGAGCTGGTTAAATTTCATGGTAACATATTGATTATTTTCCCTTCATGGTAAGAAATTGATTATTTTCCCTTCATGGTAACATATTTATTATTTTCCTTTCATGGTAACATATTTATTATTTTCCCTTCATGGTAACATATTGATTATTTTCCCTTCATGGTAACATATTGATTATTTTCCTTTCATGGTAACATATTGATTATTTTCCTTTCTTGGTAACATATTGATTATTTTCCTTTCATGGTAACATATTGATTATCTTCCCTTTATATTTTCAACATGTGGTTTTTTGTCCTTAATAATCACCCCTGAGGTTAAAGGGCTGCCCCCACCCCCTCTGCACCTAGGACATGACTATGCACTATGCAGTGCACAGAAAAGCAATAAATGTAAATGTCAACTAAATGAAAATTGTCCACTACGAAGATACAGGTTTCCAACTAGGATTAACCGTGCAAGTATCTCTGAAGGACAATGCAGTTGTAATTCCTATGCAGTATGCAATGCAGCAGAAAAGTTAAAAATATGCAAAATAAAATGCAACAGATTAAAGAACGGAGACGATTTTAAGGATTTTAGGGATGTGCAAAAAGAAAACAGTTAGATTTATGAATATCCATACTCTGATAAAAAAAAAGAATAAAAGATGTGTGCGATGGTAATGGCCAATAGGAAGGAGAACAGATTTCATTGAAGAAAAATCTGTTTTTATTATTTGTTTAATTTATTTTTATTTTTTAGAACTTCCAGCCTCATGTTTCCTGTTCTCCTGTTCTAGCAACACAGATACTTCTACAGGTATATTCAGAACAGTTCAAGGAGATTAGAACTCAGGATATGAAGATATAGAACAATTCAAGGAGATTAGAACTAAGGATATGGGGATATAGAACAATTCAAGGAGATTAGAACCAAGGAGAGCGTGATATAGAACAGATCAAGGAGATTAGAACTTAGGATATGGGTATATCGAACAATTCAAGGAGATTAGAACTAAGGAGAGGGGGATATAGAACAATTCAAGGATATTAGAACCTAGGATATGGGTATATAGAACAATTCAAGGAGATTAGAACTAAGGAGAGGGGGATATAGAACAATTCAAGGAGATTAGAACCAAGGAGAGGGGAATATAGAACATTTTAAAGGAGATTAGAACTAAGGAGAGGGAGATATAGAACACTACAAGGAGATTAGAACTAATGAGAGGGGAATATTACAAGAACAAAACTGGTTTTTGTGTTTAAGAGAAACTAGCACAAACCCTTTCTCCCTTTCCTTGTTTCTTTTTACTCCTTTCATCAAGTAAAAAAAAAAATTCTTTCTGAAATCAATATTTGGAAAAACATTCTCCCCCTCCGGCCTTTTTTGTAACAATAAATTCTTTATATTTGATGAAAATACTTGAATTTATTGTATTAAGGTGAAGGATGTTGACAGTACAGTTGAGGCAGGTGCACAGTTCCAACAGGTACATTTTTAATTATATATATATTTTTTATTATTTTTCATTCTAATATAAATTCCAGATACTCACTTTAAAGATTCAACAAACTATTTTAATCAATTTCCTGATGTAGGATTTTTAAGTGGATGATAAGTTTTTCTGTTATGCGTATAATAGTTTCATGATTTTATTTAAAATAATTATTAAGATTCTGTTTAAATTCAAATTTTGAAGGATACCGCTTTAATTACGGTCGTTTTTTTACTGAGCATTGAATGATTTTATAATACTATGGGCAACGTCGGGCACTTATTTTTCTAAATAATAATGGAACATGATCCAAGATATATGTTTTATGTTTAGATGTTAAATATTGAATGCATAACAGATTTTACGGAACAACCTGATCTAAATCTTAGCTTCACTTATAACGGAGAGAGACAAACAGTAAGTTTTAGAAATTATTTTATTTTATAGATTATTTGTATCAAGGATTATTGTATTAGAGTCGGAGACAGACCCATTCGTTAACTTAACGAGGTCCTATTTTTTTTTTTTGAACTTACATTTCTGTCAAGTCACTCGCATTTTTCCTCTTCAGGCTTATTCAGTGTAGTTATGAAAACCTTAAGTATTGTTTGCCTACTTCTGATTATGAGGATATCATTTTTTTTATTTAATAGGAGGGTGAGGGGGGGGGGATTTGTTTGAAGTTCTTTGAATTTCAATAAATTTCTATGAACTTCTTTGAACTTCTATGAACTTATTTGGACTTCTATGAACTTCTATGAACTTCTTTGGACTTCTATGACCTTCTATGAACTTCTTTGGACTTCTATGAACTTCTTTGGACTTCTATGAACTTCTTTGAACTTCTTTGAACTTCTTTGAACTTCTTTGAACTTCTTTGAACTTCTTTGAACTTCTTTGAACTTCTTTGAACTTCTTTGAACTTCTTTGAACTTCTTTGAACTTCTTTGAACTTCTTTGAACTTCTTTGAACTTCTTTGAACTTCTTTGAACTTCTTTGAACTTCTTTGAACTTCTTTGAACTTCTTTGAACTTCTTTGAACTTCTTTGAACTTCTTTGAACTTCTTTGAACTTCTTTGAACTTCTTTGAACTTCTTTGAACTTCTTTGAACTTCTTTGAACTTCTTTGAACTTCTTTGAACTTCTTTGAACTTCTTTGAACTTCTTTGAACTTCTTTGAACTTCTTTGAACTTCTTTGAACTTATATGAGCTTCTTTGCGTTCTATGCGCTTCTATGCGCTTCTATGCGCTTCGATACTCTTCTATGTACTTCTTTGAACTTTCAAGAATTTCTAAACCCCTGTGTGTAGGTTAACTGTAAGCTACCGATGTCGGTGAATAAGTTCATTGAACCAACAGAAATGAATGCAGAAGCTTTCTTCACACGCTGGAAGAATCTGAGTATACCCTCACAGGTACAATGCCTAAAATTTTGTTAAAACCGACATTTTGGAGCACATGCTGGTGCTTAATCTATGAATAAACCGGTTCCAATGGATCGGGACAAGGAATAGCGGAAGAAGAAGTTGAACTGCGCAGACTTTGTTTGCCGGCTCGAGTTTAGGGGGAGTGGTTCATATCAGTTTATGTATTTCAATGTATTTTATGTCTGACTATTATATGCGGATCCGAATCCAAGGAACAAAATATAAACAAAAATCTTGAAACAAACAGTTTTTGGCTTTCTGAACCTAAATCTGAACTGCTTAAAAAAACCTTTCTCATTTCTGAACGTTCCATCAATTAAAAAAAAAGAAAACGAAGAAATAAATGTAATAATAAATCTTAAAGAAATGTTCATGACCTGGATCCGGATTTGGATTTGGGTCCATTTTTTCCCAATCCGGATCCACATCAAATTAAGTTGATCTGCAAGCACTGTTATTTATCTAGTAGTTCAACTAGCGATCCATTGTTCTTATCGCTATTCATTAAATCTGACATATGAAAATGAATATAAAATATGCTCTAAATTGTCTGACTGCATCAAATCCTTTAACGTGAAATATCCAAAGTTCAATTGAGTCGAAAAAAAATTATTGTTTTCTTTATTGTCTTTTTTAATTCTTGGCATTACTTACTGACTAAATATATCTGTTCAGGAGGCACAGAAGATATTCAAAGCAAAGTTTCCTATGGAGGCAACAGACGCAGCTAAAACTAAACTTATCGGATACGGATTCCAGGTTAAACCTCTTTTATTTTATCTAATTTAGTTGTTTATATTTATCAGTATCCCTCCCCCCTTTAACTTGTGCTAAAATCATAATATTGTTTGTTCATTCCGCGTATTTATTTCCTTCATATGGGGGCGTAGCAGGTAGTAAGGAATAGAAGGGAGATATAACTGACTCGGTTCGCCCTACCATATGATTATACATGCTTTGCAGACGGTACTCCATTTGTACAAGAAATATTTGTCTGGTGTACAATTACCGCGGATACAATAACCTTTTCTGAATATTTCATATACAAATGGAGTACCCGTCTGCAAAGCATGTATAATCATATGGTAGGGCGATCCGCGTCAGTTATATTTCCCTTCTATTCCTTACTCCCTGGGGCGGAGGGATTCTTCACTAAAATTTATGCATATGAATGAATGATTTCGGTTAGAATAAGACATTTTCGTGGTTTTATTTAATGTAATGTATTTTTGAAAGCAAGAAATGGCAGACCACATTTAGAAAAGACTAGGATTATTTTGTGATAAATATCCCGCAAACTATTTCTAAGGTCAGAGACGACTTTCGAGAATGTTTAGAGAGGCCCTGGGTAAATTAAAATGTAAAAATTGTACAATTGTAATTGTTTTTATTAAACTATTATGTATATATTCAAACTATTGGAGAATATTGATCCTAACCATGAGAACTAACTAGTATATATTCCAGCTACTGGAGAATATTGATCTTAACCATGAGAGCTAACTAGTATATATTCCAGCTATTGGAGAATATTGATCCTAACCATGAGAACTAACTAGTATATATTCCAGCTACTGGAGAATATTAATCCTAACCATGATAACTAACTAGTATATATTCCAGCTATTGGAGAATATTGATCCTAACCATGACAACTAACTAGTATATATTCCAGCTATTGGAGAATATTGATCCTAATTTTGAGAACTAACTAGTATATATTCCAGCTACTGGAGAATATTGATCTTAACCATGAGAGCTAACTAGTATATATTCCAGCTATTGGAGAATATTGATTCTAACCATGACAACTAACTAGTATATATTCCAGCTATTGGAGAATATTGATCCTAACCATGAGAACTAACTAGTATATATTCCAGCTATTGGAGAATATTGATTCTAACCATGACAACTAACTAGTATATATTCCAGCTACTGGAGAATATTGATCCTAACCATGAGAACTATGTGTGCGCTGGTATTATCCATACCCGGACTCTACAGATAGGAGTTCTCCTTAGACTAGAACCTAACATGCAGGCTCAGGTGAATATTAGAAATTGAGAGATAATATTTTCAAAAATATTTTATTCCTTTTTACTTTTTCATGATTGAAGTTTATTGAAAATACGGATTTTATCTAAATGATTTCATTAATTTTGTAAAGTATAAACCACTATACCTTATAATTTTAATCACTATTGTAATTATCTTTGTTATTTCATAATACAATTAGGGTTTAAACATCATTTTATGTTTTATTAATATTCTGATTGTTGTTTTTATCAATATTCTATTCTGATTAATTTTTACTTATTAATTATTTTAATTATTATTATAATTATCATTATTGTTATATTATTATCATGATTATTATTATTATTATTGTTATTATTGTTATTATTATTATTTTTATTATTATTATATTTAGATGTACCGGTTGACTGTGAGGTCTAGCAAGGATACAGTTTCCCAGCATATTGTCAATATTCTTGGAGATGTGTTCTGAACACATAGAGCTGAACACATTTATCCCTTGAACACATGGAGCTGAACATATTTTCTCTTGAACACATGGAGCAAAACACATCAATCTTTTGAACACATGAAACTGAACAGTGAACACATTTATGTATAATCCTGGGCTCAACTTAAGTTCTTTCTCTTTATTCCGTTAGAGGTATATCTTCAATACCTTTAAATTTTTTTCTGCCAAGACTTGTCCTCTCCCTTTCCATGTTTTTTTTCAATTCATTTACCTTTACGTTTTCCTTTTCCTCATATTTAAACTCATCCTTGTTTCCGGATTATTATTCATTAGTTCATACATGTGATAAAAACAGTGAAATCAACAGGTTTGGAAATAATATTTCTAGCGGTAATCGGATGGTACAACTGTACAGTGTATACTGTACAGTTGTTAAACTGTACTAACTTAAAGTGTACAGTCAATAAACTGCTGTTCAGTGGTTAAATTTTGAACCTAACAAATTATGGGGTACTGAACTAGCCGAGTAAATGTTTTCTTTAAAGTAATAATTCTTAGTTTTGTTTTGGCCTAAGTATTTTTTCCGGTAAAATCATTGATTTTTCTTAAGTAATGATGTAATGTTTATTGTACTTTTAGAGATCTAAAAGGAACTATAATTGTTAAGAATGTTTTATAAAAAAAATAATGAGCCTTGCTCAGTTTGAGCTTTTGAGTCAAAGTCCACTTCTGGGATTTTCTTTCAAGGTCAAGATAATGTTATAAAAGTGATATTCAGTTGTAGAATTTAGTTTAATCAGTGCTAGTTGGCTTTTAAATACTTATTGTTGCACCATCTCTCAAGATATTGTTGCACCATCCCCTCCTCAAGATGTGCAACATCTAAAGAGAATGCCACTGTATGACCGACCAAAGATACCGATCATGGTCCCCCCCCCCCCCCCCCCCCCCCCCCGCGGGGGGAAGGGGTGTTCGCCCCCCCCCCCCCCCCCCCCCCCTCCTCTTCCTAACACTAGATATTATCAATATTTTATTATTTATGTCACGTGTGTACTGTACATGTATTTTTACACTTAGTTTTTTTTGCATGTACAGTACATTCTTGAACTGCATGTACCAGCAATCATGAAAAGACCAGTGCACCAATATATTGTATGACTTCCGTTGTGGGACGCTCTGTATATCTTCTTCCCAAACAAAATGTTACTAAGCAATTTTTTCCTCAGATACAGGGTGAACCTACTTTAGGGGATCTTTAAGTCTCGTTTGGATCGTAATCTCAAATAATCCTTGCCTCCCCCCCCCCCCCATCTAAAGTAAAGGGTTTAGCCAGAACTTATTTTAGAGAATAATTCAAATGTCGTCCTTGTGCGGCCCAAGTTTCCCCTCATTCCCTGGCGACTATGTAATGCATTGTTTTATTCGTATTATATTAGATATTTATAAGTAGTGAGATCATTCCAATTGTATTATCATTATCAACTCTGTTTTATTCCAAGGATTTTAGAATTAAAGCATTTAAATAAAATGGATGAAAATATTTGATTTTCTACATGAGGAAGAGGAAAATAATTGGCTTCAATTCAATGTCGAAACTATAGAAATGGAGTCTTTTGCTGAATCAAGGAAAAAGCTGTAGTGCTAGACATGTTTAGAGGTTGCAGTACGTAACAAAGGAAGACTTGTGAAATATAAATTACGAGTATTTTGTATTATTAATTTCCTAATCTGTGGCGGTCCTGTGATTCGTAATTTTAGAGCTTTTCTAGTCCTCGGAACAAATAGGTTTCCGAAAAGCATTTGTAACAAACTGTTGTTTAGAAGATCAAATACTGATAAATGCATGCATGGAGAAGGTTAAATGCTATCAATCAATCAATTAACCTTGGAAATGATTTAATCAGTTTGTTATCTGTAAAACTTCATAAGTGATTTGCAGGAGTATTTATTCTATTGAAAAAAATGAACCCATCTCCATATCTCGAAAAATAATCAAACCCTCCCTATATCTTGAAAAATCTCAAACCCTCGCCATTATACCATGTGTTCAAAAATCATCAAACCCTTCCTTTATCTTGAAAAATCATCAAACCCTCCCCATATCTTGAAAAATCATCAAACCCTCCCCATATCTTGAAAAAGCATCAAACCCTCCCCATATCTCGAAAAATCATCAAACCCTCCCCATATCTTGAAAAATTATCAAACCCTCCCTATATCTTGAAAAATCATCAAACCCTCCCCATATCTTGAAAAATCATCAAACCCTCCCTGAAGGTACAGTCTATGATTAAGGAACACCGGTCCTTAGTGACCCTTTCAGAACCAAGTAAGTGGTTCTCCCTCCAACCTCATGTCAATGATTCTGCCCAGTCCAGGATCCTTAACCGGTTCCGGGCTGCGGATGTAGGGCTAGGGAATAGGCGCCCAAATTTGTTTGGGGAGTCTTATAAGATTTGTCCCTTATGCCTTGAGGATGGATTTACATACAAGTTGATTGAAACCCATGTTATCCTTGTCTGCCCTACGGTCGGGTTTACTAGACATGCTAGGGGTATTGAGGCCTATAAGTCTGGACAGCTTGTCCGCCAGGTCCCAGCTGAGCTAGTTATGAGAGGTTTTCTTGGGGGGGACGGGGCTGATCCGGTTACAATGATGGCTAGGGCTAACAACCTCCAATGTGTCCTGGATGATTGGCTTCGGCAGGTTTCCTTGGCATAGTAGGTAGGTGGGGCTGTCAGGTCCAGGGGGTGCACTCATTTTAGGACGTGGTAAGGTATACTTCTGGACTTCGGTTCTGCCTGCCCCCGGGTAATACCTCATCTCAGGATGGCCTGGGGGGCCGGGTGTCCACCCGATGGCGGTTTGGGTTCTCCAAAATGGGGGAGCTTTCAGATCTTTTTCCTGATATTCCTGATAACACTTATGTTATCCCTAATTAATAGAACCCCACTTTAACACCCATGATACAACATTATGCCTCTGTATCATTCAACGCCCTTGGGCTGAAAACTTTTTCTTAATTTCGGGACTAACTTAATCTTGTAAGCTGGTATCCTGAGAAGTGTATAAAATTCAACCAATCCGAGTCGCATATATGAAGCCTATAAATTTGAAATTTTGCCCGCCATTTAAGATTATATACAGAAATTGGAGTAACTCTCTAATTTAGAAAACCATTTTTTGATTTTCTCTACGGTTTAAGAAAAATTTTAAAGTATGTCCATTGGATACTCAAATTAAGTAATCGGGGTTAAAAATATCTCATTCTAAAGTTTTCAGCTCTGGTCCCCTGAGTTATAAAACCCCTCTGAAACCAACACCCCTTAAATAATTCTGTTTAGGATAGAAGCTGTGACTAGAAAAATCAGGTTTGGGGATTCTGTTCAGGATGTCATGTCTGCCATCGGAGCACCCTCAAGGTAAACAATAAACATTCATTCTTAATTTTTTTGATTAAATGGACTATACGCATAGTTTCAAGGGGCCATCTATTCAAAGAAAGCAATTTCGCGCCATATTTCTGATAATTAATGTGCACGATATTTTCGTTTTTCTGAAAGTGTTTAATTCAGATAAATCCTTTGTTTTCCAGCAGTCACTTTCTTGGAAAAATATTTTAAAATTATAAACATCAATATCTAACTCATAATTGATCAGAATAAGGTTTTCAGGGTACCGTTATAAATCAAGCCAGGCCATCTTTGCATTGAAGGTCACTTGAAATTGAAAAATATACATTTCAGGGATGAATCAAAAGAATTTAAGTATTTAAAAGCCACGCTTTATTTTAATAATGCCCCTGTGATTTTATCTCTTAAGTTTTGGGCTTGATAATTACCCGGGCGTTATTAATAAAGACAGAAGTAAACCCAAGAACATCTTTATAAATAAAACAAATCTGAAATTTTTGGCCGAACTGAACGTTAAAGCTTTAGGATTAAAGGGAGTGGCCGGCTATGTAAGTTAGTTGAATTGAGGGTTGTGGAAAACTTCTTTCGGATTCATTTGAGACAAATTAAACTTTTTAAAGATCTGTAAATCTTGAGTTTGAGCGCAAATTCGACGTTCAAAACTTCTACTTTGGGGATGGATACGTTTTCAGAATTAGTTTTTTTAAATTATTAAATAACGGCGACATAAAATGTAAAAGAGTTCTACAATGAACTACAGACGTCATGTATAATAAATATTATAAAAATTATAATAAAAATTAATCTTATCAAAAATAAGTAATCTTGTTAAATTATTAGTTTCTATTTTCTCATTATTCTGGTTTCTCCTTATTCACAAAGATTTTTTACAGATTTTCTAGAATTAATATTGAAAAGACGACATTTGAAGAATTTGAAGAAATCTCCGAATAAATTCAAAGAAAATAAGAAATTCAATTTAAAAATGAAAAAGAAATAATCGATTTTAGCATTGATTTATTGACAAATTTCTTTTGAGAAATATGTAGCTAACCATCTAATTAGATATTACTGTATAATTTTTACTTTATTTTTCGTTGTCGTTATTTAATAAAACTAATTCTGAATACGTATCCACCCCCCAAAGTAGGACTTTTGAACGTCGAATTTGTGCTCAAACTCAGGATTTACAGATCTTTAAAAAGTTTAATATGTCTTTCAAATGAATCCGAAAGAAGTTTTCCACAACACTGCATACTCAGTTCAACTACCTTACATAGCCGGTTACTCCCTTTAATAGAGAACGAAGGAACGCAAATTATCTTTAAAATTCTGTGATGGTGATGGACCAAACCTCAATAGAGTAATTAAAGTAGATGTTAGTTCCACATTTTATTGAAATTATATTTCGGTCTGGGTTGACCCTCGTCACTCGTCAGCTGTAATAATATAAAAAACATCAAAATCGCTAGTAAAAAATGTAAAAAATCCACCAATTATCTCTTTTAGTGGTACTCACTAGTCATTGATAAAATATTTTGTGTGTAGGGTGTTCTATAAGTCGGAAGATAAGATGAAGATTCACTCCCCGAATGCGCACAGGAAAGCTGCATCCTTGAAGTCAGATTACTTCTTCAACTACTTTCAGATGGGGCTGGTAAGTTAGGATTATATACAGTAGATAATTTAATATTGATGAGTGATCAATGATTATAATTTATGAGTTAGATTTTTTTCTGAAATAACTCGATTCAAAACTGAACTACTTGATCTACCAAAACTGGATTCAGATTTATAATAATGTCCTATAATATTCCAACTGCTTAGTTTTAGAGACATAGACATAAATATTTTTAATTTTTGGCTTTTCTGTAAAAATGACTCGCGGGTTTCTCAATAAGGCCTGCCTCTCATTAAAAAGAGATGGACCCTTAAAATAACGACGACAATTCCTTCCAGTGCCAAATACTAATCGGGATCATAACATCGTCTTAAAAAAATCCTACTGCTGAGTATTTATTTACTTAGACAAAGCAAGTTATCGTGACTTATACCTATTCTTGAAATTATTGGCTTATTTTGAGGAGAACAGATGTTTTTTTCATTTGAGAACAAAATTCATAAAAAAAAATTTATTGACAAGTGTTTTGATTTTACTAAGGCAAAAATATCTGTTGATGATAGCATTAAATAATTATATATATATAATTATATATAATAATTATTCTAAATAGTATTTGAAATTATTAATTAATTAATTCATTGACGTCCTTTATTGAATTGAACCATAAATCATACAGTATGCACTGTTAAAGAGATTGTAAAGTGTAAGTGTAGTTTCGAGTGACTTAATATGCACAATGGCAATGACTGATTCTAAACCTGTATCTGCTCAATAATGTGGTAGATATTGTCATTGTCTAAAGGGAAAAATGTTAAATTTGGATTATTCCTATTTGTTTTCCTGCATTAGAAATGCGCAAGCCACTTTGTAGAGAAACTCCAATTGAAACTAATTAGTTTTCAAAACTAAAAACATTGATGTACAGAGCGTCCCATATCATATTAGATTATTTCCGATCTTTAACACCTAAATACGCACATAATATTTGAAAAATCTAGCATTTTCTTCAAAAAAAAAATCTACTACCCTTATTAAATTTTTCAAAATTATTTATTCTTCTTAAATTTTCTGATTTGTCCCTCAAATCGTAATTTGGACCCATTGACGCGGTCTAATTTGATGTGGGTCACCCTGTATAATTCATACTTGATCAGACAAAGCTATAATTAATTAATAAAGGGTACCGTTGTGAATCGGGCATTTTCATCTTTGCATAGAGGGTTACTTGAAAATTCGCTTACAGTCCTTTTAATAAGTGCCGCGGATTGGCCTGAATCCCTTGATAAATTTGTAATATTCTTTATTGTATTGCTTGATAAATTAAAATGTTTATTATCAGGATGTATTACTTGATATATTAAAATGTTTATTATCAGGATGTATTGCTTGATGCAAGGACTAACACGGTTAAAAAATTCATTCTTCACACCAACTTTCCTGGCCACTATAATTTTAAATTAAAACATTTAATTATAATTATAATTTTATATTTAGATATTAATTAGTTTAGTTTCAACAAGGTGTTAGTTTACAAATGCAAATGAAAATTTTAATGTTAATTTTAAAAAAATGTTTAATTTGGTCAGGGTGATTTTGAATAAAGTTCATTTGAACGGCTTTAGACACATAATATTAAGTGATTCTCATTTATAGAGGAGGAGCGCCTGATTAACAACGCTAAATGAGGAAGATTCCGTAGTTTTTCTATCTAAAAGCTGACGTAAGAATTTATGCAGCAAAGAAAAAGAAAGAAATAATTTTAACACTATTTTAGAAAGAAAACCCTCTATATCTTGCTAATAGTTCCTCAGACAAAGGTTTGAATGGTAGCGTTGTGAATCTGACATGTCCCTCTGTAAATAGAATTAAATTACCTCTTTAGTCTCCTTAACAGAAAAAAACAGTTAAACAAACTTACGATTGATTGAGTGATTGATTTTGATTGATTGATTGATTGATTGATTTTCTAGGTATCATCGAGCTGAGTTTAATCTAGAGCTAGAGGTTGAAAAGAGTTCTATAAATCAAATGATTCCTAGTCCTGTTAACATCACACCATTAACAAGGTAGACCCCCCCCCTCCCCCCCCTCCTCTTCACATAATTAAGCCCAGTGCTAGCAGTTTTATTATTTTATTTTATATGGCATACTAAAACCATGCATTGAATTACGACATAGTTCTTTCAAATAGAATTTGGGACATGTTAAAAAATGTCTAATTGATGTGAAAAAATCTAACAGAAACCAGAGGACGAAAGGAACAATTCATCTGTTTGCACAGGGGAAAAAAGATTAGTTGCCATTTTTTATTTTAGCTTGGCAATCTAATCCAGGAATGGAATCCCCCTGTGTTGGTGGAAGCTGTAAGCTCCATGGGTTAGGATCCGTAAAAATTAGATTTTAGAGACCGGATACTGATCCTTTTATTAGACTTCATAGCTTTGTTCTTCTTCTACCTTCTATCTATAAATTTGGCTTTTCTCTCGTATGTTTGTATCCAATAAACGTAGAAACAGCTGAACCGGTTGGGCCAGTTGTGGCAACTCACATTACCCCGGGAAAGATTTAGTACAATTGGTAGAATAAGTTTTAGATAAAAATATGACAGTTGTGATATTTTCTTTATTGATTACTGCCATTTAAAACTGGTTTAGAATTTTATTTAATGAAACACGGCTAGCCTTTTATTTTGCAGTTCAGAGAATTTTCTTTTTTTTCATATTTTAGACACATTGCAGATAAACGGGCAGATTTTTTCGATAAATTCGAATTTAAATCTGCGGGAAACAGTAAACAAAATATATTTTCACATTTTTTCTTATCACCCGACGTTAAGTTTAAATCCAAACGTGGGAATCTTAAACTAAGTCTATACTAAAGAAATTGGACTGCGTACACCAAAAAATGCAATTTAGTTGTATTGGAAAGTGTATAGAGGGCACACTCATGTATGTCATACATAAATTCTAATTTGTATGTTTGTTAATGTGGGAAAGTGTATAGGGGACACACTCATGTATGTCATACATAAATTCTAATTCGTATGTTTGTTAAGGTGGGAAAGTGTATAGAGGACACACTCATGTATGTCATACATAAATTCTAATTCGTATGTTTGTTAATGTGGGAAAGTGTATAGAGGACACACTCATGTATGTCATACATAAATTCTAATTCGTATGTTTGTTAAGGTGGGAAAGTGTAGCGGATAAACTGAAACCATGTGAGAGACCTGTTGTTCTAAACCGGGCCAGCTCAACCAATACAACAAACCCCTTCGGTTCTACTTTCTGCTATGGGTACCAGGATATTATATTTGAGGTAGGTTCAGGAGGGAAGGCGGGGTGGTGACTATTAACGAAAATTGTCTGAATTCCACACCGTTGTGTGGTAGTTAAAATGGTAGTAAAATCTTTCTTCAGTCAAAAAATTACACAGGAACTTGCCTCAACTACTACTTGTATAATCCCTATATCAATGACACCTGGGACCAGGTTTGAACTTGTCTCAACTACTATTTGTATAATCCCTATATCAATGACACCTGGGACCAGGTTTGAACTTGTCTCAACTACTACTTGTATAATCCCTATATCAATGACACCTGGGACCAGGTTTGAACTTGCCTCAACTACTATTTGTATAATCCCTATATCATTAACACCTGGAACCAGATTTGAACTTGTTTCAACTACTATTTGTATAATCCCAATATCATCGACACCTGGAACCAGATTTGATGAATGATGACTTGTGCGCCAGTGGGACGTTTTTTTTACTACTTTTCACTGTTCATTAAATCTGATCGTAGAACTTTGATTTTTCAAAACAATTTAAAATTAAAATTTTGAATTATGAATTTGAAGCGAGTGTGAATTTACTTTATGAAAGAAAAATAGTTATAGTTTAAGTTTTCTCCACATTTGATATTTCAGGTTATGCCCAACGGACATCTTGCAAGTGTGACCCTTTATCTTCCACAGGGCATGAGTCCTCCGTCAGTTGGAGAGGAGGACGTTCTCAAGCTTTAATAGGACGCGACGTTCTTTAAGCTTTAATAGGACGCGACGTTCTTTAAGCTTAATAGGACGCGACGTTCTTCGAGCTTTGATATCGCGTCTCAAGAAGACGTTCTTGAGGTTCAAATAGACGCTATTAACCTTTAACAGGACGTTCTTAAGCTTACATAGGACGTTGTTATGGCTTATTAGGGCATTCTTGAGCTCTAATACGACGTCCTAAAATTAAAATTTTCATTTAAAGACAAGCAGTTTGATGCCGAAAAATGACGATTTTAGATTCGTAGGAGGCTTAAGTATATTGTGAAGAATAAGGATGAGATAGAGAGAAGGAGAGTCACTGAGTTCACTGAGTGCACGAATAATAAAATGCCGCGTCCAATTCAGGCCAAATTCTCCTCTTTTCCTGACTGCACAAGCTCTCAAAGACTATTGAATATGGAAGATGAACGAAATGATTAATTATTAAATGTGGTTTGGTTATTTGTCCTTGAGTACTTTTACAATACAGTACATTCAGAGATGCTGTAACGTATGTACAATGTTATTGTACACTGTACACTGAACTTAATTCATTTTACAAACAGAAACACTGTTATGATGTACACTGTGTGACAAATTTGTGTACATACTTGTGATTGGTTGAGCACTGATACATATTGTAAGCATGTCAGCTGCATAATAAAAGCATTGACTAAATGTGTGCAACCCATTTCAACTTGTATTTAATTATATATGTAATTTGCAAAGTATTCTGTTATTGGATAAAAGATTTCATGTTTCAAAATTAACCTTTTAAAACTGCTTCAATTCTGTGATTTTAAACTCTTTTTCTTTATATCTTAATATTTATCCTAATTATTAAACTTATGATTGATTTGAATTGATCTAGAAAATTCCTTCTGATGCTGAACTCTGAATAGCATATTAAATGCATCTGAAAAAAGAAACCTGAAATAATAAAATCCGAGATATTGATCCCTCCACTATTTATGTTGTTTAAAGTATATTTGCTTTTCAAGGATATCAATCTGGACTAGCTTAGCATATAGCTATTGTCAACTTGTCGTTAGTTTGACTTCATCAAGCTATAACTAGCTGGACCAGTATATTTATAGTTATTATCAACCTATCGTTAGTTTCACTTTATCAACATGTAACTAGCTTTACCAGTTGATTTATAGCTATTGTCAACCTATTGTTAGTTTGACATTATCAACTTGTGACTAGCTAAACAAGATGATTGACCAACCTGTCCTTAGCTAGGCTATTTGATTAAGATCATTAGGTTTAATAATAAACCTGTGTCTAGCTAATATATAGTTGATTGATAATTAATTAGCTTCAGTTATCGACCTGTGTCTAGCTAAGATATAGTTGATTGATAATTAATTAGGCTCAGTTATCGACCTGTGTCTAGCTAAGATATAGTTGATTGATAATTAATTAGCTTCAGTTATTGACCTGCGTCTAGCTAAGATATAGTTGATTGATAATTTATTAGGTTCAGTTCTCGACCTGTGTCTAGCTAAGATATAGTTGATTGATAATTTATTAGGTTCAGTTCTCGACCTGTGTCTAGCTAAGATATAGTTGATTGATAATTTATTAGGTTCAGTTCTCGACCTGTGTCTAGCTACGTTAGACCATTAATGTATCTTTGAATATGCAGAACTAGTTTACTTATTTTGTATTTTCCTGTGTCAAGGCAAAATGTCTATATACTAGGCTAATTCTAATGGGCAACCGATAAAAACGTTTAAATTGATTTTGGAAGATATTGATCACAATCTCATTTGTTTTCTTATTTTTTAACGAAACCTTCATTCATAAGTTCAAATTAAATTTACAGGTTCATAGTTTTCTTCTCAAAAATACAAGTTTTAAAATTTAATATTTTCTCAATTCTTTGACTGTTAAAACATATATTTCCGTAGACCCTGCCTTTATATATATATGTTGTTTGAATAGTATAGTAGTATAAAGATATTTTTGCTTATTGTCAACTTTTTTTTTTCTTAAAAACTCTAGTCTGCCCAGGGCTCGTCTTTCAAAACTCTTCCTGGGAGAGCTCGACCCCGGAAAAAAAGCTCAATGCGCCCAAAAAAATTTATAAAATCAAAACCGATAAAGAAATTCATGTAGTTGTAAAAAATGAAACAAAAAATTATGAAAAAGACTGTAATAAACTAGTTCAATCTTAATCTAGCAGTTTTTCTTTTTATGATTTGAACTGTTTGGAGGATGAAGTACAGTGAAACCCATAAAACTGTGGAATAGAAAACGAATTTTAAGATTTAGATAGTCCATTGAACACAGATCCATTTCACTTCAGTTTTCTTATCAAGACAATTTGCTTTACACAACATTAAATATAAAAAAATGCTAAAATTTCGTCTTCCCATAATTTCACAGTTCTATGGGTCTCATTGTTATAAGATATTGTTCAAATGTATTTATTCTCTCTACCCTGTTCAAAGTGTTCACCTAAATTCTCTGAATAAAGGATGAACTATTAACAAAAAGGCGAGATGGAATTATTTTTCTTTGTCAAATATCTAAGAGTGAGCACGTTGACGTCTTAGTGCGTCCTAATTATCTATCACAAAATATTTACCAACAGACATCTTTAGCGGCCAACCTATCGTCCCCAAAAGTACGTCATTTGGTCGGACCTTGTGTTTGCTAGAAACTTATTCTATTTCTATAATGTATGGTTACCGCGACCACAAACTGCTCATAAGCCATCGCAGGCTAGGCTAACCAGGGGTATAGTTGTACCGGCCCGACATGCTGCATTTACACGAAAGGTTTTTGACTGCCATCTAACGGCCACGTACTGGTTGCTTATAACAACCCTTCAGGAGTCAAGTTCTACAATGTCTGAAAAAATACGTTAACTTCTAACATAAAACATAAATTTTTAAAAGTCTATTTTTGAAGGTTTTGTACTTCGTATTATCCAAAGAATACGAAATATCCATTAATACAGAAGTCTGTTTATTGGTCCAGTTGTACAAAATGGTACCTGCTGTGGAAAATATCGCTTTCTAGCCTTTAATAGATCTCTGTACCAAGATCGCGTATAATAAGGTTGGTTTATACTCTCGATGCGCTCCAATGTACGGAAAATGTCGTCTCCTAAGATAGATCGATAAAAACCTCACATGACGTCACTGATAATAGAGGCGAGAGTGATATGTGGTTTGTATCTATCTTTATTTTTCCTTACATTGGGGCGCATCGAGAGTAAGCAACCTTGCTGTGCACTCTCTTATCTCTGACCGTGATGCATTAGGATCGCTAGGAACTAATTCTTATTTAAACAAAAATCAAAGGTAGTTTTTTTCTGGACAGAGTAGGACTAGGAATTGGCCGAACCGGTAAAATCTTTGTTTACTAATTTTTGTTGATTTACAATTTATGTGACCCTCCATTAGAAGAGGAGCATGCCCAATTCACAACATTACCCTTGAGACCCTAACTGATCCATGATGTGGTTTGAAGTGCTTAATTCTCATTATTCCTCCATTGTTTCTAATTAAAATTAAATAGTTTCAAAAACAAAACAAAAAACGATATTTTAATGTGTGAATGCCACCTTGTCAATGGAGGGTTACTTAAAATTACGTGTTAAAAGATTTTATCCCAGTTTCCAAGCGGTTTTTACTCCTTGTACAATGTACGTGTACCGTGCCGCAGCGGTTTTTACTCCTTGTACAATGTACGTGTACCGCTCAAGGAAAACAGGGATGGAGGGGGAATATTAGGGGTTGCTTATTTTTTGTTAAATTTATTTTTTTTGGCAAGATTTAGGATCACAATTGCTCGTTTGTCTCGTTATTGAATGTTATTTTTATCAATTATAAGAGATATTGGAGACCATAGATTAATAACAAAACAGATAGAACACTAGATGTCGTCTGTTCACGATTTAGGGGTTTTTCGTTTACAATAACCCTGAGGCAGAAGCCCAAAGAAGTTACGCGCATGACGCGATGAATAGCAAGAGAGAAAGAGAGCATGCGCTTAACTCCTTCTGCCTCAGGGTTTATTGTGAACGAAAGCCCCTAAATCTGGAAAGACGACATCTAGTGTTCTATCTGTATTGTTATTAATCTATGTTGGGGCCCAAGAAACGAAAAAAATCAAAAAATAAGAATAATACCGTAATTTTATTCACAGTTTCATGTATGTAGTGACTATAAATAAAATAACCAAAAACTATTAAATCACATATAATTTTCAAAAAGCCTTCTTTTAAGCATTTCGATTTTTAAATCGATTATTCTACATATATAATATATAATAAACAGGAATCTGTAGAACACGATTGTTTTCACTTCTCTAATATTCAATTTTGTAATTCCTGCTTGTTAAATCTGTTAAATTATTTAGACTTCAAATTACAAGATTATAATTGCCACACTTTTCGGGAGAAGGAAGTTTTTACAGTTTTTGGCACTTATTTCCTTTCAATCTTGTCAATTTTCAAATTGCAGTAACTTTGTTATTGTTTGGAACTTTTCCAATCTGTAAAAAGATTTAAGTAATCAAAATATAAACGTTTTGTTTTATTGTAACTATGGATTCACTTCTTTTTCTTTAAATATTGTTAAAAATGACCGCCATTTTCTTAAATGCATAATTCAGCTCTAATGCGAAAATTAACTAAAACTCTTAGAAGTACAGGGTGTCCCAATAAACATGGGAATTCAGTGACGAATTCGATATCGTCTTTTCAAATAATTCTTTGATTTAGTATAGCGATACCTACTGAGAAAGCTGTAATCTGTAAGAGTTTTGTCTGCTATGTTCACAATTTGTTTGTTTTTGTTTGCCTGCATACAGTTGTACTTAGTAAAAAGTCTTCACTGTTCATCTTAAGGAGACATTATAGACACATCTTTACAGCCATTTACCGTTTTCATAAAATAAACTCTAGCAGACATAATTATGTTTTGGCTTTTGAAATTAGGTATTACAATGCTAATTCATAACAAAGACGATATTGAATTCGTCACTGAATTCCCATGTTTTTTTGGGACACCCTGTATGTTGGTCGGGTTGACTTTGAAGAGTAATAACTCTTTAACGAAAGGAGGTATCTGAAAGTTAGAGGTAGTTCTTGACCTTGGCTATCTCCGTGCAAAATCAGTTTATCCAACACGCCTGTCCAAAGAAAGGGGAAACTGTACGTGAAACGTTTTATCGAAATACTGGTGTACAGGAAAACTAATTTTTTTTTTTCTGCAATACATGTTGGGGATATTTTGTTATATTGCAAAACGTTCATATTAAAATCTCTTTATGATTTTTTAAAAGTTTGCTTCTTGAAATTTAATTTGAGGCATTCAACTCAATCGGTTCAAAACTCTTATAATCTATAATAAGTTCCGTTATAGCATTTTAAGCTTAAAATCGGAAAAATTAAATCACATTCATAACTATCCACCTCTTCAATATGTGGATTAAGTTAATCCTCTTGTTCGTCTTCGGATTCTAGATCCTTGGCATCTCTTCTCTCACCAGCCTGGTTGTACATGTGGGGCTCAGATTCCCTGTACAGTGCAGTGTACATGTATAACAGTGTACAGTTTATACAGTGTGCAGTTCAAAATATTTTATGAGCCTATTAAATAATGATGTAAACCTGTTAAAGATCCTAAAAAGATCCTAAATACTAAATAATGATGTAAACCTGTTAAAGATTTTAAAAAGATCCTAAATACAAAATAATACTGTAAACCTGTTATAGCCTTTATTGATATTTTTTCCGTTAAACCAACGCTTGCTCCACTGAAAATAAAAATTATAATAAAAAAAAAAATTTATAGTAATGAAATTTTTTTTATAAATTATTTTGTCCTTAAAAATACAGGGTTACCCACAAGGGATGAGACTGCTGACAGTGACAGTGTTTAAATTTGATTATCTAATTTTAGGCATCTGTCGGAAATATAGGCTCTATTGTCAAAGTTCTGTGCAAAGTCGTCTCTAAAATCTCATGCTTTGTGGGACTGGGACACCATGTAAAAATACCTGACAGAAGAATTTCAAGGTGATAGAATGCATGTCTCCTGTAAATGCTCCCTGATCCGACCATCTGAAAACAATTACAAATAGTTTTCGTGAATTGATTTTCGAGAAATGTTCTTTGGCTTTTATTTAGTTATCATAATTGTTTTGAAGGGACTTAATTACTAGCTTGGGACCCTGAAGGGACGTAATTACTAGCTCGGAANATTCTACCCCTCATTAAACAGTTAAGCACGCTCTATTTACAACGGTATCCTATACATAATACAATACAACTATAAATGAGGAAGATGTTGTCGTTTTTCTTTCTGAAAAAATGCTGAATTCTGGTCATATCATTCTTCTCTCTACTGCATAAATCTGCAAGTCACGTCGCAGTCATTCTTTTTCACATTTTCAGCTAGGAAATCTGATTTTCAGCTTGAAAATCAGATTTTCAGCTAGAAAATCAGATTTTCAGCTTGAAAATCAGATTTTCAGCTAGAAAATCAGAATTTCGGCTAGAAAAACAAGAATCTTTTTCTAATTTTTCCTGAGACAAAGGGTTGGTAACGTTATGAATCAGGTTTGTGTGACTTAGATGAACTTGATATAAAGTAGACTATATACAGTCTTTTTAACCGAACGTAAATTCTTTAAATAATGTTTCCCTGAAAGATTGATTGATAAAATGGTTAGAATGGTTAGAATGGTTAGGATGGTAAGAATGGTTAGAATGGTTAGAATGGTTAGAATGGTTAGAATGGTTAGAATGGTTAGAATGGTAAGAATAGTTAGAATGGTTAGAATGGTTAGAATGGTTAGAATGGTTAGAATGGTTAGGATGGTTAGAATGGTTAGAATGGTTAGAATGGTTTCGAATGGTTAGAATGGTTAGAAGGGTTAGAATGGTTAGAATGGTTAGAATAGAATGGTTAGAATGTTTAGGATGGTTAGAATGGTTAGAATTGTTAGAATGCTTAGGATGGTTAGAATGGGTAGAATGGGTAGAATGAATAGAATGGTTAGAATGGTTAGAAGGGTCAAAATGGTTGAAATGGTTAGAATGGTTAGAATGGTTAAATTTAGAGTGTATTTTGATATTTCTATGAAAAATTGAACTTACGAGACGGCATTATATAAATGTTGTTTAAGCGGATCACGACACGTGTTTGCAGATTTGTTGCTTAAAAGAGGTCTTCCGCCATTTTCAATCTGAAGAAATATTGTTTTATTATGTTTTTATAAAATTGTTCATTGTTCATGTATTTTAAAAATTGTTGATAAAAGTAACAACTATCTTGTTTTTTATCAAGCCGGAAGAGAAAATTATATCTTATTATTAAATTGTGCTTTCTAAAATAAATGATTTGAATAAACTTAAAGATTTATATCATAGGTTTTTACCTGAGGAAGATACACTACCACTCCCCTTCTTAGAGCCTCCTGTTTGTATAAAAAACATTAAATCAGGATCAAAATATAATTAAATATAATTAAATATAATTAATTTCTAGAATTGACAATTAAATTCTTTCATGCCTTTCAAGGATTTCTTTACAATTCATATATTCCTTTATCTTTCCTTTAAAGGATTACAATACAATTCTTTCGGACCTTTCAAGGATTCCATTAGAGTTGTTTCAGACCTTTGTGGCAAAAACTCAATTTCTTTAATAGACCTTTCAAGCATTTCAATACAGCTTTGTATAATTTATTTCAAGGATTATAATAGAATTGTATCTTTCTTGACAATTATTACAATAAAATAGTATGATTCCTTTCAAGGATTATATTACATTCCGAAATTATTTCAGACCTTTCAAAGATTACAAAAAGATGTTTTCAGGCTTTTCAAAGATTAAAATAAAATTCTATCAGAATTTATTAAAAATTGCCATAATATTGTATCACTCCTTTTAAGGATTTCAGTACAGTTAAATCATTCCCTTTAAGAATCACCATAAAATGCTGTCTTGCATTCCTATAAAAATTATAATAAAGTTTCAGAAATCCTTTAGGAATTGCAGTACAATTTAAGAATAAAATTTAAAGTTTCTTATTATAACAAAATTTTGAGTTTGTCCAAACTTTGTGGAAATACAGAGTCATGTCCGATTTACAAAGGTACCTGTAAAAGCTTTGTCCGATTAAAAATTACTGAGATATCCATTTATTTCTCTCTATTAAAGAAAATTTCAATTGTGGTTTCGATCTACAAATGTGACTTGCGGACTTCTGCTGCAAAAATATGGAGGAAATTGTGAGAATGTGGAAGACGATACCTGGCCGCCTAAAACAAACTCCACAAGATTCACCGGAATGAGATAGAACGGATACGGGGCATTGTACTTTCGGTCTAACGCGTGTGATCTTGATCATAACATATTTTCTGAACACTCTAGTAAAAGTTATAGGAAATATATATACTGGAAGTTACTTTATGCGCTTCATAAGAGATCGACCTCACGTCCTCTATAAGATTGTCAAAATTTTCAAGCTTTAAAATAACGATAAGGATGCCGTTGTGAATCGGACAAACCCGTTTTTTTTTAAATGGGAGGCCCACTTGAAATTACGCTTTTGCATTCCCTTTTATGCTAATCTACCTGGTAAAGACAATCTGATTCTGTAAGTTGTTGTTCAGGGTCTCCAGCTAGTCGAGGAATATCATCTAGTTGAATCTGCTGTTGGAAATCAGGCCAACGATTGGGGCAGTGGGTTTTATATGTAAATCCAAACTGCTAAAGATTGGCCATGACACTATACCACAATGTTTTAAAGTTTAAATGTAAATACATATATATTTATATTTATGTATTATAGGACCAATTAAATCAATAACAAGAGAAAGTTGAACCGCGTAGAATATGTTGAACCATTTCTCTTCAGCTTGACCTGAGGCCGAATTGAAAGAATTTGATCAGCGGCTCAAATATGGTTGGAATTCCACTTAAAATTGTATTCAATGTTTCAAGATTTAAGCAGGCGCTGAATTGATACCGGGTTTAAAGCGGATTTGAGACACGGCTCCAATTTATTAAATTCGGATTCTGGTGAGCCAGAGAAGGGGTTCAACTACTTTTAGCATTCATTTAATCCATGTAGTTATGCCCATCATATTCATCTTCATATGAAAGCATAAAAATATAGATCAAACCCAGAATGCTACTTTTTGTCGTGAAAACCAATGACCATTGTGGTAAAAATAGTTTTCTAAAAATTTTCCCAAAAATCTTGAAATAAGAAAATATTAATTATAAATTCCTAAAAGAACCTGTTTGTCTGAGTATAGAAAATATTCCTGTGAAGGGGGATAATCTTTCTCATCAACAATATCTCGAGTCAGATGATGATACCTCAAGGAAATATTCATATTAACTAATGTATATATTCATATTATCTCAAGTAAATATTCATATTATCTCTAGTAAATATTCATATTATCTCAAGTAAATATTCATATTATCTCAAGTAAATATTCATATTATCTCAAGTAAATATTCATATTATCTCAAGTAAATATTCATATTATCTCAAGTAAATATTCATATTATCTCTAGTAAATATTCATATTATCTCAAGTATATATTCATATTATCTCAAGTAAATATCCATATTATCTCAAGTAAATATTCGTATTACCTCATGTAAATATTTACATTATCTCAAGTTAGATGATGAGATATCGAGTAAATATTATAATTCAGATTTACAGACCCATGAACATACTGGGGAATAGGATGGAAATCCATGAATTATTTCTGCAGGAATTATTTTCTAATTCCTTTATCTCTCCAACCTGATTTCGTGAACCTTTGATATTTCAAACTAAGAAATCTGAGAGCCAAAGTTAGAAATATCAAAGGTTTACATCATCAGGCTGCAAAGATAAAGGAATTAGGTTGCTCTTTTTAGTACAATTAAATATCTGTTAAGAAATATACAGCTTTTAGTAAAAGATGAAACTAAGACGTTCTAAAGTTTTTAAAATGTATTTAAGGTTAAATCTGCTGTGTTGAAATTAATATTATTTTATATAAATTAAATATTTGTTAAATGATCCACAGAATAGAGAAAGGAAACGAGGAAAATTAGTCGTCATATTCTAGACAGTCTCGTCTTTAAAGTGTCACAACGCCTTGGCCTTTGGTTTTACCTTACCAACTCACTTTTACTTTTTTGTAATCCTAGACATATACATTTTAAAATTACGCGCTTAAAGCTTAGTTTCAAAGGAGCATTTCTCAAAATACTGCACGATTTTTAAATGAGAGGGAGTGCATCTTGGTTTGCAGTGACATATATTTCTCACCTTATAATTCTTTTCATTTTGAGTTTAGTTTCTACAGGGTTTACTTCATCAAAGTAAACAGTAACACCAACTTCTACAAGAAGAGATTACAATAAAAAATGTCTTGATCAGCATAATTTCTCATTTTTATAAAACTTTTGTAAATTTTCATAAAACTTTGAAAATATAAAATATAAATCTTAGATAGAATATTCTACAACCTTGATAAAATACAAAAAAATTGAAAGAACCTTGCGATATAACGACTGGAATTCGTTTATGGTTTCTTAAAATTTTTTTTGGAACTCTTTATGAAACATTATTTAAAGAAATATTTATCATTGTGATAAACTTGGATATGACATCGGAGCATTGTAAACAAACTTATAAGTGCTCCCACAATCTGGAAAAGGGAAGGACCGAATCTTTGAAAAATTCAACCAGTCACTGTGTGAAGCAATTTTTTAAGATTTACATATCCCCCCCCCTCCCCCTTTAATGAAGTGTTTGCCCCTGGATTCTTTGTTTTGATCTCCTCTCAGCGTAGAACACATGATTTGACGCATCAGAGATGGGTCAATTTCAAAGATAATATATATATAGATATGCAGGCAGGTAGAAACCTCCTTCCTAAATTGCTTGTACCTATTTTTGTACCTCTGAGATAAAGTGCAAGTTGTAGTAATACTACGTATATGATATAGTTACATTTCATCTATATATAAATTTGGCTTGTCTGTTTGGGTGTCTGTCTGTTTGTTTGTTTGTATCCAATAAACGTCAATACGGCTGAACCGGTCGGCCCAAATTTTTTGTAGGACATCACGTGACCACAAGGAAGGTTTACGAATGATAAAAATTTTAAGAAATGTGTTTTAAATGTTTTTAATTTTGTGAAAAAAACTCAATAACAACCTTTTTTCAGAAAACATGCCACATACTCATACAAGAAGATGTTGTGTATATAATTGTTCAAGCAACAACACTATGGATGAAATGAAGTTTTACATGTTTCCAAAGGACCCGAGTCAAAGGGAAATTTGGAAAAATGTTGTAAATCGCCCTGACTATGCAATCAAAAAGAACAGTTACATGTGCATGTTACATTTTGCTAAATCTCAGTATACCAGAGGATTACGACTTGTACATGGTGCAGTGCCATCATGCAACCCGGAACTAGAGAATTTTATGAACTGTTCAATGTTAGGTAATAAAATGTTAAACTAATAGTAATTTCGTATTCGAGCGTAAGATTAAAATATATTGCAAAAGTTGAAAACCAAAATCTAAAAACAGGCCAAAGAACAAAACTGTCCAAACAAATTTTATTCGCAAACCAGTAGAATTTTCATTTGTTGTAAACGTTTTAGATGAACTAGTTTATTGAAATACAGTTAAAATGTAACATGAAGAGCCAGGAGCAACCGACCATAGTAGTGTTGAATGGGATGTATTGTTTGACCGGATCCTGTCCGCTATTAGGACTTTGTCCTAGATTCGATGTACTTTTTAGTCATAATTTTTATTTAAATTGCGTTAATTTACGTATGCCATTCAGTACAACTTGCACATTTAAACTTTGTCTAGTCAAATTCCTACCTCAGTTTTATTTGCATTGATTAATTTGTTTCATTAAGTACAATATGCAGTATACATTGTTGATACTATAGTACGCATTTAGTGTTATCACGCATAAACAAAGTGATAAATTAGCAACAATCCAGAGGATAAAATGCCATGCGTACGACAGAGATGGTGCTGTTTGCACCTTTTCTCAAGACCTCAAAATTTATACCTGCCTGCATATCTATATATATATTATCTTTGGTCAATTCCAAGAAGTATGAAATAGAAGGGAGATACAACTGACGCGGCCCACCCTAACATATGATTATACATGCTTTGCAGACGGGTACTCCATTTAAATAAGAAATATTTAGAATAGGTTATTGTATACGCGGTAATTGTACATCATACAAATATTTCTTATACAAATGTAGTACCGTCTGCCAAGCATGTATAATCATATGGTAGGGCCGCGTCAGTTATATCTCCCTTCTTTCATACTCCTAAGTCAATACTCAATATATATTTCTTGGATTGTTTACACATTTTTTACAGTGTGTGTACCTGGCATAGCAATATCGTCATAGTCAAGACAATCCTCACTGTACTCCTGAGTATTTAATTCTGGTTACACAGAAACTGGTGGTATCAAGGTTCTATGTTAAGGTTACATCAGAGAAACTGGTGGTATCAAGGTTCTATGTTAAGGTTACATCAGAGAAACTGGTGGTATCAAGGTTCTATGTTAAGGTTGCTTACTCTAGATGCGCTCTAATGTACAGAGAAACTGGTGGTATCCAGGTTCTATGTTAAGGTTGCTTACTCTAGATGCGCTCTCATGTACAGAAAAAAGGTGGTATCCAGGTTGTATGTTAAGGTTGCTTACTCTAGATGCGCTCTCATGTACAGAGAAACTGGTGGTATCAAGGTTCTATGTTAAGGTTGCTTAATCTAAATGCGCTCTAATGTACGGAAAATGTCGTCTCCTTAGCAAAGATAGATAGAATCTGCATATGACGTCAATCTCGCCTCTATAAATGACGTCATATGCTGATTCTATCTATCTATGCTAAGGAGACGACGTTTTCCGTACATTGAAGCGCATCTATGAGTAAGCAACCTTATTGTGGTATGCAATTTTTTTTCTCTTAACAGAAACAATGAAGGAAATTGAAAGCACAGGGCGTCCTACATCATTGTCTCGTGCATTGTTGTAAATTGAGGGTTTTAAGTACATAACAGAACATTTTAAAACCGTATGGTTAAAAAACATTATTTTGTAAATTCACCTCCAAAGTGTTTTTATGTAAGTATTATAGTGCTCAAGCTTGAGGAAAACACAAGATGATAAAGTACGTTCTGTAATTGCAGATCTCCTTTAGTTCGTTCATTTTTCTGGAATATTCATTCTTAGTGAACTCTACCTCAAGCTTTTCATTTAATGGTTTCTTCAAGATATCTGATTTGCCGGCTTCAGAATCAGGGATTCTATACATTGAAATTATCATAATTATAATTATAATTATCATAAATATTATTATTATTATTATTATTACTATTATTATAAATATTATTATTATTATTATTTTTATTTTTATTGCTATTGTTATTATTACTATAATTAAAATTAATTACACATTAATTACATCATTAAAGCATTAAATACTTTTTACATTTGCAGCATTTGTGATAATTAGTGGTCCAGGATACAGTTAGAAGATACTGAGAGGTCACGGATACAGGTAGAGGAGGCTGAGAGGTCACGGATACAGGTAAAAGATACCGAGAGGCCACGGATACAGGTAGAGGATACTGAGAGGTCACAAAAACAGGTAGAAGATACTGAGAGGTCACGGATACAGGTAGAGGATAATTAGTGGTCTAGGATACAGTTAGAAGATACTGAGAGGTCACGGATACAGGTAGAGGATACTGAGAGGTCACGGATACAGGTAGAAGATACTGAGAGGTCACGGATACAGGTAGAGGATACTGAGAGGTCACGGATACAGGTAGAGGATAATTAGTGGTCTAGGATACAGTTAGAAGATACTGAGAGGTCTACAGGTAGAGGATACTGAGAGGTCACGGATACAGGTAGAAGATACTGAGAGGTCACGGATACAGGTAGAGGATACTGAGAGGTCACGGATACAGTTAGAGGATACTGAGAGGTCACGGATACAGGTAGAGGATAATTAGTGGTCAAAGATACAGATTACAGGTAGAGAATAATAAGAGGTCTAGTATATGCACTAAATAGCGACTACTTAAGAGCATTATACAGATGGAGATCATACCATGTTTGATTTATTTAATTAAAGAATCAGAGTGGACGATAGAATTTCTAAATAATAGAATATAAAAATTTAATCTTTATTTCAGGCCCCAATAACCCTGTATCCCTTCATGTGGAAAAGAATCAAACTTCCCTCACACCCTAACACAAGAGAAATAAATCCCCCCTATTCTCTCCCTATACTACTCAAAGTATGTACTTGAAATTGTACAAGTGTACAATGTCATTTAAACATAAACAATCCCTCTGATTTATGTACATATATTTAACGTTATAATGAGGGAGTGTAAGCGTAACTTAAAGTGACCCTCTATGCAATAATTACAACGCCGGGTTTACAACGGTACCCTTAAAGCCAAATCTGATTTAAGATTGTGAAAGATGCCGTCGTTTTCTGACTTGGAAAAGATTTTATTTCTGTGAGATTCTCCATGGCTTCCTATTATAAAAAAGAAATGGGAAAGTCACTTCAAAATGTGGCATTGCTATCTTTTTATCGAGGGTCACTTGAAATTACGCTTACAGTCCGTTGAAAGATTAATTACTATGTTTAAATATTAATTTCTTGATGCAAGGTTAGGAAATAGAAATTCAGAGTTTGAAGAAAATTTGAAATATATACCTGGGTTGGTTTACGCACTCGGTATCCCCCCCGGTCATAAATTGGAAGACAGTCATCTTAGATCTAAAAAGTTGTCTTATAGAGTCTAAGTCCTGTAAAGGCTGGGTGGCTTGAATTCTCTGAATCAATGCATATTCCCTTGGATAAGGTCTCAGAGTCTAAAAGTATAGACTTCAAGTGGAATGCATGCTCAATGTTAATTCCAAAGTGCTCAATTATTTTAAATATATTCACTACTTTGCACTAACAGCTATACTCACCAGTCCAACATTAAACAAATCCTCTTTAAGTTAAGTTATCTAAATTCAAGAAGTGAAGAAAGAGATATCGTCAAAAATGAGAGTTGTTGGGTCAGAAACGGACAAAACGGAATCAGACGCGTAATGGAGGTTCAGCCTAGGGGGGCGCAGTTTTGGCGCACGTAAGCGCGCCGAATTTTTTTTTTGCACCTTCCTAACGGTGGATGTGCACCACCCTAAAAAACCGATATTAAGAAAAAAATAAAGTTTAAAATCTATATTAACTACCTGAAGGCTGACTATTAAAAAATCTGAATATATATGTAAGTTTACTGTTTAATAAACTGGAGCCTACCTCTGGCTCTAGGGGGGGCCTAGAGGGGTGTAAGTCCTGGGGGGGGGCACTGGGGTAACGGCCCCCCACTACTCGCCTGCCTATACCCCCTTTCATTTTTTAAGATTTGAATTTTTACCTTGTCTTTATCCTCATAGGTTTACTATTCCCGGAGTTTATTTCCTGCTGATGAGCTTTGGTTGCAAGATCTCGGATTTTTTCAAGAATAGATTTAGGAAACTTGAACATGCCAATTGCATGGTATCTCAGACTAGGGTTACTGAAGGAGGCCTGCATATAAGATTAAAATATCAATTGCATGGTATCTCAGACTAGGGTTACTGAAGGAGGCCTGCATATAAGATTAAAATATTAATTGCATGATATCTCAAACTAGGGTTACAGAAGGAGGCCTGCAGTGCATAGATAAGATTAAAATGTTATTGTTTATTCCTACCTCAGTATAGTTATTCCTACCTCTAGTATAGTTTATTCTTACCTCTAGTATAGTTTAATCCTACCTCTTGTATAGTTTATTTCTACCTCTAGTATAGTTATTCCTACCTATATTATAGTTTATTCCTACCTCTAGTATAGTTTATTCCTACCTCTAGTATAGTTTATTCCTACCTCTAGTATAGTTTATTCCTACCTCTAGTTCAGCAAAAACTTCCCCACTCCAGTCCTTCTCAAACATAGAACAAGGGGATACAAAATAAAGCTCTTCAGGTTCATCAAAAATCTAAAAACATTTCGTTTGTTATTTTTAATGTTATCCCTATGTCTTAGCAACCTGATGGTGAGTATTCTTATTCTAATCTTAATATCTATGCAACAGCTGATGGTGGAAACCTTTGAAATTTTTAACCTAGACAATTCGACATAACGAATATAAATTGTTTTGAATTTGACATCGGGTTGCAACGATATAGGGATTAGTCAATTAGAGTTTGTGGCAAGAACTCAGTTCCTTTCTTCTTTACTTTTTGCTTCTTATCGTTAAACGAAATATCAATTTGATAGGATCTCATGAAACTTTTATAAATCTTTAACAAAGTGATAGAATCAAGAGAGGATGATAGGAATAACTATCAACTAGGAACTTTTAATCAGGAAATAAATCAACATTATGCTAAACTTGTGTGAAGGTTAACACAGTGAAAACACTTTATTATTTCAAGGAGAATTTTAAATTCACTTTCTGAATTGTAAAAGTAATTATGCTTACAAATATAACCCTTTTCAAATTTTAATTTAAAATTTGCATTAATTTGATCGTTAGGTATACAATAAATTGATAAGTTGTTACAATAAAGTTATTAAGCGGTAGATAAAATTGTTTAGTCGGTATACAATAAAGCGATAAGTCGGCTCATTAAAGTTATGAAGCGGTAGATAAAATTGTTAAGTCGGTATACAATAAAGCGATAAGTCGGCACATTAAAGTTATGAAGCGGTAGATAAAATTGTTTAGTCGGTACAATAAAGTGATAAGTCGGCACATTAAAGTTATTAAGCGGTAGATAAAATTGTTTAGTCGGTACAATAAAGTGATAAGTCGGCACAATAAGCGGTACAGTACAGTTCTGTTGGCACACGCTTAATAAACGATTTTTAGTTGTATTTTAAACGTCTTTAAATCGTTGATTGTGAAGTAAAAAATTTCCATCTTTAACTCGTCTAAAACTCAAATTTGAAATTAAGAACAAAAAGTCATTTAATAAACTATTATTACTTGCATTTTAAACGATTTTAAATAATGTTTTTTGAAGTAGAAATAACTTCAATTTAGACGACTAAAAGTCGCTTGATAAGTGATTTAAAATCGTAAATTTTGATTCAGGTACTCAAAACACCTGTTCAAACCGGTTTTATGAATCAGCTGATGGGTCAGCATTATTACTCATTCCCGATTTAAAAAAAAGTATTTTACGTGTAATATGAATCAGGGGATGTCTAGCTCGGAAATTTATTAAGTAAAAAAGTGCATTTAAAAAATATCCGTAACAAAAAAAATTTGACTTTCCACTCGAGTGAAATTTAAGTAGCCTAGGGTTTTATATCGCTTATTAAGAAGCTATAAATTTCTATTGCAAAATAAGCAACTTTTTTGTTGAAAATAGGCTAAATTTTTTGTCGCTCACTTGGCAGCTGTACATTTCAGCTGCAAAATAAGCGTTTTTTGTGTGTTAATTATAATTGTGATTTTTTGTTGAAAATAAGCGATTTTATTTGTTTAGAGTAAGCGATGTAATCGGATGCCATCCAACTTTTACATCATCGGTGATCATTGGTGGGACATAAAAACTTTTACTTACCGCCCCGTATGCATTGTAAAGTTCATTTCTGAGAATAACTCCGATCCGCTGGAAGGTTTTTTGAGCTCTGAGCCAGGGCGACATACAAGTATTTATAATAACAGCTATACTTCCATCACCTTTAGCATCCAGTCCAAGGGAGTTCTAAACGTTAATTTATCTATTAAACGGACTAATTTCAAGTGACCCTCCATGCAAAGATGACAATGCCCGATTCACAACAGTACCCCTGAAACATTTAGAGGATGAAAAATTTGGAATATGCTGACGTTATTCTTGGTTTAAAAGTGTTTAATTATGATTATTTCTGTATGTTTTCCTGTAGTAGAAATGCGCAAATCATTTTTGTAGATAAACCTCAATTAATCCTCTATTATACCAAGCTTTTAAGGGTACCGTTGTGCATCGGGTATTGCAATCTTTGCATGGAGGGGGGACACGCCCTGCTCGCGACAATACCATTTAAACCTTTTTTTAATCAATAATGTGGAAGTTATTGTCATTTTCATAACTTGAAAAATAATTTAATTCTGATAATTTCTTAGATTGTTTTCTCGAGCAGAAATGAGCAAGTCTAGTTTGAAGAGAAACCCCAAAATTGAAAATAATCATTTTTGAAGGGATAAATTAAATATCGCTCAAAAAAATAATGTGTTTCAAAATATAAAAAAAAATGAATTTGATGGGATATACCTTCATTTCTTGATATGCTCCACTATGTGATATACCTTCATTTCTTGATATGCTCCACTATGTGATATACCTTCATTTCTTGATATGCTCCACTATGTGATATACCTTCATTTCTTGATATGCTCCACTATGTGATATACCTTCATTTCTTGAAATGCTCTACTATGTGATATACCTTCATTTCTTGATATGCTCCACTAGGTGATATACCTTCATTTCTTGATATGCTCCACTATGTGATATAACTTCATTTCTTGATATGCTCCACTATGTGATATACCTTCATTTCTTGATATGCTCCACTATGACTCTCCTTTCCCCAGGAAGTTGCGTTTAAAATAATCTGAATACCTCTTTAACAAATATGGGATTTTAATGAACCATGCTTCATACATTTTCACATTATTAAAGAATACAATTATTACAGCTGATTTTATTGATGATATTCAAGTAGTTTGTGGAGCTACCGTGGTCCTGGTTCAAAATCAGCTTTAACTTTAGAACTTATTTTCACCCATTAATTAATAGTAAATTTTCCATATTTGCTGTTCTTTACGTTTGGACTATATATTTCAAACATTAAAGAATGTAAACTTATTCAACCATTTTTAATAAATATTGAGGAAAAATTAAAAATATTCCAATATAGGCAGGATGTACTTAGTTCGTTGTGTTCTTGTTATCACTGTAAAACCATGTTTATAATATAATATGATATGTGTACCTGTCAACCATGTTTATAATATTATATGATATGTGTACCTGTCAACCATGTTTATAATACAATATGATATGTGTACCTGTCAACCATGTTTATAATATTATATGATATGTGTACCTGTCAACCATGTTTATAATATTATATGATATGTGTACCTGTCAACCATGTTTATAATATAATATGATATGTGTACCTGTCAACCATGTTTATAATATGATATGATATGTGTACCTGTCAACCATGTTTATAATATTATATGATATGTGTACCTGTCAACCATGTTTATAATATAATATGATATGTGTACCTGTCAACCATGTTTATAATATTATATGATATGTGTACCTGTCAACCATGTTTATAATATAATATGATATGTGTACCTGTCAACCATGTTAGGCCGCTCAAAAGAATGAGAACATCGTTTATAAAAGTTCTTGACAAATCTCCTCTGCAGATCACAATCAGTATTGTTCTCCCATACACTCAACTCTGCATTCCATTTTCTGAAAAAAATGCATTTTAAAAACTTTTCAAGGAACTGATTGCTCTCCGTAAACTCTAATTTTCTAATCCTTCAGCTGGATGTAACCAATGATGAACTATTTCCATGAATTAAGATAAGTTTAAAAAGAAATTGAACACCTGATGGTGTAAGCCTTTGGTATTATATAAAACTTTGACAGGTTTGCAAATGAAAGATCTACTACTACTACAGTTTATCATAATTTAGTTAAAATTTTCAAACTTCAACAGGCGCTGGCTCTGAAAAGGTCAGTGAGGTTATTGATATTTTTGGAACTGCTATCATGCTATGGTTTTTATCAAATACAATAAAGACGACAATTCTATTTTATTTTTGAACAAGCTTTTTTTAAATTGCATGTTTACAAGTAAACAACGAGAAGTTGTTAATAGACAGCTTCTTTTTGTTTCCATGTTTATGTGTATCCATGCTGTTTAAAAGGCGCTTGGTAGAGAAAAGAAAATTGAAATCGAAATTCGTCTGTATTGTATTGATATGTACGACGACGACTACAAGAGCGGAGTGAACTGAGATCCTTGAAATTCTGAAAGTATTGTTTAATAAACACAATCAGTAGAAGTTCCAATTCTCTGTGTACTGTTAAACATTGCCTTTCTGTGAAGTGTTGAAGATTTCAAATTATACCTGACATTGAGAGACAAACAATTGATTAGAGTGTCTGGTCCATTCTCATTTATAAACTTCATAGCCTCGGTATTCTAAAATATTTGATTAATTTATTTCAATTCTAAAGTCAACAAAAGAAATCATTTCATGACATATTGAACAAAGTTCACATCTTGCTAAACTGTATAATTGTTATTAATCTTTAACAGACACAGTTAAATATTATCAAAGTTCCAGCAATTCAAAAATTCCCAGATCAATAGTTTGAAATTTTGAATTAAAGAGAGGTAGATGAACTTGGTAAGAGAGAGGTAGATGAACTAGGTAAGAGAGAGGTAGATGAACTAGGTAAGAGATAGGTAGATGAACTAGGTAAGAGAGAGGTAGAGGAACTAGGTAAGAGAGAGGTAGATGAACAAGGTAAGAGAGAGGTAGATGAACTAGGTAAGAGAGAGGTAGATGAACTAGGTAAGTGAGAGGTAGATGAACTAGGTAAGAGAGAGGTAGAGGAACTAGGTAAGAGAGAGGTAGAGGAACAAGGTAAGAGAAAGATAGAGGAACTAGGTATAAGAGAGGTAGTTGAACTAGATAAGAGAGAGGTAGATGAACTAGGTAAGAGAGAGGTAGAGGAACTAGGTAAGAGATAGGTAGATGAACTATGTAAGAGAGAGGTAGTTGAACTAGATAAGAAAGAGTTAGATGAACTAGGTAAGCGAGAGATAGATGTTCTAGGTAAGAGAGAGGTAGAGGAGCTAGGTAAGAAAGAGGTAGTTGAACTAGGTAAGATAGAGGTAGATGAACTAGGTAAGCGAGAGGTAGATGAACTAGGTTAGCGAGAGCTATATGAACTAGGTAAGAGAGGTAGAGGAGCTAGGTACGAAAGAGGTAGTTGAACTAGATAATAGAGAGGTAGCTGAGCTAGGTACGAAAGAGATAGTTGAACTAGATAAGAGAGAGGTAGCTGAACTAGGTAAGAGAGAGGTAGATGAACTAGGTAAGAGAGAGGAAGATGAACTAGGTAAGAGAGAGGTAGTTGAACTAGATAAGAGAGAGGTAGATGAACTAGATAAGAGAGAGGTAGATGAACTAAATAAGTGAACTAAGTTGTAGACTTCAGATATTTTAAATAAAGATTTCTGCTGGATCTAATAATCAAAGTTTGAAATATCAAAGGTTTACCCCATCAGGTTTGAAAGATATATGGCTTAGAAAGTTTGAGTTTGTGCCAAATACTATTACTTAATTGGAGACTGATTAAATTCTTAAGAATAAATTAGCAAGATAGATTTACCATTTGCAATCTCCAGTTTTCTGCCTGAAGTATTTCACGTCTTATCTTGGGTTTACTCCAGCCATTAAACTCCTCCAGAACAGGGATAGCAGGGACAACAAGGAAGGGGTCAACTTAACAGAGGTCAGATTTAATAAATAATGAAAAGTAGTTGAACTAGGTGAGTTAAACTACTTCTCTAGACTATTTCATGAATAATTGAACGGTAAAATTGCAGATAGTATTTTCTGTTAATTTAATTACAAACTATTACTAAAAAGTAAATAGCTATTAGTATAGTCGAAGTCCTAAAAGTAGACAGGACAGGATCGAACATTGCATCCGATCAACACTACTAATGGTCGGCAGTTCCTGGCCCTTCAAAAAAATGTTAAATCCTCTTTTCTTACAAAAATCTTAAAAACTTGTCTTCAGTCATCATAATTCTTTAGTTCATAATCCTATAGTGTTTAATACTTCATGTGGAATAATATATCAAATCTAGGATTTTTCCATTTGGGTAAAATGCGTCATGACTGGTTGAAATAGATCCACCTACAGTTAGGGTTGTTAATCGTTTTTGAAAACGATCGTTAAACGATCGTTTTTTGTTTCGTTTTCAGAAACGATCGTTTCCTTTTCGGAAAAAACGATCGTTTTTAAAAACGACCCACTCGTTTTGAACTTTTAGAAAACGAATAGCGATCGTTTTTGAAAACGATCGTTTTTATTAAAACGATTTGCGATCGTTTTTAAATTTTTTTTATTGACAATTATGTTAACGATCGTTAACGAAGGGTCGTCGTTAACGATCGTTAACGAAAGGTCGTCGTTAACGATCGTTAACGAAGGGTTGTCGTTAACGATCGTTAACGAAACGACGAACTTTATCAAAACGGTTGTTTTTGGAAAAAAATTACATGCAACTTTATTGAATGTCGTCTTACATGAAGTTTAACAGTTGTGGGGGAGTTAAAACTCCTTGATATTTTCTTAAAAACTACTCAATGATAAGTACAGATGCCCTTCAGGTCGGTTTCCTCTCTTCGTTAACGATCGTTAACGAAGGGGTCGTCGTTAACGATCGTTAACGAAGGGTTGTCGTTAACGATCGTTAACGAAGGGTCGTCGTTAACGATCGTTAACGAAGGGTTGTCGTTAACGATCTTTAACGAAGGGTCGTCGTTAACGATCGTTAACGAAACAACGAATTTTATAAAACGATCGTTTTTAACAGCGAGCGTTTTGAAAAACGATCGTTTTAAAAACTACCATTTTTAAAAAAACGAACTTTTTAAAAAACGATCGTTTTCGATTTTTCGTCGTCGTTTTCATAACGAAACGATCGTTTTTCTGAAAAATGAAAACGTTAACATCCCTACCTACAGTGGTAGGCGATTAAAACAATACAATGAAGACGACTTTTTCTTTACACCTTGATTTTTATCAAGCTTTTTTTCGAATTAAAGTTTACAAGTAAACAAAGAGAAGCTTTTTTATTTGACAGCTTCTCTTGGCTTCTCTGTTTATGTGTATCCTGGCTGTTTAACAGCATGATATAAATCAAAATTGAAATCGAAAGTCGTCTTCATTGTATTGATATAATCGCTTACCACTGCATACAAAATGGATCAGCTAAATAATTTTAAAAAGTGCCTTTCCCAAATATCTGACCAACCCCTTTAATGTGGTAATATTGACCCACAGCGAGTACATGATACCTGATCTCTCTAAGCTGACCCATAGCGAGTACATGACACCTGATCTCTCTAAGCTAACCCACAGCGAGTACATGATACCTGATCTCTCTAAGCTGACACACAGCGAGTACATGATACCTGATTTCTCTAAGCTGACCAATAGCGAGTACATGATACCTGATCTCTCTAAGCTGACCCGCAGCGAGTAATGATACCTGATCTCTCTAAGCTGACCCGCAGCAAGTAATGATACCTAATCTCTCTAAGATGACCCGCAGCGAGTAATGATACCTGATCTCTCTAAGCTGACCCATAGCGAGGATTTGATACCTGATCTCTCTCTAAGCTGACCCGCAGCTAGTAATGATACCTGATCTCTCTAAGCTGACCCGCAGCGAGTAATGATACCTGATCTCTCTAAGCTGACCAGCAGCGAGTAATGATACCTGATCTCTCTAAGCTGACCCATAGCGAGTACATAATACCAGCAGAGAAAGTACATTGTTCCAACAACAATCCATATCCCATATTGTGAAGACCTGTATCATGGAAAAATCAAAACCAATTTTATATCTAAAAGGGCCTGGGCACAATTTTACGTGATTTTCCATTTGCAAAGTGAAATGTCCGATACACATCGGAACCCCTTTAAACCGTTGTCTAATCCCCCTGGTTTAGCCAGGGCGAGATGCATTCGGTTTCTTCTATTGGAATTCAATCCTGCTTTTGTCTATAATTCAACAATCTTTAAACTTACCCAGTTGACAATTAACACTTTGACGTTTGTTAGACCTGTTTCCTCTCCTCACTATTCATCCCCTACCCACCATGAGTTATCTTCTCGTTATTCCCCGTCACACGGTTTACAAACGTCCCCCCCCCCCTGACCTCTCCAATCCTTCCCTATTCCCTACCTATAACCTTGTGGGATAACCAGACCCCTGCACTTGCAGCTCCAGGTTTGGACCCATCGATACCAAACAGATTTATCTCTTCATTATTCCCTGTTCCATGGTTCACATACGCAGCTTTCTGGGCCAGAAACTTTCGGATATTTCCATTCCTAGTTTTATCATTTTTAAATTGACAAAATTATTACTGGATTGAAATTAATTAGATTTCTTTAAAAAAATCAAAATCCTCAAATTTTTCAAATGTTATTTTCATTCAAGACATATCTCAAGAAAAAGTTGGGATTATTTTTGAGAGATGAGCGCGAAGCGTCTGTAATCCTAGTACCTGTATAATAAACCACCAGCAGGATAAGGGCAAAACCCACTTTTATGAGGATCCAAGGTTACAGAGTTCGCCTGGTGCATAACACTCAGCTGCTTGGTAAAATGTTTACTAAACAAAGTATAAAATTTTATTAAAAAACTTAATTCTCCCTCCCCCCCTCTCACAACCTACCTCTTTAAACTGAATACAATATTTTCCTCCAGAAAGTAATAAATTTAAAAGATTTTTTAAATTCTGAATTTGGGAAAATAGACGATTTTTTCGCAAGAATTATCAGAAAAGGCAACAACTAATATTTTAAATTTTTCATTTTTTTTCCGAAATCATTCCCACCTTTAAATATTTATGGCTTCTGTCCAATACATTTCAGAGGTTTTTTACAATTTTACTGTTCTGTAAGAAAACAGTTCCAATATTTAAAAACTTGAGCATTTCAAAGTTTGCTTTTTTTAACTATGCAGAATTTGTATAGGAAAAAACCACAGTTTTTGGTTAGTTTTTTGTATATATATATATATACACTCACACTCTAATTAAAGGGAACTGAACACTCACACTCTAATTTAAAGGGAACTGAACACTCACACTCTAATTAAAGGGAACTGAACACTCAAACCCTAGCTTTCCAATCCCTATCTTTGCAATCTCCTCTGCTGACTCTTTGATATTTCAAACTTTGAATTTTGTTAGAAAAGTATATGTTAAGTTAGAAATATCAAAGGTTTACTCCATCAGATTGCAAGGGAAAAAATTATGAAACTTTTGAAGAGTTTAAAAGTTTTTACCTTAGATGGCCCTGGAGTTCTGAGAATAGTTGCAAAGTATCCACCCCAAGCACCGTCAATATGAATATAAAATGTCAACCCTCTCTTCTCAAAACTCTTTCTCAACAGCAGTACCTTGGAATGTGTATTGTTTGTTATACAATATACATCTTTTTCTTCTATGGATAAAAAACGTCAAAATTCTGAACCGATCGGGCCCAAATTTGACATTCAGATCTAGCAGAATTCTTAGTTTACGACATCAGGTTGCAAAAATAAAGGGATTAGAAAACTATTGTATGAGCAGAGTTATATATTCCTTCACAAATAATGAATAATAACTGAACAGTAACCACTGGAAACTGAACAGAAGGTAAAATTACTGATCCATCTTTGTCACCTTGTAGCTCCTCTAGTTTTAATTTTAGGCACCAGTATAAGACAATCAAATTTAACTAATTACTTTTTAGAAATTAAAAACATTTCTTTCTTCCTAAACGCTTTTCAATAGGAGGAGTTATGGTTGAAAAAATGTAAAATTTTAATCATATCTCCAAGTTACATTAGTTTGACGTGAAAAATATTTTGAATGAACATCACAAGGCCGAATTTTAAGAATTTGAGCCGCGGCTTAAATTTGAGTCGCGGCTAAAATATAGTTGGTTCCACTTAAAATTATATTCAATGTTTCAAGATTTAAGCCAGCGCTCAATTGAAACCGGTTTTTAGCGGATTTAAGACCCGGCTCAAATTCATTAAATTCGGACTCTGGTCTAAGTTACCTACAGCTCCCTCTTGAGCAGTACCAAACACAACTGTAACTTCTACATGGTCTAAGTTATCTACAGCACCCTCCTGAGCAGTACCAAACACAACAGTAACTCCTACCTGGTCTAAGTTATCTACAGCACCCTCCTGAGTAGTACCAAAGACAACTGTAACTCCTACCTGGTCTAAGTTATCTACAGCTCCCTCCTGAGTAGTACCAAACACAACTGTAACTTCTACCTGGTCTAAGTTATCTACAACACCATCCTGAGTAGTACCAATTACAACTGTAACTTCTACCTGGTCTAAGTTATCTACAGCACCCTCCTGAGTAGTACCAAACACAACGGTAACTTTTACCTGGTCTAAGTTATCTACAGCACCCTCCTGAGTAGTACCAAACACAACTGTAACTTCTACCTGGTCTAAGTTATCTACAGCACCCTACTGTGTAGTACCAAAGACAACTGTAACTTTTACCTGGTCTAAGTTATCTACAGGCCCTCCTGAGTAGTATCAAACGCAACTGTATCTCCTACCTGGTCTAAGTTATCTACAGCACCCTCCTGAATAGTACCAAACACAACTGTAACTTCTACCTGGTCTAAGTTATCTACAGCACCCTCCTGAGTAGTACCAAACAACAACTGTAACTTCTACCTGGTCTAAGTTATCTACAGCACCCTCCTGAGTAGTACCAAAGACAACTGTAACGCCTACCTGGTCTAAGTTATCTACAGCACCCTCCTGAGTAGTACCAAACACAACTGTATCTCCTACCTGATCTAAGTTATCTACAGCTCCCTCTTGAGTAGTACCAATCACAATTGTAACTTTTACCTGGTCTAAGTTATCTACAGCACCCTCCTGAGTAGTACCAAACACAACTGTAACGCCTATCACTGGAATTCTATTTTCTAAACAGTGTTCTAACATTTTCTCCAGTTCTGCCACATCCATTCTACAAGATTTATCCAGGGGCACTTTTACCAGATTATTCCGTCCAATTCCTAACAAGAACATAATAAAAATGACATTTAAAATTGTCGTTAATCAATGGAGATCTTAGAAGGAAAAATTAAATGAACAATATCATTTTCAGACTCTTGGGATTTTAAATTGTTGTCTAACATCTTTATGTCAGAAGAAAGGATGGAAAGTAGAGAAACTATTTACATAAAGTAGTAATCTCGATTTGCCTCAAATTTTGATTGGGGAACTCGGGAGAACCCCTGGAATGTTCTTAGCTTGGTTTTGAGATTCTAAGTTGAGTGGGTCGACTTTTATATGGAAAAATAACTACGATCGTAGTTTACGACCAAGAGATGTTAAACGGCGGGAGTAACTTTGAGTAACTTGGGGAACGCTGGGTTTCCAAGCTAGTGTGTAATAAATTTAATGAACCAGGACAGGAGTTCTTATATCTCAATTTAGAAAAAAAGCCCTTTTTCGAAATCCCAGGATGGCTAAAATGAGGTCACCATTGTTTTGAGCATATTTTATTAGCATTTTCAAATTAAAAAGGTGTCTCTTAACTCTCATGTTTATTTTGCCACCCTGTACAAACAAATAGATAATATAACTCTCATGTTTATTTTGCCACCCTGTACAAACAAATAGATAATATAACTCTCATGTTTATTTTGCCACCCTGTACAAACAAATAGATAATATAAGTCTCATGTTTATTTTGCCACCCTGTACAAACAAATAGATAATATAACTCTCATGTTTATTTTGGCTCCCTGTACAAACAAATAGATAATATAACTTTCCTAGTATATTTGCTCCTTTATCCCAGCTGTAATGCCTTGAGCCTGGAACAAACCATTTACCCGCACAAGAGACAGAATCCTTGGATAACTCTGCCTGAAAACAAACAAGGTAAATATATTAAATGTCGGGGTTTCAAGGGAAGCACAATTTTTTGGTGTTTTTTAGTTTCATGAAAGGAAAATAAGATTTCTAAAGGAGCACTACGTCTTGGGTGGGATGCTGCACCCCCCCCCCCGATGTACGCCGTTGCTGAACCTTTGACTGTAAAAAAGTTCAAAGACACGCTTCTTATCCGCAAACAACCTTATGCATGGTTCAGAAGTTGTTGATTATAAGATATCAGTGTTTAAATTGACAAACACGATGGAAACTTAGAAATCTATAAATATAAAATTGTTATCTCTGATTGTTTGTATTTCCAATCAAAACTCACGAACCCCTTGATCGAATTGTTTAGAATTTAGATTTTAAGATTCTAAGTTGAGTGATGGGTCAACTCTTTTAGAGGAAAATAGCTAAAATCGTAGTTTACAACCAATTGGAGGTAAACAGTGGAAGTAACTATGAGTACCCTGGGCAACGCTGGGTACTCATTGTAGTAGTCATTGGTGTTTTATGCAAAAAATGTTACTAACAATTACAAGATATACGAGTATTAGGCACTGGTATTGAAAACATACATTTGAAAAAAGTGAAATGAAGTGACTACGAGTCTAAGCTTAAATTTTTTAATACTTTAACAGCTAAATCAAAAAGTCAAACTTTGAAATATCTAAGGTTAGCACAATGGCTCAATTGTTAAGAAGATTAGATTTTAATGTGATTAGTTAATTCATTAAATATTACTTAATGTACCTTAAAAGTTTCGTAAAACCCCCATCCTCCCAGCTCCTCCAATGTGAATTCTTTTACCCAGGAGAAAAGCTCTTCAAAACTTACTTTCTTATCAAGCGCTAAAAATTCAAAAATCAATGTTTTTGAAGAAAATTATTTGATAAGTTACCCAGAGATTGAAATTAATGAATGAGGGGGGTATAAATTAATGAATAACGGGGTATGAATTAATGAATGAGGGGGGTATAAATTAATACCCCCCTCGGGTATAAATTAATGAATGAGGGGGGTATAAATTAATGAATGAGGGGGGTATAAATTAACAAATGAGGGGGGTATAAATTATAATAAAAACAGCTTTTTCAGAAGTCGTCCGTGCTCTGAAAGGAGCCGCCGACGAAATTGCAAATGACACATCGGTATTCTTTAAACCTTTGTTTATGCAAAAATGATGGAGACATTCTTGTTTTTCTATCAATCTTTCGTTCAAAGTTACGTCTAAAGTTCCTTTCAGGCAGTAAAGTGGTTCCCAACATTGCTATAATCAATCTATCTTTGAATCCTGATGTTGTAAACCTTAGATATTTTAAACTCAAATATAGTCATGATTTGAAATCTTATAGGTCCACGACATGTGAATGCAAAGATAGAGAATTGAGTAAATCAGAAAATAAAAAATAAAAATAGGAAGACGACTTTAAAGCAATGCTGAAGTGTATTTGATGCTGTTAAGAAGCAAAAAGCTTTACTAGTAAATTATTAATTCCGTTATGATGTAAAAAGGGTATGCCAACACTGCCAAAATGCCGTGACTCATGTTCGATTAACTATTTTAAGTCATAGCTTGAGTCTAAAAGTCGACTTCCTATTCCAGAGTTTTCTCTGTATTGACCTGAGTTGTCTATACAATGTCTGATTGAATCGAATAAATCTATAGCAGTATCTACAGGTATATTGAGTAGGTCCCAGGCCCCAACATCTCGGAGTAGCAGGATATCTCCAGTCAGGTTTCTATACTTGAAATTATCTGCAATAGCTTCCAAACCTTCATCTTTGAATTTTGTTTTCATCATTTTCTGAAGAGCTAAACCGTTAAACTTCAAAGATCTTGCTGCCCACATAGCCTCTAGGAACACAAGGGATAAATACACAAATGTGTTTAAATAGTTTTCTTCATATTACCACTCTAATTTAGGGGGTGAGGGGGTAGGGGGAGGGTGTATTTTGAGAAGTTTTCTTGAAATTTTGCGTGAATTTTGCAAAAAATTAGATAAAAATAATTATTGAGTTTTTTCCTTACTAAGCTTTTTGGACGTCTGGAGCCATTTTTTCTACTAACAATTTTAGCTTTAAATAGTGCTTTTTAATTTGCTATTTTTTGTACATTTGAAAATTACGCGGATTTTTCTGTTTACATTCATGGATTTCCAAAGTTTTTCAATTTCAAGCGGCCGTAAACCTTCCCTGGGGTCATGTAAGTAACTACAAAACATTTGGTTTTAAGTAGTGATCCCCCCTTCTTGAGAGTCAATTACTTCTCCTAGTTCAAGTACAATCACCTAGATTAGCGGCTGTTCCACCATTGGGAAGATGCCCCCAGGATCCTGGATTTTCAGTTGTATGCTCATTTTCATCATTATATACTGTATATCCTACCATCTTACAGAGGTCCTTTGCAACCTAGAGTTATAGAGTGTTTTCATCATTATATACTGTATTGACGCAGTGTGACCACAGCATGTTCTAGCTAGTTTAGAACCGTAGAAGAGCTGTAAGATCTAAGAGAATAGCGAGAAAACTAGATATATGTTTATTTTTTATTTTTAGATCTTTGAAAACTGTTTTCAGCTAAAAGATGAAGCCAGAACCTCCTCTATTACTCACCGGATGGGAGGAAAAGAGTTCTTTCTTCAGAATAACGTGGAAGGAAGACCCTGTGTGCAAACTAATCTTACAAAGTGATCAGGATACAAAGATATAAGACGCTGAGCAAGGAGAAGTGATTAATATCCGAGAAAAGAGCAAAATATAAAAAGTGAGAAAGGAAACATGTATAGATAGACACATAGTTGACTTTGTATGAATCAGTGATGTGAACAATAACAGAGCAGGTGTCAGAGCAATGTCAATCAGGATCAGCAACAGGGAACACTTAGGAATTTTAAGAGATGAATATTTCCTTCAAATTTAAAATTTATTATGTTGTAACCTTGTAAGGATTTTCTCTTGTAGAGTCAATCTACCCCTTCATAAGTTCTTAGTCTCAGGAGTCAATGATATGAGGATTTGTGTCATATCATTGTAGGTATTATGTCAATATGTCAAGGATTAATAAGGTTCATTCATATTTTCTCGAGGAGCAGAAAATATTTTGATTGGTACAGAAACCATCTGTACCATCGCTGAAATAAGAGAATTTAATTGGATAATGATGGCGGTAATGTGCGTTGGTCAAACGGCGGTTCATTTCCGGGTATAAAAGGTCTTACGACGGTAAATGCACTGAACAGTATGATTAAATCAGTGACCCAAGGTTGAGATAAGCCAGATTGTGTACAAATCAGATTTTAATGACATTAAAGTTATATTAAAGTCAACTCAGTAGTTTACTTTGGTTTCAATTTCATCTTTTCCAAGCAGACTGGTTATTGGAAAAGATTATTTGCAACTTTGTTTTAGTTGAAATTTTCTTGGCAAGTAAAAAAAAAATAGTCATTAATCACCGATTTAACGAGCAA